ACTTACTTTTGTAGCCAGGTCCATAGCTGCCCAGCACCTATATAACTAGATCCAAAGCAGAGCCCGCTGATAACGGAGGTGGCAAGCACTGCAACCCACGGAACGCGATGTCGATTTAATTTGCCCAAAAAGGCCGGAGCATGGCGATCCACAGCCAGGGAGTACATAAGTCGAGAGCCAGCGAACAAAGCATGATTACCAGCAGAGATAACGGACGTCATAATTACCGCATTTATGAAGCTGCCGGCTACCCTGCTTCCGGCCTGCTGGAAAACAATGGTAAAGGGGCTGGTTTGCGTATCCCTGTTTGCGAGATTGGGATATGTGTATGGGACGTTTAGGCCGATAATTAGCACGCCCAGGATGTAGAATATTAATATACGCCAGAAAACGTTGCGGACCACTCTCGGAAGGGTGACGGCGGGGTTTCGGGTCTCCCCTGCAGTGACTGCGATAGATTCGGTTCCCCCGCTATCGGAATGTAGTGTTAGTCAATGACTATAGAACAATCTTAAGGGTATAGAGATCACATACTAGGCGAATGCAGCCGTGACGAAAACGGAGGCAAAGCCGCCTATTCCACCGACGAAGGGGGCATCGCCGATACGCCAATTCCTCCCTCCTATGTACTGCCTATCAACATTGCCGCCGCAGTTAACTGCAACTCCAAGTATAATGAATATCTGTGGATGGCTTGTTAGGAGAGAACCGAAAATGCAATATATGACGCATTAGTACTTACGACAATAGTGACAACTTTCAGGAGACTGAGCCAATATTCGATCTGCAGGAAATTTCACCATGTTAGTATAAGACTTAGCAAAAACAGGTAATATAGCTTATTTCAATTACCTCTCCGTACGCTCGAACAGTGACGATATTGAGCCCGATGAGGACAAAGAGAAAAATCAAACTGAATGCCCAGCCAGGAAAGTTATCGGACCAGTACTTCAGTAGAATCTGAAGCGCGACGAGGTCCGCTGCCGTAGCCACAGCGTCGTTAAGCCAGTAGTTCCACGTAAGAGCAAACCCGAAGGCGTCATCAACAAATCGACTTGTAAGGTTCATTTCTTGTCAGCATTATTACGTCCCCAAGTGTAAACATGCTATAATCGGAAAGGGACTCTTTCGGAAAACTCACCCAGCATATGTGCAAAATGATCCAGCGATGGGCACAAAAGCTGCCATCTCACCAAGCGACAGCATGGTTATAAATACGATGGCACCCACAAGCGCATATGAAATGAGCATAGATGCAGGCCCAGCCGTGGACAACGACCTTCCCGTCCCCAGGAACAATCCCGTGCCAATCGTACCTCCGATTGCAATCATTTGCACTTGACGGGCCGATAGCTTGCGCGCAAGCTTATCCGCGACGATGACGGGTCCATCTGGGGGTGCATTTTGCGTCTCGACACCGATCGCTTTTTGGGCATCCCCACTACTGTTGGATTTCAGGTCGGAAGTTGCCATTATTGCCTACAACCTATGCCCTGGGAGAACGGGATTGAAGATTCTAAACTTCTCCGGGCGCAAGAATGAATGTCTCCCGCCCTGCCTTGTGAGGTTGGTTCTCTTCTTCCCCTAGCTTCAGTATGTATAGCTTCACTAGAGACAGGAATGCCTCCGCAGCAACCGAGACCGAATACTATTCAAGCGACAGTATCGGGAATGCCAGCGATTACTCCCCAAAATCAAAAGCGAAAGAGAAAAGAACAAAATCCCAGAGGCCGTTTTTTCCCATAGATATGCGACGCTCGCGCAATATAAATAAACTCTTGCACCACAAGGCCTAAATCTGGGTTAGTTCATTTCGTTCCAGGGAAACGCCATCGCCCCCCGCAAAATAGGACAGCGCTCCAAATTTTTGCGTGATCGATGAAAATAATACTGCCACATAGTTAGTTAAGGCTCAAGTCCCTGAGCCGTCAGGTTTGGATGAAGGAGATATAATTTGCCGCGAAGAAACACTTGTTAAAATCCAAGGATGGCGGCTAAACCCTCCGAAAAGAGTTTTAGCTTTGGAATCACAGCCCTAAAGAGCTTAAGCAGACCTGTGAGGCTGTGAGGCTGTGACTTAGGAGCTTGGCTGTGTGAGGTCGATGCAACATCCCGACGTAGCGGGAAAGATCTGCGTGCCAGAGTTGTGCTAAAATTTGGCGCTGGATTCCTGAGCTTGTGAAAACGTGTTTAGTTAGCCAGAGTTTTGACGAGCCAGTAAACGCATCTGCCAGTTATATCGAACAAATAAAATAAAATAAAATAAAATAAACTGGATGAACAGGTATTTACATATACGCATATCGCTTAATTAACTATTTAACCTAGCAGTCCCGCAGCAAGAGTCTCCAGGTCCTCCAAAGTTTGAACCTCAACAGGGCCGGTTGCCTCAGCCTTTCCGCGCTTAGAACGGCTACCGCCATTCCTATCTTGCTCATCACCAGACGAGTCCTGGAACCATTTCTTTTGCTTCTTACTCGGACGGGCCTCCTCGGAGATATGCTCGTCGCCGGAAGACTGGCTAAGGTGGTCTCTTTCAAAGTCTTCATCAGGTGGAGCAAGCACTGCAACGGCCCCAGCATCTGCTGCTTCTCTCTCGGCTCTCGCCCTTTCTTTTCTTTTCTCTTTTTTCTCTCGTTTCTTTTGTTTCGCAATTTCTTTGTCGCGGATATCTGCAAGTCTAGTCCTCTCGGCCTCGAGCTCGAGGAACTTCGCCCGTTGCGCGTCTGCAGAGCCTCGCTGTTTGAAGTCATCTTCATCCTCCATTTCATACACTTCGTGCGGGTTCCCATCTTCATCGAAGACCAATTTCGATCCTTTACCCTTGTATTTGAGAAGCTTCTTTTTCGATTTTAGAAGTTTCTCTCGCCGGTGCGAATCTATAATAAGTGGCTTGCTGCCAGGTAATTGTACTGCTCTGATCTTAGGTTCCGATGTATCGGAGTCGTTACCAAACGCTTCGCCGAGGTTGTCGTCGCCTGCATCAAACCGCCGCTTCACAGAGAGGAAGTCATTATCTTCATCCGCGTCTGCTTTGGAATCATCAGACGCGTCCCCAGTAATCGCGGTGCCGTCCTCATTAATCAATTTCGTATAATGCTCGGTCAATATGTCCTGGTTTCGTCGTTCAAACATGCGATCATATTTTGTTCTGACAGTTTCTTCCTTCTTTTTCTTGGCGCCTTCACCGTCCGTATCTGTATCATCCCCGCTTGACAGCGCTGCTAATCCTCTCGGAGCGTTCTTCAGTTTCTTCGAGTCCTCACCCTTAATAAACTTGATGCGTGGGGCACCAGGCAGACCCAAGCTTGCAGCGTATGCTTCCAGGGGCAAGCCCTTTACAACAAACACTTCCTTATCCTTCTGCACATGAATGGATTTGACGTAAGATATAAAAGCTTTCTGTCCGAGGTATTTCAATGCTGGATCCTTGAAACACATGTTCTGTAACTGGTTTTTAATGCTCTGTTGTTTCTTGGAACGGATATTGATTTTTTCGATGGGTATTTTCTTCTGCTCCAACCGCTTCAGCATTCCTGCCTCCTCGCTGGGCTCTAGAAATAGAACAGCTCGCCCGTTCCGTTCATAGCGTGCAGTTCGACCCGCTCGGTGGATATATGTATCTGCATCCTCTGGGCAATCAACTTGAATAACCCAGTCGACAGCTGGGAAATCCAAGCCCCTCGCCGCAATATCTGTGGAAAACAGGCACGCATGCTTAGCCGCAGAAAATTTCTTAGTGATGTCTACCCTAGCACCTTGCTTCTGGCGTCCGTGTAAATGAAGAAGGGAGATGCCAGGTTGCATATGTCTAAAGGACTCATACACAAAGCGAACTTGTTTCCCTGACGAGAAAAACACCATGATTTTAGACTTCAAACTGCTCCGTATAAAGCTCCATAGGGTATCCAACTTCTCAGGAAGCGGGGTGACGATGTAATTCTGTTGTAATTTGGCCGGGGTTGCGCTGGCGGCTGTTTCATGGACTGATATGTATTCAGGATTCCGCAGACTCAAGCGAGCAAGGTCCGAAACTTTCTTTGTCTGCGTTGCACTGAATAGCATCGTTTGCCGTTCTTTTGGTAGATGGTCGATGATGGCGTCTACAGTACTCTGGAATCCCATATCCATTATCCGGTCCGCCTCATCAAGCACAAGCAATTGAATATGGTTCGTATCAAAAGCCGCCGTCTGATCCATATGCTGTAGCATGCGTCCCGGTGTGCACACCAAGATATTCATCCTCCCCAACCGTTCTTGTTCCTCCTGTAGGCTTTTCCCGCCAATTACCAGGCCAGCAGAGAAGGTATGATGACGACCAATTTTCCTTAACACTTCAAATATCTGAATCGCCAGTTCGCGAGTAGGTGACAGCACCAACGCTCCCAGTCCATCATATTCTGTCCATTGTTTGCGATATAGCAGCTCCAAGAGCGGAACGAGAAACGCAAGTGTTTTCCCGCTGCCAGTCTTCGCAGCGCCTAGAATATCTCGTCCTTTGAGAGCATGGGGTATCGCCTTGGCCTGGATGTCAGTCAAGGATTTGAAGTGGGACGCAGATAGGCCGTTCAGGGTAGGTTCTGACAGAGGTAGGTCGGAAAATGCTTCGGGTGAAGCCTTCACATCGAGCTCGTCAACTCGTTGCGCGAGGGTTGCAAGGTCAACCTCGTCCCGCTTTCGTTTGAGACTTCTGGCATTGTTACGTGGAGGTTTGGAATGCTTGTTATTCCGCGCATGATGTGCGGATGCCATGACTGCGTCGTCGTTGCTTGGGAGCCTGGTTGACCTGTCAGGCTTTGGGTTGTAAGATACCCTCAGAATTTTGTATTATCGCATCGGAAGTTTATCGACGGGCCGCTAAACTTTTTCTCGACTGGCCATGAAAGCTTAGTCATCAATTTGGCATTTTACGTGGGATGGAGAAAGCTAGCTCGAGGCGAGTGAATTACTGTTGGAACCTCTAAACACCTTGGCTAGCTGAACTGCAGAGAGCTTTCAAAATGGCTGATGATGAATTGGAAGCACTCGACGCCCTCGAGAGAGAGGCGTCTGAATTTACAAAAGTATGAAAAATCCACTCCCTCGCTCTCCTGCGACTCGCAGAGCCTTCGCATTTAGCTAACGGAATGCTTATAGGACGCGGAAATCGATCGCATCAGAAAGGCTTTCCAACTGGACGCGTAGGTTTTATCCTATATAAAATTCCACTTCCGATTAGGACATGACTAAATCACAAACAGCTATGCGGTTCTCGACCTCCAGCCTGGCGTCCCCGACTCCGACATAAAAATGCAATACCGCAAGAAATCCCTCCTCATACATCCAGATAAATCCTCAAACCCCGCAGCGCCCGACGCCTTTGACCGCTTAAAAAAAGCCCAGACAACGCTGTTAGATGAAAAAGCACGAGCCCACCTCGACGAGTGCATAGCCGATGCGCGACGACTATTAATCAGAGAACATAAATATACGCTCGATTCACCCGAATTAAAGACTGAAGAATTCAAGAAGGAATGGCGTCAGAAGACTATAGAGGTTCTTGTTGAGGAAGAGGCGAGGCGGAGACGACGGTTAAAGGCGCAGATGCAGGAGGAAGGCAGGGAAAAGAGGAAAGAGGAGGAAGAGATAGAGGCGCGGAAACGGAAGAGGGAAGACGAGAAGGCTTGGGAAGAATCGCGCGATGAGCGGATTGGGAGCTGGAGGAATTGGCAGAAGGGGAAATCGGAGAAAGGGGAGGGAAAGAAGAAGAAAAAGATGAAGGTGTTGGGATGAATTTGACGAATCGTATGTCGTGTGAGTAGATCTCGTAGAGGTTTCAACATGTGGGAGGTACTTTCTTTTTTCTTAGGGGGGGGACAACTTTCGTGAGCTGGTTCAGAAGGCGCTTTTCTTTCACAGGTGGTCGGAGTTTGTCACGGAATTATTCATATTCTAATACCCATGTAAGGATCGATACAATCACAGAATTTTTTTTACCCTTTCAAGGCATCAACGGATGGCCGCTAAAACGCTTATAAAAAACCAAAGAAAGCGTGATGTCTTCACTCATCAACTTCAACTATAGTGGACAAGATGCATATCTAAGAAAATTCTATATACTGGCTTGTCTATACATGGCATGAATAAGAGCTTGATCGGGGATATATGGAAGGAAAATATCAACCTTTATAATAACTCAACATCATGAACAAGCCAAGGGATATCATATCACTGCACGAATGAGCGGGGAATACATTTCGTGTCCTAAAACTAAGAATAAATTTCTGCATCAACTTCATAGGGCTCGTGATCATGATCTTATCATCATCTTCGAAAGAAAGTGACAAATGCGCTGCAGAGCAAAAACTCGAATAGCATATATCAACCCAAAATGTGGCAAAAACCGGTAAACAGAGCGAGAAGATAGGTTTTTGATAATCCCGAAATTCAGGGATAACACAAACATAGGGATGGCATCAATCATCCCATCGCGTTCCTCTTCCGAGCATCGGAGACGGAAATCTCCCAATCCGTGCGGGTCAGGAACACGCCTTCGATAATTGCAACCAGGAGTAATGCAACAGCAACACCAGCCCACAGGCCCCAGAGAGTCCAGCCTAACCCAAAGGCCGTGCCCATACTGATGGGCATAGCCACGGCGTAGTAGCAGAATAGCTGCACATACCCACCGAAGGACTGGCGTCCGAGACCACGGAGGATGCCGTTGCAGTTGGTTGCGAGCGCGTCGAAGAGCTGGAATGAGGCACAGAGGGGAAGTATCTGGGCGACCATATCCGCAACTTCTTCGTCAGAGGTGAACAGGTTAGGGATATAGTTTCGTAGCGACGAGAGGATCGTGATATTTAGCAGCCCGATGATAACGGCGCCCACCATCCCAACCTTAGCGGATGTGCGAGCCGCGCCAGTCAGACTGGCGCCGATAAAGTTGGCAATTCGAGTGCTGAGTGCAATGGAGAGAGGGAAAGGGATTTGGAAGGAGATACTCGATATTGTGGAGAGGACAGATTGAGCGGCGAGTGCCGTGGTACCGAAGTAACTTGAGGCGAGTGTTAATAGTTCGAAAGCGAGGACCTCAGCTTCAACCATTAGGAAGCCCGGAAGCGCGAGGCGGACCATGGGACCCCAGTTCTCTAATCCCCTCTTTGTAAAGCCATTCCAACACTCTTTACCCGCGATGAAATAAACGTACAAGAAGAGGAGGACAGGGAGGAGATTATCACTTATGGCAACAGCCATGGGTGCACCTACGAAACCAAAGCCAAGTTTCTAATATAACATGTTAGGATGTAGGAACGTTTTTGTACAACCATAATGTGAAACAGTGGACGATTTGGGGGTGGGAAGGAACATACCCAAACGAAAAGCCAATTCAAAAACGCATTTAGCGGAGCACATATTAGCAGGACAGCGAGCCCTGCGGAAAACAGTCCTTGCGCCTGAACAAAACGTTTCCCGCTTTCGAAGCATGCATAACCTGGGGCACCCAACAGGACAACCTTCAGGTACAGTCCTGCAAGAACTGCAACCTCCTTCTCCGGAACAATGACCATCAAAATCCTATCGGCGAAATACCATACAAAGCCAATGGGGATGGTCATCACCCAAAGAAAGTAAACCATCCTCTGCATGTGCAATCCAACGAGGTGTTTTTTCCCCGAACCATAAGCCTGAGCGCATAGAGTATCCAAACTTGTTGCAAGGCCCTGATATATGGAAAAGCCGGTAATGTTGGCAGTCATGCTGGCGAGGGATACGGCTCCCAGCTCTACTTTTCCAATATGTCCAACTGTGAAGATACTGGCTACCGTCAACGAGTATTGAAGCAGGAACGTGATCATCAATGGGGCTGTGTATTTCGATAAGACTTGAGCTTCCCGACTCCATGTTGTATGGATTTGTCCGGCCTCAACGGCTTCCTCCCACTTTCTCCCAACATCAGCAGCGTTAACATGGTCACCTAGAGAGCTAGATGGTGCCAAAAGGGCTGTAGTCTCAGTAGCAGAGGAGCCGGGGCTAAATGAAGGTTCAAGCGGTTGTGCGGATTCTTCATCTTCCGCCCTGGGAATTGTCTCAGATTCCTTCAGCATTTTGGAGAGTAGGCCAGCGATCTGGCTCCGTCCCCCGGCTAGTTTCCCTTGTCGACGTTCCGTGGGAATGACATTATTATCTGCCAATAGATTCCGTTCTTCTTCTAATACCTGCTCCCGTTCCCAATCCGCCAGCGCTTCATGGTCCTGGTCCTGAGGATGTGGAACGACAGTTCCCCGTGGGCCGGCTGTGAAGAAGCTAGGCCTTCTATAAGATTCAGCCAAGGAGTGAGAATTCGCAGGGCTGGTCGCAGAGGGAATTGAGCGGGCTTCGGATAAACCTCTGTCTATTTGGTCGTGGTCTCCATTATTGCTAGCGGAGTTAACATTTGCTGGATCGGTTGGTATATCCATGAAAATGAGGGGTGGTCAAGACGATAACAGGAGGTCTCTTTGTTTTCTATATATACAAGTATATTCTGTAATTTTAATAATTGTTAGCAAACACATGTATAAAGGCATACTTTCGCCGGCGCCTAGATGAAGAATCAACGCACAACCTGCAAAACACTGGGTTCGATAAAAAGCTTAAAAGAGAAGTATATCCGTAGTTGCTCAGAAACCAAGACCTTACTATTAAGCCGCTCCCTTAGTAGCCGCAAAATTGGAAAAAGAGAGACAAGCCGTCGCGAAAGAATAAGAATAACAGTTGAATGACTCCCCATCCCCCCCGTTATCCACAATGCCCATCGTCGCTTACTCACCAGCCACCAGCAAGAGCCGCCGGCCATCGGGGAGCCGAAGAGCGCAGCCCCGGCTGCCTGGCCAATCAGAAGCTGACATGCCGGTGTGACATATGGCCCGAGCTCGAAAACTTTATTTTCAGTCCGCCTGTGCCCCACTATAACTTCTTTGGGTTAAGCGCGAGAAATCTGTACCGTGTATTTGATATACATCCACGAGACGCTAGATTTCCACATTGCATGCGTAATTTATACAAAAACGGTCTCATTAATACACTGTTGTACCTCTTACAATATTACTCATTTACCAATATTAGAGGCTTCATATTTTACAGAGCTGTTCAACATGTAAAAATTACCCATTATCATATACTCTTACATTGTAGTTGTTGAAGATATTAATATTTCATCCGGTGCAATATGTATGGGATGTAGCTGCACTTGGTCCCCGTGCCGAAAGGGCGGTTAAATTCCGTAGCCTGAAAACTCCGCCACCTCATAACCACATCGACGGCAGACGTTATCAGCGTGGATTCTGATGTGAAATGGTAGTTTTCGCGATCTCTCTCCCTTTCTGGATCCTAAAAAGCACACTCCAGTGTTGTTACTCTCTCTACGATGCCCCGCGGTAACACCCCGGAACTCGAAGATGCCCCTTCAAGAACTAATATCGTACCCAACGCACTGAAACGAAATCCAGTGCACGTCACAGCGTAAGCGCTTATTCCCAACTCCCCTCTCCATTGAATCCAGGGCCGCATCAGATCATTTAACCAAGGAGCACACAGCGACCTCATCGCACAAGGCCCAATATTTCTCTCCAAACCCTTCTTCGGCCCCCTCCTCTTCGATAATAATGCATCAGACGCCCGTGATCACTGCGCCAACGAGCGAACGTTCCTCTCATGGCTGCGGCTGTCCATGTACCTCTCCGTCGTTGCCTGCGCAATCATAATGTCCTTCCACCTGCGGTACAAGCCGACGGAGCTAGAGCTACGCATGGCACTCCCGCTGGGTATCATCTTTTGGGTGCTATCGTTCGTCTGCCTGTGCAGCGGGTTTGCGACTTATATACGGACGATGGCCAAATATAGTCGGCATGCGGCGCTGGTGCAGAGTGGCTGGAAAACGCAGGTAGTTTTCACAATTGTTGCCATATCGATCATTGGGACGTGTATCGTACTTTTAAGCACGGGCTCTCCGGCAAGCTTGTAGTGGGTTTTCTGCATGGATGCGATCTAGCTAAGGTTGGACTTGTGTGAATACTAGCCATGTTTTGCTATAGCTCGGGAAGTGTGCTGTTTTATGCCATCATTTATTTCTGGGATCTGGATACCACAGGCGTCTAGTTTTCTGTGTTTACTTCGGGGTTGATCAAGCTCGGTTCCCTGTTCTTGTCTATATCGGCCATATATCTAATGTGTGACAGCTATTAATTTTCCATGAGGGGTGGAATTTACGTGGGATTTGTGCACAGACATCTGGTACGCGGTTACGCCCTACCAACGAGGAATTATAAAATACGATCTGGTCAGGAATTACAGTTACTCGATTGATGATGGGGTGCGTACTACCAAAAACGTGGGGGATATGTGTTCTGGACTGTTGCAACTATTTTCTGAGGAACACAGGAATAGGTATAATGCCCAGGCATCACAATAAAATCCATCAATTATAATTATTATTATGCCCGAAATGAATACCGATAAACGACTACCTATCTAAGCTGTTCAGCCTGCAATGGTTTGAGGACACGTTGGCGCCCACAGTCATTAATTTGGACAATTCCCCGTGAGCAGCAGCTCGCTCCAAATCAATTTTCTTCTCTCAATATATATAGCCACGGAAGCAGTATTGACAATAAAGGGTATGGTAATTTCTTAAGGAATATTTTTGCTTATCGTGAATGAATTTAAAGCATGCGGTGAAGGGTCCTGTCTCCTTTGAACTTCTCGAACTCTTCGGTGCCGAACTTCTCCCACCAATTGAAGAGCATAGAGTCGCAGATGAGCTTGAACCAGGGGGTGAATTTCAATTCCGAGTCCTTGAACATCTGCTTGAGTTCATCTGCCGTAACATACTTGGTATCGCGGACTTCGTTGGGGCTCACGTCTAGGTCGACATCCGCGTGGATGAAAAGGATGTAATCGACTGTTCGTGGAAGTTGTACGCTATTAGCATTGCAATCATGCAAAATGAACAATTAAGGTAAACAGAGATATTATTTTTCTTACTTTCATGTTCTGCCCACTTGCCATCGCTGGGAGCCTTGTAGTGTATCCTGGTCAGAAAATCGAACTTCTCGAGAGGAACTTGCTCCGCCTTGATGCCTAGCTCGTGATTCAGCTTTCTCTGAGCAGCCCGGCGAACCCCTTGCACAGCATCCTCGAACTCTACTCCTGTTTCGCCGGGAATGCCAAGTGGGTGTGAGCAGCAGGTATTCGTCCACATGTCGGGGAAGGTGATTTTCTCCGATGCACGCTGTTGGAGTAACAGTCTCTTCTGAGAATCGAAGAGGAAGACGGAGAACGCGCGGTGAAGAAGGCCGCGGTCAATGTTGGTCATCAAATGGCCTAAGATATTCAAAAAACAAAAAGTTTCAAAAGAGTCAGCTCACATCACTTGGATACGAAACAAAAATGTGACAGAACAGCGGACAGCAAGTGGTCTAGCGGAAGTTCCAAATATAGGGTTGCACAAGGCAAGCAATATCATGAGAGGAATCACAGACATGTCTTCTTGCTAGCACTCCCAATAGGCTTGTCATTCTCATCTAGCACAATGCACACTTCATCCATCAGACGAATCTGCTCCTCATCGTACCCCTCCAGCTCACCACCATCACGCGCAGAGTTCTGTGTTTGGGCAGTGGTCCGCGCAAGGCTGGGATCGACATCCGGGAAGAGAGTAGTGACATTTTCCGCAGTTATGGCCGTAGCGGCCGTCGTTGTCGTGGTGCTTGACATGATCGCGTGCAGGTATCGGGGTAAAAAGTTCAAGGGGGAAACAGGGGAGCTTGATGGACTAGTTATTTATTTCCTAAGTGAATCAAGCACTTGGGAAATGAATTCAAGACTACGTTGAGAAATCTCTCTCGACGGGTTTGATCAGGAGTTATATAGAGCAGCGTAGGGGTGGATTCGATGAGAATTGAGGATGTTAAATATGTCAATGTCAACTCGTGCAACTCCGAGAAAGTTGTGTCGCCAACTGACTGACTTCGGTGTTTTCCCCTCCAACGGGCCAAGACCAATCACATCGCAAAGATACCGCCGAGATTTCACTGTTTATCAAGTTCATCACGATCACCGCCAAACACCAAAAACATGGATATACATGTTCAAGCTCAGCTCTCGTAACACCTCCTCAGCAATCGGTTCCGTCCTTTTAAATCATCGGTCGTTAGATCACAACTTACCCAGAGTCTTCGTGATACTTGCCGTCAGACTTCCGGGATCTATCAACCCTGGGGGCTATTGAAATATCCCTGATTGCCAGTGGAAATGGAGGGCCATTCATAAAGGAATTGAGTTTTATCAAAGGCTATTATCCCAAAGGGCAATTCGGATGGAGGTATTACATCCTGGTCCCGGGTCGTGTCTTGCGTACTGTTATGTCCCAAACAGGCCATTTCTGTGGCTCCTCAACATCAGAGTATCACGACTGTCTGTCGACCTCTGAATGCCCCTCCCATCCGACTCCCTAGCCTACGCCAATGGCTAGTCATGCAAGCCTTGACTTTGCTATTTGTGTTTTCCCCTCTATTCTCTTATTTGCCTAGCGGGGGAACCCACCCAGGACGAACCACACCATTCGTTTTCACATAGGGAAGGTTGAAAACAATCAACCTATTGGCTGTCCATTAACTTTGCTGATAAAAACTTTGGGTAGATTGGGGGTTTTCAACATCAAAGCATCGAAATCGCAAAAAGTCATTCACCTCAAAACCACCCACCAAATGGTTTTCAGGGTAAGTTCTTACGGCCGATTGGTGTGACGGGTACGCGGTTCCAACGAATGGCAGGCCTCGTTGATTTGGCCTTGGTTGTGGACTGGACTTGTCTGCTGGCCATTACCCTCCCCATACGGCAGAGGAGGGATTGGTGTCCAAATAATGACGATTCTTTTGTTGTTCATGTATCAGCGAAATGCTGGTCAGTGGTTAAGTCAGTTGAACTCCATTGGCCATCCAGGTGCTAGCTGGGTCAGTGAGACATATCCAAAGGGAAGCGCGGTTGGTGCTACACAGCGTGCCCCCAGGGTGCGCTCACCCGCTTGGAATACAGCTCACGCAGAGAAGCAGTGTTCTATTAGAGATAAAAAGGGGTAAATGGGAGCAGAGTGAAAGATAATGATAGGAGCCCACCGAAGCCATATTGCCAACAACTCATACCGGGACCCTGGTATTCTTAACAAAGAAATTTACCATGATAACCTAAACGTGAGGCATATTTGCTCGACTTTCCAACGGCCATAATCCATGATCGACATTCTAGAGCAAACTACCCATTCTATCTGTCGCACACGATAGTTGGAAGAAATATTTCACACTCCATGGCAGTGGGCACCCTTTTTTCCTTTTGCAAACCAGACCGAATATGGTGTAATCGAGATTCTTTGGCTCCTTGCATATCGTGATCATGCAGGAACCGCGCGGGTCTTTCCTCGAACTGGGCTACCAAATCGCTCTGAACACCTAAAATAACAATGCATGTTGGGTGTTTCTAGGCATTGTAGAAATGCAATGGAAGGTCTCAGTTCTTCCAGGTTGAGGTGCTTGCAAATATGAAACCTTTGCCTTTACTTCCAGCTCGCTAGCCTCTTTCAAATCCTAATACAGGAGTTTTCTACATACACACGAATGACATGTCGCATGCATGGAACAATCAAAGAACGATATTCGAACAATGAGGCTCTAGGTCTCGATTCGGGCCGGCTCAACCCTAGTCATGAAGCGCATCTGGGTATGTGGTGAAAACCTAGGTTCTCACAGTTTTTGGTCCTTTCAGTCAAGACCTAAATATCGACATGCATTAAAAAAAAAAAAAAAAAAAAAAAAAAAAAAAATAGAACCGATTAAGGACGACCTAGAGTTTCTGATCGAAGATGGTAATCTAATTTGCAACAATCTATTCTTTATGTTTTTTTGATATTTACTACTAATGGATTAAGCACATCTATTTAGCTTGGGCACATCAATAATGCCCCACCCACGTCATTGTGAGAAGAACCGTCGAAGGAAGACGGGAGTCCCCCAGGAAATGTAAGGTCCTCAGTCGATATGCCAGGTGACTTGAAGAACGCATACTCATTCATCTATGAGATGTACTCCCCCAACAGAGCGATCTTCAATGTGCATAATGGTCATGCCGGGTCACTTGTCTCTGCTGCGAATCCTTACCAGCCATTACCAGCCACTCTTTCGTGGAAAATGCAATTTGACGGGAACCTCGGTGTTCTCATGCATGGAATCGATAATCAAGCATTTTCGAAGCCCTCAAAATGGGACATATTGTTCTTTTTGGTGTTCCACTCAACGTGATGGTGCGCATCCTTATTTTCCTTCTATACATTGCATATATTGTCTACTGCCCATGATTAATTCGATTCCCTATCTCATTCGTGCAAGCACTTAGCCCTGACCAGGTGGTCCGCACCTATTTCTGTCGAACACTTGCATCAATCATATGACATTTATGCAGGTCCCGTCTTGTTCTGTTGGCATGAACCTGACAGCGAAGCCAATGATGGAATGGATTCTGGCAGTCAAGTGTGCCTGTGGAATGTAAGGAGCAGGAGTCACGAGTTTGAACGCTTGAGTTCTTCGGCATTAGATGGCTAGATATGCGAATTGTCTGCGGGTGAAACTCCCTTGATCCAACAAAAATAGCAACAAACCCCTTACATCGCTCACACTGGCAGTTGGTTACACATGTAAGTAAATATAAACATACTTCATTTCATAAGCCCATGGTTAACACCACCTGAGAAAAATATAGCCTCTTTGGATATATTGGCTAGTGACCGTGGATGGGTACTTCTATGCATCCCGGTTCCCCTTTGTTCTTCAAAGAAATAATTGGTGTCTGAGACGTGGAATATTGACCACTAGTAATACGATAGGTTTTCTTTTCTTTTTCTTTTAACTTTAATTATTTTTTATTTTTTTTTTTTATTTTTTTTTTTTGGAAGTTAGTCGTCCAGGTTTTGGCCCCCAAGTTGATGTGCCTGTTAGCTACAACAACAATCCTTATTGTAACTGTCAATACTTTTCGGCCCCCAACATTCAATCTATTGATCTCCCCCCCTTTTCTTCAACTCCCGTTCTTCTGAAGTTGGTTGGGGGCCGATTGTGGGTTATGGCTGGCCGCAGAATGGCCTTGATGGTTTAAACATTTGAACCCATCGTTGAGCGATGGCCGAACAAAATGACCGATCAGGCCCCGCTTAGAAACGCAGATCTCCCGGCCGTAAAAATCGATTGGCTTGAAATGAAAGTTTTCATAGAAACAGTATGAGATCAACACATGAAACATGGTCTATTTTGCATATCCATCGGTATCTAGATTCGAATCCGATCCGTATTAACCTGACAAGGCTCGGCCCCCCCCCTTATTTTGCTACTCTATTTTATATAAAAAGAATATAAAAAAAATAAAAATAAAAATAAAAAATAAAAAATACAAAGATATCTTACTTGGCATTCGGACCCCAAGATGGTCGCGTTCTTTTTAGTCACGCAGACTAATGTTTGAATATCTTGCTGGAGTTTTCCTTGCTTTTCGCTTGTGGATATTGAACATGACATATGCTGTAAAAACTCATCTATATTGTGGCGCGCATTGGGGTTGGCCCTCTGCAATCAATGGCGGCGAGAAGTTCCCCGCCCCCTTTTTATTTAAAGTTGTTGACTAGCAATGCACAGGGATGCCTGGAACTTTAAGCCGTGCGGATTAGAGGGAAGTACGCGATCTATTAGAAAGTTGGTACAATTTCAAGAAAAACAACGATGAAGAGTGATTCTCATTTCCATGGCCAGCATGGACCAAAAAAGATTTGCATAGACAGCAAACCACATTCTAGAGACAGATGGAGCGCTGGACAGACAAAAGAGTAACTAAACATGAACAGAGATGAGAAGAGCAAGGCAATGCAAACAAAATGTGGCTAAGGAACAAAATGCAAGGTACAAAAAGGATGAACAACTAACCTTGCACCGCGTGTGACATTTAAATTTATTCAAAAGGGAAAATAAAATAAAATAAAATAAAATGACTGAAAAGAAGGCAACCAAAGTAGAGAAATGAAAGTGCGAGATGGATGTCAGCAAAATGAATAGTTACAAAGAAGCAAAATGCCGCCCCAGTGTCCTCGGTCTATTAAAATGTCACTTCACTAATGTCATCCATGGAATGACACATTTTTATCATCTTCTCCTGATAAACATATGTAAAGCACAGAAGCAAAAAAGAACATAAATGGTGGAGGGATTGGTACATGGAAACATAAGTCATGTGGGAGTAAGGAGAGGGCATGTCAAACAAAGGAAAGACCCAGCTATTTTTATCAAAGAAGTTTTTGGAGGCCGCGATATATGTGTTCCTGCAGTAGCCGCTGAGGAATGCTCCGATGAGCAAGGTCAAAGAATTAGGGTCCAAATATGCACTCAGAGATATGTCGAATAAATATACCATGTACCGTAAAGCCATGAGGACCGTAAAAATGTAATGAGGAAACCAAAAAAAGCAAGCATTAACAACCGAAGTGGCTGTCCATGGTACTCACTAAGCCATGCGAAAATCATATCTGTGGGCGCTTTCTTGGTTGGATGCATGTCAAATGGGGGTTTCCAAGGGACAATTGGTGAATTAAATGGTTTATTCTTCGCAAAAACGCAGAGAGAGAAAGAAAGAAAGAAAGAAAGAAAGAAGGAAGGAAGGAAGGAAGGAAGGAAGGAAGGAAAAACCGGGAAGTTTGTGCGTGTTTTCATAGGTATTGCTGGAATTCATTCGCAGTATTATCGAGGTATGGAGAAATAAATGACTCATGCAGATTTTGCTGGTCGTCGGCCTCAGAATACGTATTTGTTTGGTCGGGATATAGGATGGATGACGTTTGATATGATTGAACCGGCTCAGGTACTGTGGGAGGATTTTTGAGTGCACGTTGGGCTTGACGATTCTGTCTTCTGCATCCATCTTCGCGATGCCTATTTCGTTGCCTGTTAGTGCTGGAGGACGAACGATTTAAATTTTTGAGCACAAGTTAACCAACCTTCGCAAAGTGTCCTGTCGTGCGAAACGGTGGCCACATTGATCACAGCCATATTGCCGTAGTTTCTTATGCACCTGGAAACAGATGTCAATTTTATAGGTAAACACTAGAAGCTCGGTTAGTTAGGAAACACGTACACTATCCACATGTCTAGTGAGGTCAGTTTTCCGGCCGAATTTTTTGGTGCACTCAGGATCAGTGCATTTAAAAGGCAATTTGCGATTCGGATCATGGGTTTTCATATGGGATTTGCAATTCGAGTTCCTGGTGAAATGCCGTCCGCATTTCTCACACATAAACTTCCCTTCGGGTCCATTAGTCTTCCTCCTCGACTGTTTCCTGATACCACCCGATTGAACCTTTACTTGGTCGTCTTGAGACGCTGCCGCATGTGAGCGCGATGACCGTAGAGGGGCTCGAGGAATCCTGTTATTTATCGCTGGTCTTTCAGTGTTATTATTCTCCACGCTTTGATTCTCCACGTTATTATCTAGGTCGAAAAGGAGAACACTATTATTTTGATCCAAGTCTTGAGGCATCGAGCAATCAACCTGTCTCTGCCGTTGTTGATTTATAGCGGAGTGTCGTTCTTGCGTCGTAGTGGGGACTAGTTGATAGTGAAAGTCGTTATTGTAAGAGGTCGCATATCGCTGGATCATAGAATTACTAGCCATCTCGCGGTGTGTCGGACTAGAATAAACCATCGAAACGCCCGAATGCTGGGGGGCGCCTTGTAGAACTAAATGACTCTCTTCGAATGAAGTTAGGCCCGACATCACTCCCATAGGAGAGAAGGCGTTGTTTGGGCCGCATCCCCGTTGCCACGCTTGGGATGATTGGAGAAGCGATTGGGAGGGCGAACACATTGATACATGTGTGGTACCGAAAATACCAAGTCCAGTAGCAACAGGTGAGTGTGCCGGGAGGATTTCAGTATGTGCGCGGCTTTGGGGGGGAGTAGGATATGGGGAGGAGGCATTCACGACCATAGCTTGCCCAGTAGTGGAACAGAATTGTGGGGAGAGTCTCGCAGGAGACCTAGAGGCCAGGTCCATAACTGAGATCAACAAAACTCAATCACCACAGATGATCTTGAGTACAATGTATACGATATCAGTTGAAGGACTATCGCAGAAAGAGTAAACAGTATATTGATAATCAGGCGTGAATAAGTTAAATAAGAATTGGAGAGGGGCAATGGGGTATATATTCCAGAAAATGGGTTGGCGATCAACAAGCCTCATAAATAATGTTGTTGGACCCGAAAACCATTCTTATACATGTACATGCCGCTACTGGAATGAAAGGCCATGGTGTATTGCAGGGTTCGAGTGTGTCGAAAATTGGATTGAAGAACGGTTGAGTAAATTCCATACCGAGCGGAACCAGAAACGTGAAAAATACCAACCACAGAATGAGAGCAAGGCAGAATTTGGGAAAGGAAACGGAAAAGGAAAAAAAAGAAAAACTAGGCCAGGGCATCGAATCCAGAGGCCAGATAGACGCGGTCGTTGCATCAAGATTATGGTTAGGTACCAAGTGCATGTGGAGGGAGAGTGCACGATCGAAGTCGGGGGAGGGGTGAGGATAATCCTGCATAAAACGAAAAAAAAAGTAAAAATAACAAAAAAAAAAAAAAAAGAAAAGAAAAGAAAAGAAAAGAAAAATGTCCTGCCACAGCTCCAGAAATGCACTGTACCCTCCATTCACATGAAGCGGCCCCATAGAGCGTTCGAAGAGCGATGGTGGAGCCCAAATTGGTATAGACAAACCCGACAGAGTGGTTGCGCATGCATCTGGTCATACAAGTCCGAGCACTTGCAACGGTTTAGTTGGGTGCAAGCCTGGGCACTAAGAGAACTGAGCAAAAACGGGAGGTTTAAACGAACAAAACAGGTACATGTGTAGTTCTGGTTGCATCGGTTCGGGCGTCAATGATCCCCTACACATCCTGCCTAAACAGAGTATGCTGCGCTTTTTGCGTGTGGTCATTTTTAGCAAGAGCGTAAAATAGTAGGTGGGGTATTTGCGGGTGATCTACTGGGGGAGGGGCGAAGCGCGAGGCGTGTACAAGCGGATAAATTTGCCAATGTGCTATGAAATCGAGTGGATCAGATGTGCGTGGAAAATTCCGGAACCAACAGCCACAAAGGTGCACTTTCATACAAAATACCAGCCGACGTACCTTACCTACCAACAACATTGAAAATACAGTACATACCCTCCTGCGTCTCTGAACGGATAATTTGGCCAGAAACTGCATAGTGCACTGGCGTAAAAAACTGGAGTTTCAATGATTCTTGTTGGAAGAAATTGTTGCAGCTAACTGTTCGACCTGTCTGCGAAGGCCATCCACAGTTTGGACCACATCTGCCAGGTGAACTGGGTCCGCGGTCGGCCCTGGGTCTACTCCACTTGGGCCACGGTGGGGCACCGGGGCCACTATATCTCTCCCCGGCAAAGGCACAGGCCTGGAAAAGCCTCGACGATGACGGAGCGACAGTTTGTGAACCGGGACCCTCACTTGACTTACGGGAGGGGGACGAGATGACGAGGTTGCCATTGGTGAATGGTTCTGTCGAGTAACATAGCGTCTACTACTCTCATACGCAAGAATAATGCCCACAAATGGTGAATGAGTTACCTTCAACAGGACTATACGGACCCGGCGGATCGATTCACCAGGTAAGAATAGCCGGAGAGGGCGAATGCAGAGCAATGGTATCAGGTTCTTGCAATGAAGAATATCAGTTAGTAAATAAGCCTTAGTTACTGCCACACATATCGGCAGTTAATACAAGGGTATTGTCAATTTATTACTGACAAGTGGGGGCAGAAAGTAAGTCAGACGCCGGGAGTTAACACTGTCAAGGACATAAACGGAAAGTCTAGGTAGGATTAATGTTAGTAGAAGAGTTGTGTAGGGTGGGAAGGGGGCGGTGCGCAGTGAGGCAATAATGGATCATGTAGGGCAACTTGCTGGAAGAGATACTCCTCTCGAGCATGGGCCATAATCTGTATAGGTTAGCGAGTTCGATCTACATGGGTCCAGCCAAAGAGAGATTCACGTACTTCCGTTAGGCTCAAGCTCATTAAACTAGTAACTGAAGATATCAAGAGAATGTTCGTCATGCAGACGAATACCAACCTAGATGCAAGTTTGCGAGTTAGAAAATCACCCACAAACGGAAATCCCCGACGAGGCGCTATCCCTGTACAGGTTGGTTAAGGAAAGGTGCAGCCGCAAATATGGGGAAAATGATGAATTGATATGACAAAGAAGAAACTGATAGGCCAACATAGCACCGCAGAGGAAGAACGAAACTGCCAGGACTAATGTTGGTGCTGCTGAAGGGTAGGGTAGGGAATGGAATGCAACTTGACATGGAACGTGATCCGGTCTAGATGCGTGATGAATTGAAAAGACGGCTTACATAAGAGGATAGCCGAAAAGGGGCGAAATCTAGTAAAATTAGCGCCAAAATCATCTAAACGCGACAGCCAATCGATATTGGGAATATCCCTGTCATTTCAATTCAGGCTGCTGCAACAACCGCGGAGTGCATGGACCTTACATCTTGAGCGATGTCCTAATATCCAATCATTTCAGCCACTTGCTGTTCTGCATGTAGTAGTCGAGGCTTGGCAAAGACGTGCAGAGAACGGGTTGTATGATCGAACTTACGAATCCGAGCGAGTTCAACCTATTCAATCATGCCACATTTAATATGATTTTCCATTAGGATTGCCATAGCAAGCCCCACCAACTCGTCAGGTTTAGGAAATATTTAGCAGGCTTACCCAAAGAAGGCCTTGACTAAAATCCACGACATTTGCCGCAGGGTCAATCGATCCCGTGCTAACATCGTGAAAGTGGTGAGAAAGCCTGGATATTGTATTAGCTTGTTATTTGCCGCCTTGACTGGGGATTTCCGCCCCATTCTAGACGAAATAGGTCTAGAATGACGGAATGATGTCCATACCAATATACAGGATCACGACCACGGGCAGAAACTTTAGGAAGGCTTTTGTCTAAGCCCCGCTCATGGCATTAGCACCGGATATGACCTAATTGATAGTTACGTGTTGAAAATTATGTACCATCTCCTTGAGTACGGGTATCTATGCATAACCAGTAATCAGTAACAGCGTATATGCATTTGTGGCACAAACTTGCGTGGCGGAGGAGTCACCAACCAGGCTACCGAAGTAGGAATTCAAGCTCATCAGAGAGCAGACCCTGTTGTTCTCTGTCAGATTCAGGCGGTATGTGGCGGTGCATTCAAATGAAATATTACACTTGCCTTGGAACTAAAAACAATGCTTCTAACGATAGGATATCGAAGGATATGTCCGTGACATATGCACTTCCTTGACTCAAACCGATTATTCCTTCGGAAATCTCCGTTAGCACATGTGGCCTGGCCTTTCCTGATCAACCTCAGTCATGCCAAACACGACTACTAATTTTTACATCATATATTACTACGCCACAACGAGGTTTCATAAGGCAACGCCGCAACGGTGCCCAAAACCTTCGGGAAAATCAATCCATCGGGCTAAACAGGATTGTGGCTGGTAAACTCACTAGCAATAAGAAATGCAAAACCTGTCCCAATGATCCCTAGGTCCCATAGACTCCAGAAGTTCATTTGATAGAACATCATCCCAGTATCTGATAGGCCGCTAATTTCGTCATATGCAAATGCTGCAATCCAAATGTACAGCAATATTTCGATGGGGCTGATTCGCAGAGGGTTCCTGGCCATCAGAACAGCATAGTATAAAGTTAAAAAGGACAAGAAAAACACAGCCTCGAATGCTTTGCGATAAAGTGGAACTTGCAATCGGCAGTAGGGATCAGTCATTCTGGCGCACTCAAATTGTCAGACGATAAGTTTAGTTTGAATTGAGTTCTGCTTGAAGTAACTACTACTATACCTTTTGTGGAACAACTGTGGTTTTTTCTTCGAATGGACACTCAAAGAATCCCATAATACTATTGCTCCAGTCCACACGCCGTTGACCACTTTCTGGACGATAGTTTGTGATAAAAGCTTCTTTGCGTTTGCGATTGCTGCAATTTCCAAGGCGTTAAGACCGCAAAACATGTCATATACGTCAGATTCGAACCCTTCTTCTGAAGAGTTCGTGCCAGTGATATCCTCGCTTCGTTGTGAATACTTGGTGTTTCTAGTTGTCCCATATCCCAAAAGTCGCGAAAGAGGTGAAGCGTGGAGTAAAAGCGGTCGACGTTCATAGTCATTTTGACTTGAACCTATTTGAGGCTTGCTGAATGACCCTTCAGCATAACTTTCGGGATCATTCTCAGACGTTGGCTGAATACATGTCTCTGAAAGTTCATCGAGCAGGTATTCAATGGTATCTCTAGGGGAAAGATATGTTAAGAACTGCCAGGCAACAAATTCACAGGCATATCCTCGACTCTCGTTAAGACCCCAATAATCATCCTCCTGGTTGCAAAACTGCCATTTTAAAATCCTGCAGTCTATCTGTTAGTGCAATCCTATTGACTAAACGAATTCGTGACGGTGTACGTACATTAAAGCTGATATGAGAGAAGGGTTGTGCACATTGTCCGACAAAGATGTTGCTAGCCCTTTTAAAGGGTATCCAGCTGTGGTTGCCCGCATCTGGTCAAAACTGTATGGTGTATCTGGAATTGCTTGAATAATATACCTTAAATACTATTAGCATACTCATACATCTTCCAATATCAAAATTTTGGGAGTTGTCACCTACTTCGAGAGCTTCCGGATAATTGACCCCACAGGTTCATTTTCGGAAATATATGGCATCGCAAATTCATCGTCAGTCGGTGGGGTTATTGACAAAATCCTTGGGCCCGGCATTGTTTCGCTATGTCTTGATAGACAATAACGCGGACGCGGTAACACACCCGAATGAATCTCATAAAAGTTTAACCCTGAAAATCTAGCTAGTCTCCAGTATGACAGAGTACTCCATAGTGAGGCATGTGATCTTAGGGAGGTCGCCACAGTAGCGGCTGCAAAACAAGGTTCAACTTAAACATCATGTGATTCATCTGCTTAGCTAATCACATCATGGGGCCTGGAGCAAGAACATCATACAAACGGCAAAACCATCCATCGCCTAACGTCGCTGGCTTGAAGCAGACGACACACCAGTGCGTCATGACAAGTTGTTGCCACAGTCTAGGCGTTGAAACGCCGTGTTAAACAATCCTGAAAGGATCAGCAAGGAGCCCTGATATGAACAAGTCTTTGCAATCGGGATTCACCAAGTCAAGGATAGCTAGCACCATGACATCAGTTTGCGACACACGGTCATATAGCAGTTGAGCTCCAAAAGACATCATGGGGCAGGGCTATTCCCTTACCACGCTTTCCGCTGGCTCTGCGGGCATCGATGTGCCAGAGCTCGCGGACCTTGTGTACGAAAAGTCCTTAGGCACTGCAAGGTTCATGAAGAGCATACGCGCTAGGCACAGAAATGGCCTCGTTTTTGTTAAAGTGATAATGAAGCCGTATCCGAGCATGGAACTAGATCCATATGTCAAGGCCATTCTCCGTATGTTTTAATCCTTCTATTATATTTGTTAGTGCGATCTAACCATGTTCCCATAGGCGAACGAGATATACTAGAAGATATCCCCAATGCCCTTGGGTATCAGCGGATACTTGAGACTGGGACTGGCGGCTACCTAGTCCGTCAATATATCCACAGTTCGCTCTATGATCGTATGAGGTACGATTTGTCCCTCATTCTTTTGAATCATATGCTCCCGGTTTAACTCTATGCAGCACTCGCCCCTTCCTCGAGGATATCGAGAAAAAATGGATAGCTTACCAGTTACTTTCTGCCCTCCGGGATTGCCATTCTCATGACATTTACCATGGCGATATAAAAACCGAAAATTTGTTGGTGACATCCTGGAACTGGCTATACTTATCAGATTTCTCGTCGTCGTTTAAACCAACATTTCTTCCAGAAGATAATCCAGCCGATTTTTCATTCTATTTCGATACTTCCGGCCGGCGGACATGCTACTTGGCTCCCGAACGGTTTCTCATGGCTGGTGAAGAACCTGATGGTAGAGGCGTAAACTGGGCAATGGACATATTTAGCGCTGGTTGTGTGATCGCTGAGTTATTTCTTGAGTCCCCGATTTTCACGCTCAGTCAACTTTATAAGTACCGGAAAGGGGAATACGATCCGGAACAGAGCCACCTGTCAAAGATTGAAGATCCCGACGTAAGAGATCTGGTCGTTCACATGATCCGTGTCGACCCAGAATCCAGGTACTCGGCTGAGGAATGCCTCAACTTCTGGCGCCACAGAGCATTTCCTGAATATTTTTACAGTTTCCTTCACCAATACATGGGACACATTACTGATCCTTCGTCTGGTCGTGCCCGGCCTGAGCTTAGGCCTGGTGATCTACGAGAGGCTGATGAACGAATTAATAAAACCTATTTGGATTTTGACAAGATATCCTATTTCCTTGGCGTTAATGCTAAACCTGCTATTGATGGATCAAATCTCACTCTTCCAACGCTTAACTACCCTATTTTCCCCCTTCAGCTCGATTTACCGAACTATGGCAACCAACCCTCAAAGCCTCAGTCTGATACTGATGATGGAACACTAATATTTCTTACACTTGTTGTTTCGAGCCTCCGAAATACCGCAAAGGCTTCTGCTAGAGTAAAAGCTTGCGATATCCTGCTGGCTTTCGCTGAAAGGGTTCCCGATGAAGCGAAGCTTGATAGGATTTTGCCCTTTGTGATGTTTCTACTTACCGATCGCTCAGATGTGGTCAAAGTAGCTGCCATTCGAACCTTAACCCAGCTTCTCGCTATGGTCCGGGTCGTTTCACCAGTCAATGCTTACATCTTCCCGGAGTATATATTTCCCCGCTTACAGCCATTTATCCCAGGTCCCAATTCAAATCCTAGCCCAATTGTCCGGGCAGCGTATGCCTCCTGCATTGCGTCTCTTGCGCAATCCTCGCTTCACGTGCTGGATATGGTTCAGGCCTTGCGCTCAGATATACGGCTGGGGTCGCTCGTTCCTGAAAGCACAGAAGTAGGTTGGACAGAAGATGTGTCTTACCATAATCTCTATGACGTGGCTCGAATTGATCTTCTCGACTTCTTCGAATCACATACAAAATCTTTACTTACGGACAGTGATGTTTCTGTTCGTCGTGCCTTCCTCGGATCAGTCGCCAGTCTTTGCGTCTTCTTCGGCAACCCAAAGGCAAATGAGGTGATTCTCAGCCACCTTAATACTTATTTGAATGATAAAGATTGGATACTCAAGTGTGCTTTCTTTGAAGCAGTGGTTGGAGTCGCCACATATGTAGGAAGTACAAGTTTGGAAGAGTTCATTTTGCCTCTCATGGTCCAATCTATGACTGATCCAGAAGAGTTTGTTGTCGAGAGAGTTCTTCGCTCTCTTGCTCGTATGGCCAAACTGGGGCTTTTCCAGCGAGCAACCACGTGGGACCTCCTCCATATCGCCGTACGATTTTTCATCCACCCTAGCATATGGATACGCGAGGCGGCCATCCATTTTGTTGTTGCTTCAACCACATTCCTGTCCCCGGCCGATACGTATTCTATCATAACACCTCTCGTTCGTCCCTTTCTCAAAACTAACACAACGGACATCTCGGAAGCCCAACTGTTGGACGCTCTGAAAAAACCACTTTCCAAAAGTGTATATGATATGTTAGTGATATGGGCAACTAAAGCCGAGAAAGGTGTCTTTTGGAAATACGCTGCGCGTGACGGAGTGTTTGATCTGGGTGGTCCACCTACGTCGAGCTTCGGGAAGATTCGGCAGCGTGGCAGCAATTACTCATCGAACACGATCACAAAAAATGACGAAGACGAGCAGTGGCTCTCTCGCATAAAAAATATCGGAATGGCCCAGGAGGATGAGTTCAAATTACTAGCTCTCAAAGAGTACATATGGCGAGTTGCCACCAGACGACCTAAAGAAGGGGATACCAGCTCAACTGCACCCTTGTCAAATATTGTATCCTTAAGCCAGCACGGTGTCACTCCGCAAACGGTCTTTTTTGATAAAAAACAAAATGTAGAGCAACGACGATCATCACTCAGCAAGTTGAAAGCGCCAGCTGGCGAGAGGAAAGTTCATACAATTGCTGATGCGCTCCTTGATGCCTCGACGACAATTGATACTGTGCCCGGGTCCCGCCGCACAAATCTGCCACCAGTTGACGGTGGGCGGATAGAAAGTGGAATCTCTCATGCTGTGCCACGAGTGACCCGGGACCCTGCTTCGCCTGAATCGTCGTCGCCGACCCGTGCAGTTGGATCACAGGATTCTTCAGGGTCTCCATCAGATGTAGAACGTAGGGATGATAGTCATCGAACCCGACCAGAAGATGCATCAACCCGTGATCGTTCGTTGAGGCGTAAGGATTCCGACAACCTTTCTGCAACGCTTCCTGGTGGCGGAGTCCATCGCCGGCCTTCAGCCATAAACCTTCTCAACCGTACTGAAACCGCAAAAGCATATGCCGAAACTTCCACCACATCGACGAACGCCTTCGGAAAAGTAGACGCCCCAGTTCAAAGGGACCAACGCCGCCGCCCATCACCGCTTTCCATGGTGCAGGACTCAAAACTTCCAGCGGAAGCACCACGACATTATCGCGCAAACCACACTTATCGTGGCAACGACCCCACGATCCTAAAACTTCTAGATGCAGTATTTGCTGAGAACTATCCGATTGATTTATATGACTTTGGGCCAACCGTTTCTCCGGTCACCACTCATCATCCTATCAAGAAGTCAAGCTTTCAGACGCCAGAGAAGCCCTGGAGGCCCCAAGGAAACTTGGTTGCAATGTTCGGTGAACATAGCGGGCCTATAAACCGCGTTGTCGTAGCCCCTGACCATGCATTTTTCGTCACGGCGTCGGATGATGGCACGCTTAAAGTATGGGATACCACGAGATTGGAAAAAAATGTAACCCCACGCTCCCGACAAACCCACCGTCACGATAGTGGTGCAAAAGTGAAATGCGTTACCTTCATCGAAAACACTCATACCTTTGTCAGTGCGGCGACGGACGGGAGTATTCATGCGGTTAGGATCGATTATCGCAATATTAACGATGCCCCCCGATACGGGAAACCACAAGTTGTCCGCGAATATAACCTTTCCTATCTGCCAAATAGCTTGGGTGAATACGCCATTTGGATGGAACATTATCGATCTGAGGCCCATTCCATGCTTCTGATTGCTACAAACAAATCTCGAGTTTACGCCTTAGACCTAAAAACGATGAGTGTAATATACACGCTGGAAAATGCTATTCATCACGGAACTCCCACAACATTTTGTTTGGACAGGAAGCACAACTGGCTCCTTCTTGGCACATCGCATGGTATCCTTGACTTATGGGATCTTCGGTTCCGCATACGAGTGAAATCATGGGGCCTTCCCGGTGGAACCCCTATTCATCGGTTGCTAATACATCCACTTAAAGGGCGAGGAAGATGGATATGCGTAGTAGGAGGCAGCAACAACGGCTCCGAAATTATGGTATGGGATATTGATAAAGTTCAATGCAGAGAGGTATACTGCACGTCTTCGGCGCCCACTGATGCATCTAATGAGGGCGACGACGGGCGAAACCCCAGCACACGGAAAAACATCAACCTAGCAGCAGACACTAGCTGGAAGAACTATGAGCCATGGCGTGTTGACGAAGACCGACCCGAAGGTATGCTGGGGCGCTTTGCGGGCAAACCTCAGTCGTCTGCTGGTGTTGAGCCGAGTGTCAGAAACGGGACTGGCCTCTCTTCATCCAGTAGCAGTGACCGGAGTGGCATCCGGGCCATCGCGGTTGGACTTGATGTGCCTGAGAATAGCCAGGAAGGGTCAAAATGCGGATTCTTAATATCTGGTGGATCGGATCGGAAAGTCCGCTTCTGGGATGTCACCCACCCGGATGCCTCGATGATAATCAGTGGCTTGGAGGTGGTGCCTGACGGAATCGCGCAGAAACCACGATACGACGTAACACACCCTACCCCTTCATTAACCGTCACCACTGAGTGGGTGCCTACTACCGGGGCTTCTCCTAATGGCAGCGGCAAGGGGCGAGGTTCTACAAAGAAGCGTGGAGACAAGGGCTCGGCTACCGGACCTACCGCAGCCAGCCGTCCTCCCAGAAGCACAGTAATCAGCCTACAACAGCAACAACTTTTGAAAAGTCATCTTGACTCCATTCTTGACGTTGCGCTCCTAGAATCCCCGTATGGGATGACTGTCAGTGTCGATCGCGGGGGGATGGTATACGTATTTCAATAAAAATTTTCGAGGTTAAGTATTGGGTGTTTAGTTTTGAAAGCAAGCTTTCTACTACTACTTTGTACTTATCATAAATATGTTACTATGCCAGTTACTTTTTAAAAATCTATACCCAGAACTTGCCGGAGACTATGTGCCTAGTTGGATATCTAACCACTTCTTTAGCAAGAATTTGCAAACCTCAATCCATTGGCATCACAAACACCAAAATCAATTGCGTAGATACATAAGCTTCCCGGTTCTGAGAGACAGTTATTAACCCCGTATTCGGGTCGATCTAGCATCAGCAGTCGGGACAGAGATCAGGAGCAAATGATGTCACGTTGCAAAATCTCCCAGATATGTACAGTACATGTACATCATGTACATCTACTGTACAAGAGTCGATCTCGCAATCCTCCGCACGGAGTATTTTATTCCCTTCCATTCTTCGAGCGGCTAATTATCCCAACAACGGTAACTGGGCTTGTGTGGTTGTCGCGTTGTTCTAGCGCCGCTTGGACATCCAGACCCTTCCACCACACACAGCGAACCACTAACAAGCAAAAGTGCCACTTTTCAAGGTTTCTTTGCTTTGTGGGACGCTATGTTACAGCGTAGTTAGTTCAGCAAGCGAGGTGTCATCATCCTGACATCCTCAACGCTTGATCCCATTGTTTTGCAGGGCAAAAAAGCCCCCTAGCGCCTTTTGTGATGGATTTCAGGCTGCAGGGAGAGCTTGATACGCCATGGCGCTGCCCGCCAAAAGCCCTATTACAGCGTACACAGGAATATTGAAAAGGCGCTGCCTGAATGGGAATAAAGGAGAAATGCTTGATTTAAGCCTTTTAATTTTCTTACGAAGCAATTTTACCGCCCGGACTAGCTTGAATCCACTTGGCCGGAGCCCGAAAAGTTATCTCAAATCTCGCCTTTTGATCTTTTTATCTCCGCTCCGGTGAGCTCCCTTTCGTGAATATTTTTGCTCTTCGTTCTGGAAGGCGATTTTTGCAGCCACTCTCACAATCATGGATATCGATCCTAACTTAACACGCCCAGATCTATTAGTCCTCAAAGAGCTATTTGCCGATGTTTCCGAGCTCAGGAGCCAGGCTGTTGAAGCACCAGCAAGCCAATCAAGCTCTGCCAGTGGGACGGAAAATTCAGGAATCGACCAAGCTGAAATTAGGCAAAGGTGGTCCAACAGTAAGGCCCTTTGGCTGAACTGTATCTCAGTATATTGCTAATAAGTTTTTTAAAAAAGAAAATGGGTACGCTGAATCCAACGGCCTCCAAGCCAACAACGCCACGGTCGAAACTTTGGCTTCTCTCAACAATCCTCAGCACAAAGATTTCGAACCAACCATCTTTCTGACGTGGGATTTCAATGATATCAAGCTTCCCCGCCTTCTAAATGACTATTTATTAGAGCCGTATGTCAATTTTGGCCGCAGTGTAGTCCGTGTCGAGACAGATGTGGTAATGCTCACGCATCTCCTACTCTACTTTGCTACATCCGTCCCAAGTGCACTTTTCCTGTTCTACCGCTTCAATTGGATCCATGGAGTCCTGCACTGGATCATGCAATCCTACTACGTGGGAACATATACTCTCATGATGCATCAACATATTCACATGGGAGGCATTCTTGCTCGAAAATACTCATGGTTTGACAAGTTGTTCCCCTACATTACAAACCCGCTGATGGGCCACACTTGGAATTCTTATTATTACCATCACGTCAAGCACCATCACGTCGAGGGCAACGGGCCTAACGACCTCTCTTCCACCATTCGATATCAGCGGGACGACTTGGGTGATTTCCTCTGCTACGTTGGTCGATTTATGTTCTTCATCTGGCTGGAGCTACCTCTGTACTTCCTCCGCACATCAAAGACACAATTAGCCATAAAGGCTGCATTCTGGGAAATTTCAAATTACCTTGCTATTTTGCTCCTCCTCACAGTTAATTGGAAAGCTACGTTGTTCGTATTTGCGCTGCCACTCTTACAATTACGAGTGGGATTGATGATTGGCAACTGGGGCCAGCATGCCTTTGTTGATGAAGTCGATCCAGATTCCGACTTTCGCTCAAGTATCACACTGATAGATGTTGCTGTAAGAAATCCTTACCTACTCTACTGCTGCTTCGACTCAAAATCCATGCTAAAGTTTAAAATGTGCGCAGAGCAACCGTTTCTGTTACAATGACGGCTATCACACATCTCACCACCTCAACCCTCTGAGGCACTGGCGGGAACATCCCGTCGCTTTTCTCAAGCAGAAAAAGCGCTACTCTGAGGAACATGCGCTGGTATTCCACAACATTGATTATATCATGTTAACCGTCAAGTTGATGCAGAAGGACTATGGGCACTTGGCAAAATGCCTTGTTCCCATTGGTGAGCAAGTCCATATGAGCTTGGACGAAATTGCCTCGATGCTTCGAAGAAAAACGCGTCGATTCACTGAAGAGGATATTAAAAACAAGTTCAAGGTGAATAAATAGCGAATGTGTGGCATACATTTAAGCGTGTGCATGTATATGTGCTGGTTGGGCATTTTCCTGGTTGTATAGTTGTGTTTTCTGTGTGCACCGAGCCCCCTTGTCATATATTCCCCTACCCATCCATGTTGCCTTCACCAAAACTAGATCTCCTTGAGCACTTGGCATTGTTGCAAATCTCTCACTATTCTCGTTGTCTCTTTGATCCCAATTTGGTTATGGGGTGTGAATCTTTTATATCTATTATTTAATACATCTTTTTCACATAACTAAGCTTTCACATACTGCCTGCAGAGTACGGAGTATGGCATATCCTGGTTTTGTACACATACCGCAGATCCATATACTCCGAAATAAACTAGCATATGGCAACAACAGTGTCCGATTAATTGTCGAACCAATCCTCGAATAATTGAAGTTCCAGTTCGATAAACTTGATAGAATCGACGATCGCAGGCCGAGGAGCGATGAAGGAGAAGAAACACTCCGGAGTTTCGAATTTGATGATGGCATTTTGCCACAAGCATGCGCCTATATCTCGTGTGAACTGGTGGCTAACGTGGAATAGGAATAGGGGACGGAGAAAGTCGAACTCCACGTTTTGGTCTTCGCGATTTGAGAGTGTCATAAGAGGATATCCGTGGAAATCGTTTTGAGTGCCCCCTTTGGGTGTACATCTGCGTCGTAAAATATCAGGGCCTTTGTAAACCTACAGGCTATAAACAGGGTGGCATGCCCAAATCGATCAGCGCGGCTGAAGAAGGGGCGTCTTCCATTTCCGCTGTAGTATCGTCCTGCTCCTCTTCTTCTCTCTCGCCGTCGCGAACATCATCATCATAATATCATCATCATCATCATGATCCTCCCCATCACTCGTACTAACCTCACTCATTTCATCAATTGGCAGACTTGTATCAAATTGTGACGTCATACAAAGCTGCTTTCCACGCTGCATTTGGGCATCATCAGCAACCCCTTCCCGAATTGCTTTATACAGTTCAAAAATATCTTCCATCCCTTCGGGGACGTCTCCGTTTGGTTCCTGCGTTGAGTGTGTAAAATCGGGTCTGGATAGCGAGAGGAGCAATTATAAAAATCGGACAACGTTTGCCCCCGTCATTTCGGCCAAATCTTCATAGCAGCTGCACAATAGAGGCTGGATGAGGAGACCAAAGATCCTATAGCGGAGCTCTAGTGGTAGTCTCATCAAAGGGGACGCTGATTGCCTGGCGAATGTGAACAACTTTGCCAAAACCAACGTCGCGGAGAAATAGGGAACCTACGTTGTTTTGGCCATCACTCGTCTTCTGCTTGGATATTCTTCGACTTTTATGCTTCCCGACGCCATCACTTTCCATTTCCAGGGGCGAGAATAAAAGATGCCCATAGCCTTGAGTATAGTCAACAGATTGGTCACGACCAAACAGCGCCTCAATATCACCCCTCTCCATATGTCCCATTTTGCAATGTCTCCAGGTGCTCCAGGTGTCCGCCTGCCAGCTATTCTTGTGAATAAATAGCCTTGCTGCTCGCTACATGGGGGGGAAATTTGGGCAACAGGTGTTTTCATACTCCAGTTCGCTACTCCTAAGCCCGTAGCCACAACAGTGAAAAAAATGGACATGGAGACAAGATTGAAGGTTTTTCAGCGCCACCTTTTGTCCTCGTGCGCTGGCACCTTAAAGGCGAACAGGACAGGCAGCAATGTGCTGTTATTTTCATCCTCATATGAAGCATAATCATTGAGGTAGCCGAGCCTCACTTCGCCTGCCAGATATCAACATGGTCTTCTCTCGACACATCACAAGCTCAACGGTTCCGTTGAGATATATCGCTTTGGCCACACAATGGGAGGGTAAAGGAGCTGCGACCTCCGGTGCTATAAAATCCACATGATTCAGATGGCTTCTTCGTTTTTCTTTTTTCTTTTTACGGGCGTTCTCCAACCCAGATGACACAAGCAATGTCTCAACCACCAGGAGACTCGACACACGAACCTCCTTTTGGTCAGCCTGAGACGAGACACGGATAAATTAACATGGGGATTGCTACCGATTCTAATCATTTTGGCTCAATGATAACTGTATCATCAAACTCTAAAGCGATGTTGCAGCCAATTGCTCCCTCCCCTCTTGTATCACCTTGTTTCGGGGAACCGCTCGGGCATCGTTCCTACGGAGTCGATATAGCCAATAGCTTCTTCTACTGAATATTTCCAAATTTCTCACTGGTTTTGGCTGACTGGCCGACTTTCGTCCTGGAGACTGTCGCCGTTCGACTTCTCCTTCTATTTTCTTTTACTACTTCGTTCTTCTTTTCTCTCTACGTTGTCTTAGTTCTACTTGTTTTTGAGGAATATAATCCCCATTCAATCAATGTGGAATACGAGCGTTGCCAGAACACCCTCTATGCGGTCCCTATCCGCCCGGTCGATGCCCGCAGGTTCTCCAGGCTCGGGAGGTTACGATTCTGATCGGAGCAGCGATACCATCGGAAATGAAGAAGCACAAGCCGGACTATGGCAACGGCAGGGTAGTTTGTCACCGAAGCTTGACAGTTCTAGCATCCAGCTAGCAGAAATACCAGAACCGCGGAGTCTTATTGTGCAAAACGCGCAGTACCACCCACAACCTCTCAAGCAGATTCTCTCTGAAGATCTGAAGCAATCAGACGACGCCGACTTTCCTAAAACAACGCCCACGCTACGAGATTATAGAACAGATGCAGGCAGTGCTTCCGGCTCCTCAGAGGGTGAAGAGGAGCCTGAACGAATTCCCGGGCCCCTCGAAAAGCAGCTTTCCTCTCTAATGTCCAAAATTATTTATATCGAGCAAGCAAATCCCACCATATCCATTGCGCAGGAAGAATATGAGGCATTGCAGGAAAGAGTCAAAGTTCTCGAAGCCGAGAAAGCTGCAACAGCTCAACGACACGAGGCTATTTTTGCACTTCGAGACGAAGACGTCGCCAACCTCAGGAGAGTCCGCATCTTGCTAGCCGCAGAACGCCGTGAACATGCTGCATTTAGAAAGCTGCGGGACGATGACCTCAAAAACGTTATTGTCCTGCGCGGCAAACTGTGCGATGCAATCCGTAAGGTCGAGCGATTAGAAAGAGCCGGTGGCCATGGGCAACATACACCCCCCCGACAACCCAAGAGCAACATCTCCTTTGAACGACGAGATATATCAGATCTATTCCAAGCCGCGAAGAACGCAGCGCTGGAACAGCGGGTGCTCGAGCTCGAGAAAGCCAACGAGGCTCTCATGGGCCAGCTTGCCGCTGCAACCCAGAACAACGCATTTCGTGCCACGACAGACAAAGCATGGCGCACTGCAGTCGACGAGGTAGAAAGCAAACTACGGCAGAGGGAGGAGGAATTGGCTGAAATGCGCCGCTCGTCCGTAGCACCAACCGGTATGGACTGGAATAGGATGGAGGCTTTACTTGATGAGCATGGAACGTTCCGCGAAAAGACAGCGCAGAGATTGCAGCAGCTTCGGTCAGAGAATGAGGCGCTGCGTCGGGAATTGCATAGGAAGGAGGACGAAAATTTAAGCCTAGAGGCGAGATTGAAAAGTCTACAACGTACATCACAGGCAGGAATGTTTCTGGGGGTGCTGAAATAGCCGACGATACTGCAATCAACATCTCTCCAATTTTGGTCTGGTCCACGCTATCTACTCCCATGTTTTACTGTGGTTCTGTTTTTGTCTGCTCTGTACACACTGTCCAACTTTCACGTCATTTCTCTGCACTCTCGGATATGGTTATTTCATTACCATTATCATATCATCCTATCATGCAGCGAACCTCACATCGTGTACTAATTTCCCTTGGATCAATAATATCACCAACTAAGCAATTTTCTTAGAATTCTTCCGCATTATATACATATATATGCAAAAGTTTTCCGAAATTTTACCCATCGAGAAACAGGGGGACAAAAAAGAGTCAAAATCAAAATCAAAATCAAAAAGATCATTTAAATTTTAAAACCCCCCCCCCCCCCCCCCCCCCCCCCAAAAGGTCGCTCATTTAACACATTTAGAGCATAACGCAACCTCGCAAACTGGGCATCGAAAGGATCGCTTGGCCACATTTCCGCAAGATCCACATTCAGTCTTCCTCTTCATCCTGAACATTCCGCCGGCTTGATGCACGCAGGAGAAAGGTGTCGGTAATTCTTGACCCCTTTTGGCCTCCAGTTCCCTTTGTGAAGCCTCAGCACGCATCTTGGCCCAAGCAGTTTGCCTTCTGGCGGTAGCATTTGCGGTGTTATCATTGAGGTTGACCAGTCGTACCGGCGTGATCGAATCCTGCTCTGTTACACCTATTCCAACTACTTCTTTAACCTCACCTTTACCCTCAGTATCTCCCTCCGCCACTTCTAGCTGCTGATTTCGCCTCTTCTTCTTGTCCTTCTTCGTTCTTCTGTGAGGCCGTTTGGATTTCGATCCCACCACAGGCCCCGGGGCCATGGAAGTACTCGTGTCATTCTTATCTAGTCCATTACCCACTTCAGCATCAAGTATGCCCCTTTTCTCCACCACCCCCCTCTCCTTCAACGGGGAATCTCCTCGAAACCGCCTCCCCTCCAAACTCGCCTCATGCAAGCTAACCTTCGCCCCCTTCCCCCCCAACAACATCATCCGCACGTACGGGTCTCGACACCTCTTCGCCAACAACCTAGGCGACTTCCCAGCCTTGGTCACAGCGTCCGGATCAGCACCATAGTCCAACAACAACCGTACGCGAGCCGCCGCCACCCTCTTCCTATTGTCTGACACAGAGTCAGCACGAAGAAGAAGCGGCCGCACAGCACAATACAACGGCGTCCACCCTTTCGAATTCCGCACGTCGACCTCAACACCCTGCTCCAGCAGCAGTCTCAAGAGCCCAGCGGGCCCGCTGCAGCAGGCGACATGGAGCAGGCAGCCTCCGTGGTGGGCTGGAAATGGCGTATGGGGATCTGCGCCGTGCTGGATGAGGAAGCGAACCATGCTCTCGTGGCCGTAGCAAGTTGCGATTTGGAGAGGCGTGAAGTAGAGGGTTGGTGGACATGAGTCTTGGCGCCGGGAGGGCGATTGGATGGGGAAGGGGTCTGGGAATGGGGAGGGCGAGGGATCCCCCGCGTGTATGTCTACGCCATGGGATAGTGCTTTGCGGGCGGTGGATTTGCGGCCCTTGTATGCAGCCCAGAAGAGGGCTTGGGGGTCCCCTGATTTGGCGTCGTGGCGGTAGAGGTAATTGTTTAGGATGGAGTGGAGGTCGCGACAGGTTTGGGAAAAGTTGTTAAGGTCTCGCTTGTTTGGGATTTGGTCTGCAATGTTTATGATCAACTCTGGGGGAAGATTGAGGAAGGTCATGAGGGCGCGAATATGGAGTTTGATATTTCTTAACAGGGTAAATATGCGTTTGCGATGCTCAAGGCAAAACGATAGGGAACTGAAACTTAACCAGAAAATTGGTTAAAACACTAAGTATGAGATAAAAAGAAGAATATGAGGTATTTTTAATCGTGGGAGCCGGAACACATGAGATTGAATGAGCATGAAGCTGCGCAGGAGGTCACTTAGAAGCCGCATGATGATAGGAGTGGCGTAGTGATATGGGTGATTCACTGCGCACATAAAATATATATTACCTCCAGCAGCTTTCATAGGGACTGTGAAAGGGTTAGAATAGGATAGAAGGAAAGCAAAAAAGATGTTGCTGGCAAAAGAGGCATGTAATAAGGATAGAACAGTACGTGCGTGATGTTCTCGTTTCAATCTCATCTCCAACTTCTTCAAGACACGGGCCAATATATCAGATAAACTCAGCTTCTGAGGGCGTACGGTACACAAAAACTTGATCATCCCCTTAGATTTTCTTGACAAACTTGTACATACATAATGGTTCAGGCTTCAGCTGGAAAAACAACTCAGTTTCTTCCAAGCAGTTGCATTGGTAGAGCTTAGGTGGACATCAAACTTCGATTTCTTGCAGTTTGTAACGCAACTAAATCAATTAATTATCTAGGTAATACTTTGGTTTAGCTACTGCGGGTAACTGAGATATCATCTTTTCCTTCTCAGGTTACATACTCCAAAAAAGAGGGGGGGGGGGGGGGAATGAAGTTCCACCGTGTTCAGTTACTCCCTTTCTCAACTACCCCTGAAGCAGAATCTCTTCATTTCAAGTCGCCTAGACAATAGTGAATCCTATCAAGGTGGAAAGAGTGCAGGAAAGGAGGGGGGGTGGATATGACGATCTAGAAAAACCTAATATCGCCAATCCAATTCATGATAATTTATATCAGACGGAAAGAAATAGCAATAATAGTAAAATAATAAAATGAACATGAAAATAAAGTGGAATGACAGAATGATAAAATTGAGAGATAAGGAGAGGAAACGAGATCTAGGGCAGAAAATTCAATATTTAGAAAACTAGGAAAATGTTATGATAAAGGAGTGGGTATCTCAACGCTATGATAGATAGAAAGAAACAAAGAAAAGTGAAAGAGAGAGGGACGAGATAACAGAGAGATAAAGGGAAAGGAGCATTGTATCCATGTGTTATAGTATTGAGGAGCAAGTGATAAAGAGGAGACGTTGAAGAAAATGTCGCGCAAATCGCATGCCATATGCTATGCGATGCTATTCTCCGCCTCCCATATATCTGGCGTGAAATAATAAGCTCTTCTGTCTTCCATACGGTGGTCTCGTCGTACCCACGAAAAGAAATATTAAAAACAAAATAAGCAAATGGAAAGGGAAAAAAAAGGAAAAAAGGTTATGTAGAAGTTCTGTGCTACTTCTGGGAATCAGCGGCTCCAATCGAAACGTCGGCTTTTACGCTCCCGGCATATCCACCACCACTCATATCCGCCTTCATATCTCTCAAGGCAACAAGACGCCTCGCACACACGTCTTCATGCTTAATCACATTTCTCAACGCTTCGCTAGCTTGGATGAGTCCGTCGATGCTAATTGCGTGGTTAGTCATCTGATGATTGATGTACGTATACACAGCCGCGGGCGTTGGGCACGTTGTAAGAAGCTGCTGTTCATTAAGTTTGAGTAGTGCCACAGCAACCTGGAAGAAGAAAGTGCTCCCACCACCGCCACTGGTGGCTAATGGGTCACCATCCGAATTTGGCGCAGATCCTGTTAGAGAGTTGATAGTATGGGAAATTAAGCCGGTCGAAACGGTGCCTCCCTCGGCATTGTCTCTCTGCGATTGAGCGTTGGACTGGGCCTGGGGAGTCAAGGCTGCAGTAGTAGCCGATGCGGTAGGGGTATTGAGACAGAAAACGACATCCCAAACCCGGAATAAAGCTTCCGCCGAGAGGCAGTCAGTGAAAGCAGACAAAAACCATTGGAAGGTCAGAGCTTCAAGTTCGATGCCTAGCTCGTCAAGGTGTGCCGATAATTTAGGCAAGATCTCAGCTACGTATTGTCGGAGAATTTGCTGATCAGCGCGCGACGCGAGTAGACCATGATCGTAGTAGTGGGCGGGAAGGATATTTTCGATGAGTGATGCAAGAATCCAAAAAGCATCCTCAGCGGTAGGCATAATCAAAAGTAGCGATCCGGTAATTAAATTCATACCCTGACAATAGCCAACGTCGGGGTTGCGGCGAGAATAAGCCAAAAGGACTTCGTTCAGTTTCTCAACACCAGGACCCTTGCGAAAGAAGACGTTATCAGTCAGTGTTCGATGAATATCCATTTCTATCTGGGAAACGACGGATGGATCTGTGTCTAAGCTCGTGCTGCCCTTCACAAGGTCATCATAATACCCGGGTACTCGCATTGCAGAGGCGCCACTGCATTCGGACCAAATTTTCGCTCGGTACGCGACAGGAATGCCTCCAATAACAAGACCTCTAAACTCGCGCCATTTGGCACGCCCGACTTTACCCTTGGTACCAAGGCCTGTAATTCCTACAACCTCTCCGACTGCAAGCGACACTTCAGGCATAGCAAGGGATACGCTGGGTCGATCAGAGGCTTCGCCCTCTTTTCGGCGCTCTGCACGAACTTTCCGCAAAAATTCATTCCACTTTACCGTACGGTCCCGTTGCAAGGAATCGTGAAGCTCAGTTAGCCGTTCCAAAAGGAGCTTAACGGGTTCCTGTTCCGACGCTGGAACGAGAGAGTCAAATGCCTCCGTTCCGGACCCTGCAAACTCTGCATTGCTTGACACGACCTGCGACGTAAGTGCGGCTGCGTGTGGTGTGGAATTGACAACAGATATTGATCCTCCTTTTTGAACAGCAACAGATGGTGAGCGTGGCTTCTGTTCGGCAGCATTGGATACTGCGACAATAGCACCTGCTTCTGGAGTGTCGGAGAGAAGCTCAGTTGGCTTAGTAGCAATTTTCAAATAATCTTGCCATCTTCGTGTGGAAATGTTTCCGTTTTCAGTATCAATTGGTGTTGCATCCGAGGGAGACCCTGCGTCGCCCGCGTTAAGACCTGTGTTCAGATCTGGATCGCTCCGGATCCTACTGATTGTTTCCGTGGTACTTATTCTGGATGGATCACTGTTGGAAGCATCTGCTCCCCTCTGCCGCTTCTTCCTCCTTTGGTCATGGATGAAACCAAATCGGTCTGTGAGTAGCTCCCCCGGTTGGTAATTTCTATATATGTGTGTGAGTGTTGGTGGGCGAGATTCCATAGGTAATATAGGATCCATCTCCACAGGACCCAGGGTAGTCGGATTCTCATCCGTTGGCCTAGACTCAGGTGTTCCGACTTGTCTAGAGCTAGAAAAGCCATCCCGGCGAGCTCCAGAGAGGCTGGTTCTAGAGCCTCGAACACTAGATGTGGTGGAGGGCTTTGTAGATCCTGTCTGCCCACTGACCGTGCCATTTAGACGCTTCAGGGCAGGAACTGCAGATGCACTAGGTTTTGTCGACTCGTTAGCCGATGTTTGTCTGACCCTCGAGTTCGGCGTAGTGGAAGAATGACGGCTTTTGACACTTGGGGAGTTAGTATCTTCCTTCCCAGCCTGGGGATTCCCAGCAAACAATTTGACGGTCCATGATGCGAAGGATCTCGAAGAACGACGAGAATTGACACTCGCAGCATCTCCGTTTTTTATTTTTGTCGAGCCCTTGCCGTCCGCGCCGAATGTAGGTGGAATCGCCTCCAGGGGTTGAAATAGATGCTCGTCTAAGGGCTTCCGACGATTTCCAGATGGGTCCGACATTTGCAGGAAATCATCACCACTATCCTGCTCATTCAAGTCACTCATCATGCTACTCGCCTTGCTCGTCTTCCGACTAACCGTAGCACTTCCCCAGATATACCCCTGCCAGGCGCGACCTAAAGTAGTAGAAGATCTTTTTTTAGTTGTGGACCCTGCACTAGAGCTTCTGGATCGAGGATTGCTGTATTTTCGAGTAGGACGGATTGTGTCGCGCAAATCCCCGTCCCCTTTGTCGTACTCTTCGGGTAACGAGTTCATCACCTGAGCTCCTACATCATCACTCATAGCCTGGCTCATCATATCATCGATTGTGGGAGACACCTTTCTCACTCCACTTAACGGGCCGAGATTCTCTGTACTGTCATCTATCGATTTAACAACGGGGTTTTCCAGAATGTAGAGTCTGTGTTCGATTGCCTGGTTCGATATTTGCGCTTCTCGAAGCATTTTCTTCAATTCCTTCTCTCTCTCGTCTGCGCGTAGCCGGATTGATGAAATTTCAGCATCGCGAAGTGCCAGATCCCTGGCGAACTGCCGGACCAATTTTACCGCTCCAGTCCTTGCAATTATGCGCTCGATATGGTCGTCATTGGCAAGATGGAGTGAGCCCGGAACATCCCGAGATGCGACTGAGTCACTAAACAGGGCAGTACGGCCAGATATCTGCGGTAACGATGTTGTTAAGCCTTCAAGTGTTGCTTTACGACCTCTCTCGCCGTTTTGGCGAGTGTTATCCTCTTCCAATAACGCCTGACTCAAAGCATGATTTAAAGCAGGCTCACCCCGGAAACCCTCTGGTGAGATGTCAGGAGAGAGGGAAGGAAACGACGTCAGGTCGGTGGGAGTATTGGTGGAGGAGGAGGTAGAGAGTCGCTTGACGGCTTTTGCTCGGGTTTGCTTGTTTCTATGGCTTCGTCTAGAAGACACGGATGTCTGGGAAGAGGAGCGTCGTTTGGAATTGGCATGGGGATCAAGAGCGTCAGCCATGGCTAAGGTGCTGTCAGAGCAACTGGCGACAGAAGACTGGCGTACGTCTTCATCAAGATCAACTCCGTCGGCTTAGTGTTGACAATGTATGGTATGGTCCGAATCGTTGGGATAAGTGCACCTGCTGTTTTGGCGTCTCCAATTATGTCTTCTAACTACATTGACCATTTCTCTTCCCGTATTCCCACTTTAATACAAAACCCGGCTCGTAGTTTACGGGCAGCGAAGGACAACGCACAGGCGGCCAGGCCAGCCACTTGGAGTCAACGTGAATCTTTCCAGCAGCGGGACACGCCAAACGAGAGGGGGGGGGGGACAAATGGAGAAGAAGGGGAGAAGGAGGAGAAGGGGAAGAAAGGGAGGAAAGGGAGGAAGGAAGAAAGAAAGGAAGAAAGGGCAGGGAAGAGATAAATGTCTTATTATAGAGTGAATCAGACAGGAATGTTGACAAGAAACCTGGGATTGGCGTCTAGCAGACAGGGTGAATCATGAACAACAAATCTCAGCCAGATGTTGGTGATGATGAAATAATCTAAGAAGAAGCAAGTAGTGTAGTGTAGTTGTAGTGTAGTGTAAGTGTAGTGTAAGTGTAGGTGTTAGTGTACGGAGTAGTCTAAGTCAGCGATGATGCAAGTCCGGTGACTTGCTTGTTGCCAAAAAAAGGTTCAGCCGCCTTCCTTGTTTGGTCTAGACTCTGGATTATCTATTTCCCGTGTCCAAATAGTTACGGCATTATTTTCACCCTTGATGGATGGATGCGTTGGCAGGTCATGTGATGTTACGCATTAGGGGAAAAACTCTGACCTTTTTTGGTGCTGCATCATCAAGCCTCTTTGTCAAATACACATCAGACAATCGCATACAAATCTAGGTCCTTCACATGGCCATCCATGACATTTGTTGACACAGGAAGCTTCACGCATCATATCGCCACCCCAGCCGCGAAACCCTAGTGGCCAGTTTCCAGGCTCCAACCCAACCTGTCCGCAGATTGAAGGTGCCCGAAGGACCATGATAGGCAAAGTGGCTCTGGCTTGAAACAACTCCCCTTGTTGCTACGAAAACCGTGGCCTCCCTCATCCAATTTGCTCAGAAGTGGCGGGGTGCTGAGTGCTGCCCCTTACTTGACACACTTCGTCCAACGAACCAGGAAGTGGTGTATATCTGTCTGTCCAGAGCGCGTTGACTTTGACTACATGCTATTGCTATACCTATCTATCCCAATATTGTAAGAGAAGCACAGGAAAACTCACTGGGGCGTTGGGCGCGTTGTTTGGGACTTCAAATCCCTGCACTTGAATGCAGTAATGAGAGTGGTAACACCAGGGTATCACGGCTGGACCGAGCGATCCCATTCTTCTGGATCTGTGTATAGACCATTACGTAGCCAGCTGATTCCAACAGCTTGTCGTGCATTTGTGATAACTGGATAAACCTCGTCTGACTTCAATCATATCCTATTAGAGAATTAGAGGGAGCATTGGGCATCGGATGAGACAAAGTCTGGTTAACAACTGGCAGACCGTCGACAAATCAAGAAGAGGATAAACTAATCGAGTTCAACATCCATCCCATCCCATAATAAAAATAATAATAAACAACTCTCTCGTATTTATTGCCGGAGACTTTAGAGTGAGTTAAAAGCGGCGAGGGAACACTGCCCGAAACAGGCACCAAATTTCTCGTTCTGCCCGGCTAAATTAAAACTCCCGTGGCTCTGGACCTCGGGACTTTGGTGGCTGCAACACCTGCACAAGCCGCGAATGTGGGGAAGAACATGTCTGCGAATGCTTCAAAAACGAGCGCGTTGGCGGAGGAATAATAATAATGGACCAGAGCTGGTATCTTGATCCTTCATAATACCCATACTGACCTACAGTTGACAATACGTTCCCTGCATTGCCTTCCCTGGCCATGTTTACTCCGTACTCCCTCCATCCTCCGTCATCCACGATGTCTTCCACCGCTAAACGCCGCCTTCAAGCCGTCAGCCAGCAACTGACTCAAGGTGTCCCAGATGTCGGCACCTTTGAGAACATCCCTCGAATTCGCGAAGTTGCTCCAGACTCCGTAGGACCGTAAGTCTCCTGTGCAACTCAATGTCCATTGGAGGCTTGGATGTTGCTGCGGCGCACGCATAGCGCGGGCATCCAACCTGGCGAAAACCCCGGCTCACCCATATGTTGAATTTAGGAGAGTCCAGGGAAAGGTTGTCATTGTAACGGGTAGGTAGCCCAGGCCCTCTCTCCACCAAAAGGTATCGAAAATGACAGAAAGGCCACAACGAAAGACTAACATCTACTTTCACGCCCGCAGGAGCAAACTCCCCCATCGGCATCGGTCGAGCCAGCTCCCATCAATTCGCCCGTAATGGCGCAAAGGCAGTCTTCCTTTGCGACTTCTCCGATTCATTCCTTGCCATTCACAAACGGGAGCTCGAATCGCTCTACCCAGGCGTGGACATCCATACCCGGCAATTTGATGCCGGAAACGAGGAGAAAGTCAAAGCCGTTGTCGACGAGGCCCTCGAGAAATACGGCCGGTTGGACGTCATGTTCGCGAATGCAGGAATAGTTGGACAGCCCAAGATATTCACGGAAATTACAGGAGAGGAATTCATGCAGGTCATGGACACGAATGCGAAAGGGTAAGTTTAAACTTAGAGAAGAGGAAGAAAGATAAGGGGAAAAAAAAAAAAAAAAAAAACCCGTTAAACCCTCTGGGACAAATAACAAATAGAATCTACATAAACTAACACAAAACCCCCCCCTCCTCAAAACCACAGTCCCTTCCTCGCCGCCAAATACGCCGCACCAGCCATGCAAAAAACCTCCGCCTCCAAACCCTACCCATCCGGAAGCATAATCATGACCGCGTCCGTCGCCGGCCTCCGCTCCAACGCCGGCTCAACCGACTACTCCGCCAGCAAAGCCGCCGTAGTCTCACTAGCGCAGACCTGCGCCTACCAGCTAACCGGCACGGGGGTGCGCATCAACGCCATCTGCCCCGGCCTGATTGCCACGGGCATGACGAAGCAGGTATATGACATGGCAGAGGCGCGCGGCACGCAGCATAAGATTGGCCAGCTGAATCCGCTGCAGAGGGGCGCGATCCCGGATGAGGTGGCGCGGGTTGCGCTGTTTTTGGGCAGTGATGAGAGTAGCTATGTGAATGGGCAGGCATGGGCGGTTTGTGGAGGGTTGAGTGCTGGGCATCCGTACGTGCCGAATAAGATGAGCTGAAGGGGGTGAAAGAGGGACTGTTTTCCTGTTTGGGATTTTTTTTTCTTTTTTTTTTTTCTTTTTTTTTCCCCGGGTTAGGTTCTCAGTCTGGGGCGGTTTGGGATTTTTCTTTTGCGAGGGAATTGATAGATACATACTGTTTTTTTTCTTACGTACTGTCAAATGTGCTATAGAGTGATGCATGGATACCTAATGATGAATATCCTATTTACATCCCGTACTTGCTCTAAATTTCCAACCTTGATAAGGTCTCTGTATCTACTTGACTACTGATGGAGAGATATCTTATCCGCGGGAGCATTTTTTACTATACTCCTACACACACCTTTCTCCTTCCACCATGACGAGGTAACCACGTACCCATTGATATTCACAACTCGGCACCATAATCCGGACTAAAAATGTTTATTATGGCGGTAAATCGTATGATTGTATATAGGATGCACATACACCGTATGTCACCGAATTAAATAACTACACCTATAGATCTGGAAGGGGTGGCACTTGACACCTCCCATCCCCAAACAACCCTTACCCTCCTCCTCCCACCTCCAAATCCTTGGACAAAACCTCCAACACCTTCTTCTCATCAACACCCTGAAAAACATCAGCCCCATCTCCTCCCTCTACCCCTTCCTCCTCCTCCTCCTCCTCGACCCCTTCCAACCCATCTCCACTACTACCATCCCCATTCTCTCTCAAATACACCTCCTCCAGCATGAACCTGTCCGCTGGCAACCCACCAGCTGCCCACGGGAGGACGTAGAAAGTGGGAAATTCCAGCACGCTACGATTCCGTAGAGCGTCTGTGATTGTGGCTGATCCCGTAAGCGGGATGAGCACAGGTAGCTTTGAGCGGGATTGAGGGCGGTGGAGATAGAAGTGATGTTGCTGTTTGTGTTGTTGGGATAGGGGTTCATTGGATGGTGGATTAGTGCGTGGATTGGTAGTGCCATCACCATTGGCTACGGAGGCAGTGGTAGCATGGATTTCGTTTCCAGGCTTCGTGCGCTCCTCTGCGTTGCTGATGGAATTCTCAGTCGGGTTGGGGGTTGATTTTGTCTCTGGGCATACTGTGCGGGATAGGGGTGTTTGGCTGCAGGGTGTGGTGGCATGGGTTTCTGACGAAAGGGAGTTTATGTTTATGTTCATGTTTGTGTTTTGGGTCGCAGATGGCGAGGGCCGTGGAATGGCTTCGGAATCCAGTTTCCGTTTCTTCGCTGGTGGGGAGGTTGTGTTTTTCTCTGCACCAATCTGTTTTGAGAGGGACGTTCTAGAGAAGGCTGTAGCGACGGCTGTTGACTCGAGACACTTGCTGATGGCCTTTTGGCTCTGGCTGTCGTCGGCTAGTATCCATTCAATCGTCCAGTTTAGGCATTTATGTCTTATTCCAGTCAGTAGTTGCCACGATATCCCCATTTGTACAAATAAAATTACGCCTCGAAAGAGGTCAACACGCACAAAGAACAAGGAATAGGAACATACTTCTTATGCCAATGGGACATATTCTGTTTCTCTCTCGACATTCCCCTCGGTGCCCTAACCACCTTGACTCCGGCAATCTCAACCCCCCTCAACAAACCCACCTCCCCTTTCTTTACAGGCTCTGTCTGCTTCTTCCCTCGCTGCCTCTTCCAGCTATCACCATCATTATCATCATTACCATCACCATCACCATCCACCCTAGCCAACGCAATCCCCCTATTCTCCGCATCCCTCTCCGCTCGCTCAACATATCTCTCAATCCCGCTAAGAAAGTTGAAATCCTTATCAAAGGCCACGGGCGTCGCAAGCTCCTTACGTTTTAGATAGGCTGCTGGGTCGCGCACCCCAGAGCACTGAGACCATAGTTTATGGCGCTTACTGCATGCGAGTGAGCAGGTTGGGGTCGAGCAGCGGGGACATTTGTATTTGGGTTCATTGATGCGGCTTCGGGCGCATGAACAATGTGTTAGCAAAGATGTTTCTGTTGATTTGCTCTAAATACACAGGCTTACCAGATAGTACATAGATCGCTAAGCGATAATTGCTTGGATTCAGACATATTGTGGAAGGTCAGTACATAGCCCCGAGCTCTAGATATGGTTTCTGATACTCCAGTTAAGGAAACATCCCAACACAACAATTTTTGTCGGAATAAATATTTCCCCGGCTTATCGATAAGGAAGCTTGGCGCGAGAGCCTCCTTTTACTATTAACTATTAGGGCTAGCGTTGGTTATGAAGGAAGCTTCTCTTCCTTCAGCTCGGCCAAGTGTAGTTACGGAGTAGTGATGACAATTTCCCCCGTTGGCGCCGGCGAGCACTTATCTGACGACAAAACGCGCGTGCAGGGTTTGTTTGGCGATGGTGCCTCTCGGTTCTCTCGCGGGGAACATGCCAATAACGATGCCATCATCCCTACCCGACCACACAGCCCGTTTAGCATCCAGATGCTTCAAAAGGCGTACTGCAATCAAGCACCTCCTATCTACTGTACATTGTATGTACATGTACATACATACGCTGCTTAGGTACGAAGGGATATAATGAAGGCGGCAAATCCCGATACAAGAGAGCGCAGAAGCGGTTATGAGCGGATGCTCTCCGTTTGCTAGCGACCTCTGCTGCTGCCGCGGATACATCCCAAACATCCAGAGTACAGTCCAAGGACACACTTATCACCCCGAACCAGGGGAATCAATCGAAAAGCTTACAAGGAACGTCACAGCCCCTTGTATCTACTCCCCAGAGGAGCATTGGAGCAGGTCGGTCCGCCGAAGATGAACCTAGAAAAAAAAAAAAAAAAAAAAAAAGTAGAAAAACCCACCGCAAGCAAGCAGGGTGGACAAGCCGATCTCCTTCTATCTTGTTGATGGCGCTACTACGCAGTACTACTACTATGCGTAGAGCACGCAGTTATCCGTGCTGTCCTCGGCAATAATAAAGAACGAGGATATGTATGTATGTACGGAATATTAAGTGGATCAATTGAACATCATACTATTTTAAGCCGTGGCAGTCCCATCCATGCAAGAAGCAGCTGTCCATTATTATTCTTCCAGGAGAACAAAAAATAATTCACGTGCATTTTTAGAAGCTGTTTCGGCTTTAAGTTACACATCTACAAAGCAAAGGGGGGAAGATGTGAAGTTGTGCAGTTTATCTATCTATAATTAACAGTGATATGTGAATGTGATACCTCAATGCAATCACTTATACTTTTCCTCCTTTGCATAGAGATGACTTCTTAGCGGAATTTGATCTTATTTTAGACTGCAATATACGCAGTAAATGATTGCTGGTCAAGTTTTGAAGCAGTGAGATACATTATTACAATGACTGCTGCATTGCATTGCATTGCATATCATAATGCATATCATATGCAATCTCCCATAGTTGAATTATTGCACCCAGCAATTCTCTGCTCTCAATCGAGTTACTTCCGTACTCCGTACTCTGTACAGAATATTTTTCTTTCACACCCCGCCCGCCACAGACAACCACACACACACGTATCTTAAGAACCCCTCATTCAAAATTCTACACTCATCAAAGTCTCCAGGCTTCTTACCGCCATTGGAAGTTGAACCATCAACATCACATGCTTTGTTCATACGATATGTATATCCCTAGGTACCAACCAACCACCACCTCCACACACACACCCACACACACACACACACACACGAGAGATTAGCAACATATGGATTCTCCATCGCCGTTTCTGGATCATCTCCCAAGTTTCTACAGTCTATAATTCATGGATGGAGGATAGGGCAACGCAGCCTATATCCTTGGCTCAGCACCGGTAGAAGCAAACCCAGCTTTCAACAAGCTTTTGTCATGCCACCCATCTACCTTGTTTGAAGGCACAGCGAAAAATAATATAAATAAAATGAAATGAAAATGAAATAAAAAGAGAGGGAGAGGGAGAGAGAGAGAGAAAGAGAGAGAGAAAGAGCACACGGTCCCAGAAGGAAGAAAAACGGGTTGTAAACAAATGATGATCAGCGAGTTCCGAACCATACAGCGGTTACAATTTGCTATCCAACGGTGAATGGGGCGTAACTGAAAAGCCACAAGACAAGTACGGAGTAAAATAAAGAAGGGCATCATGAGGACCCTGAAAATGTAAAAAGAAATTCATCAACTAACCATTCTTTTGGAAGAACAGTTGACTACTCCGTAGTTTGGGTCAGGGACCAGACAGCAAATGCACAGACCCGCATAATTGTAATAGTTTAAAAAGAAAAAAAAAGGAAAAAAAAAAGGAAAAATAGCTTGAAAAGGAGAGAAAAAGACAAAGACAAAGTGTTGGGGGTCCCGCGGTTGGTGGTGATTGAGCTCTTTTGCCCCAGTAGCCTACAGGTTATGAGACCCGTTTAGCGTGAGCTTACAGGTTATGAGACCGTTGAGTGTGAGCCCCGCTGTGGTCAACATGCATGGGTTTGATCCCAGAATGGACTTAAAAATTCCAAACAAATACCCTGGACATTTAACAGTGCCAAGAGACATCCCAGGAGTGTGCCCTAGAAGTCCATTGAGCCCTAGGACTGAGTCCACTGAAAGGAGCCACTATGGGGAGCCACTGAAGGGAGCCACTGAGAGGAGTACAGTACTGTACTCTGTGGTAGCTGGTCCGAGGGGGGGTGTTGGGGGTCCCGCGGTTGATCGGCCCTTCTACCAGCAGGCGCTGGTGGTGATTGAGCTCTTTTGCCCCAGTAGCCTACACAAAGTGATTGGACTGAGTTATCAACTGAATAGCCAAGTAAGTGGGCAAGCTCCCGGTGTTGGGCGAATCATACCGTTTGCGGAGGGCTTCTTGAAGAACTGGGCGATTGGTATTTAGAGAGAGGTACTCCGTACGGAGTACGGAGTAAAGAGAGAGGGTTAACAAAAGAAACGCATCAGAGATATTTTAAAACACGCAGATACATAAATTCATGTTGGTCAGTATGCCAATTTTGTTGCCCACTATTGGTCTGGTATGCAGTGCGCGTTCCTTCTCCTCTTCTTAAGTGTTCCTTGGAGCCGGAGTCATGGAGAACCGGCCTAACATAAACAATAATAATGTATTACTGCGTAACGGCCGTGGCGACCAGTCATTTTGAACGATTCTTAACAGCCATTTTCGCTGATTATCGTAAGTAGCGGTGCGTGGATACCGTTCGAGGGGGCGTGGCGTGGCTGTCAGACGGACCCCCTCACCTGTAGAATCGGGTTGCACGTAACATGCAATAGTTTTGTCACACCTTTGGCCTGGAGTTGAAGAGGTAACAACAGATGGAGGGTTCAATTGCCTGATTTGCACAGAAAGAAACCCTTCAGAAAAATGTAGAAATCATTCAACCCTCTCTTTCACCAGGTTAGAGGGATTGGGTATGTATTGTGTCACCAATATCAATTTGAGGTGGGATCTAGCCATCGATCGTTTCGGCTGGTTTTCTAACGTGGAAGGGGGGGTAATGTGTTTCAATCTATGGTTTTGCTTTTTTTTTTTTTTTTTTCTCCCAAGAAACCTTTTGATGCCGATTTATCAGCATGGCTAATAATGAGGGGGAACGGCTCTACCCAATTATTATTTTCGGGATGTCAGATATGATACGATACCCAAGAGCCGTCGTCCGTGGCTCTGATTGAATATGAAGGCCTGGCTTGAGGCTTGAAGGAAGAAGGCTGGAACCGATGAACCTTGTACCATGCGTAAGTTACCGAACTACGCTGTAAGATGTGTTGTGTGGTAACCTTGGCACCGACCATGTGGCGTTGTCTAGTTGTCTACGCTGCTAATAAGGGGGCGGCGAAACCAACCAGTCCAGTCAGGGGCTTGCTCAGCTGGTGGGGTTTGGCCGCCTGCGATAGGCTCAACAGCTGGATGGGATGGGATGGGATGGGATGATTAAAGAAGTTTAGAACGGGAAAACGCTTGCCGCTAGCTTCCTTTGCCAAGCCGATAGAGCCTGATTTTTTTGTTAACCTTCCACGCTTGACATCTTTCATCATGATTATTATTATTTTCTGCTCCCTGTTTCTTGAATGTGGTTGTTTGGGTGTTAAGTTATTATTCAACTTCACTGCCTTCTGCGTGAGGAGTGGTGGCATGTGAATTCAGAACACCCAGTGATAAAGCAATTGAAAAAGAAATGGCAAGTAGGTGGATGCGAATAACAATAATAAAACAACAATAAATAATGATAATAGGGGGTTTCAGAGGGGGAAGAATAGCTACAGTTAATAATACCGCTCTTGTCCTTGGGCTAGGAGCATTTCGGTAAGCGTTGTCCTCCCTTCCACCCGGGCTCGCCCCAACAACGCCCGCAACGCCCACAACGCCCACAACCCCCGCCAGCCCGAACCCTGGAACCCCACTCCGGGCCCCTTTTGCAGGCTTGAAGCTCGCCCTAGCCCCGACCAGCAGGACCAGCAGCCCCAAGCAGCAGGCAAGCCCTCGTTCCCCTGCCCTGCCCTGCCCGCCCGCTTCCCCCTCAAACCCTCCCCCCCCCCTGGCGGCATCCAGTGCCCCTGCGCCAACCAACGCTGCTTGTTGCTTGTGGCGGGTTCCTTTCCTCGCCTCTTCTCCACTCTCTCTCTTTCTTCTCTCTGCTGGCCCCTGACTCTCTCTCTCTCTCTCTCTCTCTCTCTATCCCTCTCTATCTCCCTCAATTATCTTTCCTTTCGCCACCACTCCTTTTCACTCTGTTCTATCAAACTTCTCTCTGCGTTGGATGCACCCTCTTGGTGCGTCGTGTCGCAGCCTGGAGCTCTTCTTCTTCGCCCGCCAGACCTGACTGCGTACCAGTGGCCCCCCGTGTCACTCCTTTTTATCAGCGTGGAACCCTCCTGTTTCGCCAATTGATCGATTGAATGACCCATTGATCTCTCCTGCGGTTCATCAGGGCAACGGGCACAATAGCTTTTCTCCTGCTCAATTCCCCCTCTGACGGTCCCCCCCAAGCAACTTCGATCATATTATTTCGATTGGGTCTTATTGATCTATCTGTTCTGTGTCACGGACCGATATTTGTTATTTTTGTTATTTTTGATTTTTATTTTATTTATTTCTTCTCGTAGATCGATAGAAGAGGCTTTGGATTCTGTCTAACTATACCCGTTGTGTGTTTGTTTGCAGCAAGTGGTTTTCTTTGTTTTTTGACTTTTTATTTTATTTTTTTCCCCTTAAACAACTGCTGGCAACCATTGCTCCTCGCTGTAGCAGAGGGCAACCCATCCATCCGCCAACCCTCTCCAATAAAACCGGAAACGAGTAATATCAAACCCCCTCCAATCGATCGATCGATCGATCGATTGATCCTCTAGAAGGACATCGAAATCAGCAAGCAACATTCTTTTACCATGGCTCCGTCATTGAGAGACCATGCGTCCTTCGTTCGCCCTGCCACCAGGGACCGCCCAATAACCCGAGATCAGGGAGACAACTCCCTTGTTATCCCAAGTCGGACTTCCTCACTTCATTCCCGGATCACCCAACCCATCCCTTCGACGCTGAATATGAAACCAGCTCAACAAACTCCTAAAACTCTCACTCATGCCTACATGGTCTGTGGCGTTGGCCGTGAGCCGTCACAGTGGGTGAAGGCTCCACCTCCCGCTCAGGGAAAGATCGGTCATATGAAGGGAGCTGTTGGTCAATTCTGGTTACCTGAGATCTTGGGCAGCAGTCCCAGACTAGAACAGGATAACGAGATTGCGAGGGCACTACATTCCGCAATGAGAGTAAGTCCCATCAGGAGCTGTCCAACCTACCCATGAAGATGCTATGGCAGGACCCCACCCCATACGCTACACCCTTCGCAAATGCTGGAACTCGAACTTGGGCTGATATCTATTTCTGCAGGCTTGTTTCCCTCATGACGTTGAAATCTGCACGGGCAAGAACCAACCTCATTGTGTACACCATTCATTCGTTCTCCAACAGGATTCCTCTCACACTCTCTATGGCATTGCGCTGCGTGTATGGTCTCGAGCAGATGAGAAACGTGCGGAGACCATTCGCGAGCTGCGCAGGAAAACAGAGCCGGATTTCTATGATACCCCAGACGAAACTTATTGGATTCCATACTGCCTCAGTTTCTTATCCAGATACCCCCTCTACGATCTTCTTGGTGACTACCTCCGTGGCATGTGGATCCACTGGAACAAAGCTACCAATCTTTTCCACGCTGAAGAAGTATCCCGCATTCTCAGCTTCCCAGCGCCACGACTCAATGATTTGGTTCGGATTGACATGAAGGACTATGCACTATGCTACCAATTTCCCTCCTCCCAAACCGGATACCAAAACTTCGCTATGTGGCCCCTGTTCAACTGTTTGTCTATTCCGAATATTGTGGGTGTTATTGAAGCCGCTGTCTCGCCCACCCGCCGTATAATCTTCGTCAGTCATTACCCAGCCATGCTAACAGTGGCCGCCGAAACAATTCGATTCTGTGTGCGAGTCTACGAATGGAGTGGTCTCTACTGCCCAGTTGTCCATGCGCGCCACGCAAAGGAGCTCGTCCAGGAGCCCGGTCCATACATTCTTGGTGTTACTGCGGAATGCAAGACTCTGTTCACCGCTCCATCTGATGCCTTGGTAGTTGATTTGGACCGCAATTTTGTATTGACTTCCAGCCCTCCAAACATTTTGACTCCAGGCCAGAGGACCAAAATGATCAACAGATTGACCCAGGCTCTCAATGGGGATGTTACCCAATCTGGCGTTCCTCAGCACCTCCGATCAGCCTACGGTGGAGGTAAATTGATCCCAGCCGGCCAGATCATTGTTATGCGAGGTGAAGTTGAGAGTGTCCAAGATCCAGCTTGGTGGAATCAGGATGGCGTCATGGCCGTAATGGACCATGTCTGCGAAAAATTAGTGAGTATATGATATGATTTTCTAGAGAATTTGTACAAGGTGAAATACTAAGCCGCTTTGTAGGGCCGAAACACTGGAGTTAAAGCTCTCTTTGGTGGATCTGTCAAGAAACCATTGATGACCAAGGTTTCCATGAGACACTTGAACGAAATCGTTCGTGAGCGTAACCAGTACTCCAGAGATGCCATGGAAGCATGGCAAGACTTCATCAACCTCAAAGGTAGAATGGATACGGAGCTTTCCAAAGTTACCAAGCGCAACAACTTTTTGGTCGAAGAGCTGGAGACATGGAAACAGCAGGTATATTATCATATGGTCTTCCTGAGAGTTAAAGGAAGCTTACTGACTATCATTACAGTTCCTCAAGTTCCAAGCCTTTGCTGAACAACTTACCAAGGAGACTTCTGAGCTGAAAGTCAAAATTGAATCTCACAAACGTGAGAACCGCCGTCTTACTGGTCTTATTGACCAACAGAAAGACGATGCTGCTCGCCTTACCCTCCGACTTTCTGGAACTGAAAAACAGCGCGACGATGCTCTCGAAGCCTTGGTCCTCCAGCAAGAGATTGCTGAGGAACTCGAGCGTGAGAGGAAACGGAACGCTAAAGAGATCGGTGCCTTGCAACATACTAGCGATACTTTGTTGCGTCAACGTGATGAAGCCCAACGTGTGGTACTCCATCTTCGAAGCCTCATCAATGGCCAGGCGCATCACATGGAACATATTGTTCGCTCTCTGGGAACCACTCCAGAACTCTCTGGATATATTCAGGAAGGCTATGACGATATCCGTGAAGATGCTACTGAGACCGAATCAATCAGCGGCCGCGATACCAATGAAACGAGTTCCGTTAAGGGTGTTCATCACATGAAATCTAGCTCTAGACTCGGAACCCGCTCCAGTGCAGGTAATGGGGAAGATGTTACCCCTGAAATGGAACAACACTTGCTGAACCCCAGTAAACGAGCCAAACGCTACTCCGCACTGAGCATGTCTGATGTTGCTGATCGTCACCTGCGCGATAAGACAGATGCAATTGCCAACATAATCCGCAACATTAGCGACCAGTGTGCCGCTGCTGTCGAGGGTCTCCATCTTGCCCAAGATGCAGAATTCGAAGAATCGCTCCAGGCCAGCAAGGAGAGCCGGGAAGGCAGCAGCCTTGGCCCCACTGACGATGGGAACGAACATTCTATCCGCACAGATGGAAGTGAAGTCGGCGACAATGACAGCAGTTACTTGAGCCCAGATGGACGCGCCTCCAGTATTCCACCAACTCCAGATCTTATTCATCATCGATCCAGCACATCGATGTCCATGGTCAGCAGCTCCACAATCCCCGAGCGGTCAAGCCAGCAATATGGACCCGGTGATCTTCCGACTAAAATCGTGGAAGACGAGGATGAACATGCGTACGGCATGGAGTGTGCAGATGGACACATCGACAGCGGCACCGTGTCAAAACAACCTAGTCAACACATTATGAGACCTGACACTGCCCGTGTTATCACGTAAGAGTAGGAACGAAAACCATCTTGATAGAGCGTCGTCCTTTCGCCAGTCAACAACCCACACCACACACATTGATTCAATAAGGAATCTAGATCTACGAATACTCTTTCCACGCTCAATGACGGCAGCATCGACAAGTAATGGCGCCCTTTGGGAGTTGCATCCATGATTTTGACTTATGTTTCGAGCTCTCTTGCTATTATAACTTTATTATTTATCTGTTGGGGGTGGATTATTTTCTTTGTTTTCTTTCCTCTTTTCTTCTCTTTGTTTTATTTTCAAGCTAGATGTTTTATTTATTTTTCAAACTAACTTATTCCCCCTTTCAGCCTGTTAACAGTATTACCTTTCTGCCACTGTAAAACAGACGCAGAGCTCGCCTATTTCCGCCCATCCACTCAGCCTATACTAACTAGGCTAGCGTTTCAAAAGTGTCTTTTTCTATCTGTCTGTCTATCAAAACAAATATATTTGGTATATATGTGATGCGAAACCATGTGTACAGCTTATTTTGTTTCTATTTTCCAATTCCCTTGCCCGGTCTGATTTAAACCCAAACTATCTTCTCGACATGTTTTTTGATCCTCTCGCCCGTCATATCCCGCCAAACAAAGAGTGAGACAAAAGAAAGATAGTGCTAGGCACCTTCTATATGTATCATCCCGCAGTTCACACGAGCAGCGGATGGGATTCTACTGAAGAGGAAAATATGCATACGCCGCACCAGACCTTTTTTATCTATGAAACGCTCCTTTTCCCTTGTTTTGAATTTTCTTTCCGTTTTCATATTTTCATATTTTCAGTTCTTTCCCAAATTCTTTGTATTTCTCACCTCTTATATGTGTATATGTATTGTGTTCTCTTTTTCGTGCGCGATCCCTTCCCCTTTTGTTTTTTTTTTTTTCCTCTTTTCCTGGCGGTCCCTTCGTGGCACAGGACGTACACCCACACCCTCCTTTAGTTAACTAGTATTATTTATTTTATTTTCGTTTTATTTTTATTTTTATTTTTTGAATCTCCAATCGATTTTTCTTCCTTTTTTTGTTCTTCCCCCTTTTGCTTACTTTCGTAGCTTCCTCATTTCTCATTTCCTTCTTCCTCCCCTATATATATATATATAGCCTTTCGTTGTTTCTTTATTTAATCGCCATTTGTTATATTTACTATACTATGTTCGCTGATCGTTATATACCCTGAGTTCGTTTTCTCGACCTCTTTTGAGTTCAGTAGTAACATCTTTGGTCATTTTTATCCACGAGGCTTCCTACGAGTGTGCTACATACCTATGTGAGATAAAGCATTTCAGCAAACATGATAATGCCAGAAAACCACACATTGCGCGAAGAGCAAGCAATGAAGACGATCAAGCAAACAAGGCTGGTGGTGGTCACCACTGTACGCCTGTCTGCCTGCCTGCTACGCGGGGAATGTAGCCAACCAACCCAACCGGTACGAAAGGAGTGAACGCTCGTACTGTGCTGTGTTAGCCGGATAGTAAGTCTTTTTTGCTAGGTAGGGTAACTAGAGGAGAGGAGGATAATATAATCATACCTTACGAACCCTAGTGAGATTTGTTGGAGGAGATTTATATACGGACGTTTGGTTAGTTAACTATATTTTATTATTGGTCTCGTCTGTCGGGTTTGTAACTTTGTATGGCGACCACGGTGTGGTGTTGCGACACACGCCATTACATGCCATGGTTAAACAAACAAATAGACGGGAGATTTGAATGTAGGAAGGGATGGGACGAGAGAAGGCTGAGTTTTGATCTTATCTTTCTTTCTCTTGTGGTCGATAAAAAATATAACTTCACGGCAGCTATTTTTTTTTTTTTTTTTCTTTTCATTTGTTGTCCATTCACACATCTACTTTGGGTGTTGGGGGGGGAATGAGGAGCGGGGAATGTACGTATGCCTGTTTGGCATTTTTGTTATTCACTAAGCTCCAAGGGGCTTGCTTTTCCCAGCCTTACATGATATAACCACGCTGCTTACAAGGCTGCGGACGAGGAGGTGAAAGGGATGGGTGCCAGCTCGCGAGTCAGCAAATTTCTATCTTTTTTATTTTTTTTTATTTTTTTATTTTTTTAAGGGCAATCAATATACGTGATATACTGCTCTTCTACTCCGTACCCTGATATCCAATTATAAGAGCCTCTAACACCAGGGGGCGTTGGAAAGGTTGAGAAAATTGAATTAGGGCTATATGGTCACGTGAATATCATGGGAATAAGGGGTTAATCAAAATTGTTCACCACTTTTTCAACTCTACCCTATCTCGCTCTGTAGACTCTTAATGAAAAATGAATACACACAAGGATTTTGTTATAATTTATATTTGTATTTGCATTGTTAGGGGATGGATATATCTGCGCTAAGAATGTAATAAATAGGAAGCCGAGAATAGAATGCGAGAGCAGAGTAAGACAGAAAGGTGTAGTAAGTAGGCGGGTGTTAAGGGTAGTAGTGTGAAGGATGGGGTACGTTGGACATGAAGTGGTATGTTGGACATGAAGGTGGGCATGAATAAAAAGCTGGAAAAAAAAATAGATATAAACAGAGCGCCAGATAAATGTTGTAAGAAGGTGACCCCGAAAACACCAGTGAAATGCAGTTATCAAACGTGAAACGGACGATGCTAGTTGACGCGCCCATTGTGCTTGGTTGTCCAAAACGCCGTCCTTTCCCAGTTGTTTTACCCTCGTTAACCAAAAGTGCCCGTCGAATCGATAGGGAAACGACACGCGAAGCAGTGGAAACGAAGGAATGGAACCAGATTTGATCACCGTAGTATGGTAGGAATGTATTGATCGGTAGCGGACGTAGAAGAGTAAGAAGCGCTCGTGAATAGGAAGATATGGTTCCTATGGGGAAAAGCAAGCATGCAATATTGATCTGAGAAAATGACTTTGGAGTCCAAGGAAGATATATAGACGCGAGAACCACGCGATGGAGACACCCCTAGGGACTGGGCGTTTCCGACATCTTCCCTGGAATCCAACGTCCATCCTCCCCGGAAGATCGAGGCGAAATGATTTCGGTTGGAATAGTGTTGGCAATAGTAGCCATATCATCGTCATGTGGTGCTGCAAATTCATCGAAGTTGGGCCTGGCACGAATGCTAAGTCTGGAAGAGTTTGTGGGCGATTGTTGGTGACGTTCGAAGGCATTGGGTTTCAGCCGAATCCGGCCGCGTTCCAATGCGTGGAGCAGGATGGTGTTGACTTCATCGGATACGATTCCCTTCAGTTTACTCATCGTGTCATCGGACATCTGTGACGCGTGAACATTCCAACCTAGCTTATCCAGTCCCTCAGAAACGATGGACTTCGCATCGAGGGCGGCACCGGTGTGGATGCGTAAGTTGGTCGGTGAGCTCTCATTAGAGCGACGGGAGAGTTTGGCTGGTTTTTGTCTTGATGAAGAATTGATCGATCCAACTTCGTCCTGCAGACGTTTGTGGGCCGCTGGAACGTGATGTCCCAGAGGACCTTCGCCGACTTCGTTTCGGATCTTGTAATAGACCAGACCGAGAGTGGCGGCTAACGCCTGATGGCAAGCTTCTGGATATTCTCGGGCTGCTTCTGCGCGGGTGAGGTCTGATGGCAGGTCGCTCGAATCGCTCGAGTCGCTCATATTGCCATCTGTGGCGAAAGTAGCATCATGGGCATGAGGCATACGACCCCAATACTGGTATCCTTCCAGCTCGTAAAAATCGGCAAGCTCGACGAGTCGATGGACTAGAAATTCATAGATTAGTATGGCGGCAAGCCACAGCACAGTACCCCTTTAACCCTATTCCATGTCTATGCACTCACCCCTGTTTCTTTTCTTCAAACACCAAAATTTCCAAACTGTTGGGGGGAAATATTCGGGCCAGCGAACGGAACCGTCATCTTCGACAAGAGGGACTGGCGTTATAGGGGCATGTATCGTCTGGGCGAGAGAGTTGAACCTGGTGCGTTCCATGTGTTTCATCCGCGATTCCATCGCCGAGAATCGAGAGAAAACCAGCCCGAAGTTTTGGGATGTCTCTCTCCGCAGAGTCATTAAATCGATGCGAAGCTGGCTTACGATAGACTGGATTTGGCTGAGATCGGTACGGGTAGCGCAAACATCGGCATGTAGTTTTTGGACATCGAGTTGAAGTTGGTTGACATCACTTTGGAGTTGGGTGATATCACTCTGGAGAAATGCTTCCTTCGAGCCAAGTTGGGTGACATGAGTTCTTAGCTGTAGCATTTCTGACTTCAACTGCGTTAACCCATCCTTCAGTTGGGTAACGTCACTTTTCGTTCTTCCAACGTTCAGCTCAATACGGCTGCAAACCTGGCGTTGCCCGTCGAACTCTCGCCGGATGAACTCATCCTGGCGGTTTCGTCGGTCGACATATTCATCGGGGGTCAAGATAGAGGAACGGAGTTCGATTACTTTGGCATCTAGTTGATGTAAACGATCATGGATATGGAGGAGTGCTGGATCGGAGACGACGGAGGGTGGTGTCGATTCTCGCTTAGTAGATAATCTCGGACTGGTCGTCATACTGGAAGCCCTCATAAGGCCCCTTTCAACCGCGCTCATCATGAAGACAAGAGAAGGGCAAGTAGAATGGGGTGGCACCCTATATAATAATGTACGCTTTGAGGGTCGCCATTTTGAATTTGTATTTTCGTTTATATGAGCATGAGTCGTGTTGGAAACTTTGTGATATGGTAACAGAGTGGACGATTGAAAGTGGAGAGAGAGGGAAAGAGGCGACGAACAAAGATGGAAGATGGCGACAAAAGGGGGAGAAAGATGGGAATTCTGGGCTCATGGGCAAAGTTGGCATCCCAAGACCGGTTTCAACTCTGGGCCGCAGCAAGAATTATGCATCAGCTTGATCTATGTAAAGACACTAAACTTGAAACGGCAATATCTGCTGATACCAAGACTGCTGGCGCAGTCTTGGTGTCGCCTGAAATATCTTTCGTACCACTAGCGGTATTACGAAAGTCCCATAAGAAGAACAAAGGCAGAAAAGGACAAGTGAGCCGGATTTCACAGCAAAATAAACGTAGAAAAATTAGAAAAAAGAGGAAATTTTAGAATCCGAAATAATTATCTTTTAATAAGATAATTAGAGCACGAAGAAAATTCTTCCAAACAGCGAATGCTTCCGGAAAACTTGGGAAGAAACAATAATCTTCCCGTGGCAGAGGAGAGAGAGGAACACGAGGAGGGGCGCAGGCTGAAGTGGATGTGCTCGGCTGCGATGGAAAGGAATGCATTTGTTGGTTTGCATCAGCAGGCGGTGGGCGTCAATCTATGCTCAAACAAGCTAGCCATGTCCAGGATCAAGGGCCTTGCAGCGACTTGCAGCCTAGTGTATTGACTTTATTGGGCAATGTGACATTACAAATGGAACCCAACGCGAAAATGGCTGTATGCGTTGGCGCCTGCATGGAGCCTGTATTAGTGCAATACAACAAACCAGTGTACCGCCACTGTATCACGCTAGCTGATCGGGCTGCTTCGCAATTATCAGCCAAACATCCCATCAACGGAAAATTGGAGGTTTGAACGCCCGGCCCAGCAGGGATGACCATATCACATGACTCACCTTTGCAAATAACAGTCAGCAATCTTGTCATGGAGTCCAATCAAAGTGTAGACTACTGGGGCAAAAGAGCTCAATCACCACCAGCGCACTGCTGGTAGAAGGGCCGATCAACCGCGGGACCCCCAACACAAAGTCAAGTCAAGTCACTTGATTATGGGACGTTGGGAGAGGCATTATTGATGACCACTCATAATTACAGAGCTGAGTCTTGCTAAGAGCGCGAGCACTTCGTTGTTGCCTCTCATCATATGCTGAGCGGGAAATTGGAAATAGATAGACAATCGGCCTGTTTGCAGGCAACCGCGGTATTCATTGGATTTTTGGCAAAATAAAATCGGCCATGGGAGTCATAGGGAATGAAAGATCCGCGGTCCATAGGGTTATTTTCAAAAGTTGTCCAAGGGGAAGGGGTAATGATACCACTCATCACACTGTTGGGACACAGCCGTTCTTTCCCGTCTGGCACTGGGGTCGTTTTCAACTTGCAGTGCGCCATCCGCCTATCATGCTCGAGAGGGACGTTACATTCGTCATCGAAACGCGGATCCTCGGATTCCAGATGATTGGACTGACCCTTTGGCTCGGGTCGCCTAACGCACTTACGCTTTCACAACACCGCTTGACGCCTCTAAGCAGTCATTGGCAAATGGATTCCTGGACTGGTTGGCCTTAAAACTGTCTGGGGCAGTTTAAAGAGACTGCGATTTGGGCCTCCGGTTTTGAGGGTATGTAACAGAGCCCCTATCACGGAAATGGGGCCCTTCGCATTGATATCAGCAAAGAAGCCCGGGGCCGTGCTAGCAGATATGTCCTGCGGAAACTGAGCATGAACTCTTCATGTCCAACCCAAAACTAGCATTCGGGCAAGGGAGCGGCTGTGGATCATGCGAACAACATGCATGTACAAATCTCACAAAGCCGATGACTCTCAAAATAAAACTGTCTTTTGCTTATAGATATGCTAGTAGAACAATCATATCATCTTTCCAAACATGATGGCGTGAAGGTATGTAAATTGAGCGCTGAATGTAGCTGTCGTGAAAATTTGGACAACTCTCTTAGCACAGCTCAACAACCACTATAGTATGAGGAAAAGAAGGAAACACAGACAGGATAGTTTATACAACTGGTCTGGAATGGTTCAGTTCATGAAAGGGGGCGTATATATAAACGGCAATGGATAGTCGAGACGGCTGCAAAGTCATACAGCAGATACGCCCTATGAGTAACGCGCAAAGCTTCTCTCCGATTCTCCGGGTGTCTTTCTGATCCGAAACAGAGTCTTTGAACATGCAGCGCCAGAAGATTCTATATAAAAAATAGTTGCCAACCGCCAAAGGACGAGGGTTGAGATAAAAGGGGAGTCGGCGAAAGACGACGCTTTTCCTAAAATGGACTATGTGGTCTCCAGGCAGCACTCGGATAATTAATGTTCCGATATCTTGGCGTTCCCGTGATATGTCTTGGCTAACTGCCTCCCTCTCCATACAATACGGAGTACCTTAACTGTGATCCCATAATTTCCCATTAGACACTACAGAGTAGAGAGGGAGGGAGATATCTCTTCTAGATCTCATCGCCCAGCTTGTTTGACCTGGGTCAGACCCATTGGCAGGTTTATGGTTACGGAGTGGATAAACCCGTTAACCCTGGTGCTTCATCCAGTTTGGAAGTCAGCCAGCTTGTGCTGTTGAGTATGCATTTCTACCGTGGATATATCACAACTCACAACAACATGTTCACCCCTGCTGAGTCCTCCAGGTGACTAATAGCTGGGGAATATTTATTCTCTTGATGTCTGAAAAATGGTGACCTCAGGTGGCAGTTGCCAGAATATCCAGTGTACCTATCTTGGGTTGGCTAATATGAAGGGGAAAGGGGAAAGCATTTGTCTCCTTGGTGGGCATGGACGAGCTCAATGACTTGCTTCATCTCTATTTTCCATTGCGTCTTTCTCTTCAAAATGAAGAGTTTTGAGGGTATGGGAATTTTTAAACTCTAGCGGAAGCCCTATCACCCCTATCACCTAGGAACGGCAGGATGACTTTATGACGCCAGTTTATGTTTTTTATCCGAGCAAATGCTCTTCGGGAGGGACGCTCACCAGAGAAGAGACAGTTAGGTTGATATTACTGCTGTATATTGCTGTCTAACATCTAGTGCCTTCCCCGTTTCGTCTCGTTCTTGCCAGCATCGCACTTTCCTCAGAATCGAGCAGCCATTTATTTACTGAGAAACGATGCGGCTATGTCGAAGATTGCTCCCAGCATGTCGCGTTGGCTGAGGCGGCTCAACGGTGCGTTTCAGTTTTATTCTATCATGCTATCGAGAACTTCTCCTGTACGTCATTATGAAATATTTCCCGTGTTTTGCATTTTTTACCGTTCTATGGTTCAAGGCTGGCGCGAAAAAAGTGGTCCCACGGGAGTCAACCGATGACGGAAGTGATTCTCCTAATAACCCTGCAGACCGGTGTGAATGCTATGTGGTTTCAGGCGCCGAGCCCGGTTATTTTCAGAACTACAAGTTCTACGATTTCCGATCTGTTGTTCCAGAGAAAACCTGGCAGCCGAACTCCACGACAGCTAAGCCAGCCCGAAACAGGACTTCCAATTCAAGAAAGGAATCCCACATGACTCTTGAAGAAACAGGCTTCTTAGACGACTGGGTGATCCAAGACTGGAGTAGAGCTGGGTCCTTTCTTTTCCCGATCCCTATACGCAACAGTTATGAAAATGTTTTCGTCCTCGAAGATACAACCAATGATGCGAGCGACACGACATATATAGCCCTTCGCACCCAGAGATTACATGACCATTCATCGACAGCGGAGATCGAAACATACTCTCACGATTACTTTCATTGTTCTTTTCGCGTTCGGCTCCGCCTTCATGCTGGTCAAGATGGACACCTAGAGGATGTTGACGAGCATGAAGATGGAGATAGCTATTGGGGCGGACAGGATCACGAATCTGTGCTTGACGAGGACGGGATATTAAGACAAGGCCGTAACCGTTCAGAACTGAATCCAGCTAATTTCCGTCTACGTCTGCCGCCCACCGGAGCCGTGGCTGGAATTTTCACGTATCACTCTGCCAGTGTTGAATCAGACATCGAAATATTAACAGCTGATCCGCACACGCTCATCCACTATGCCAACCAACCAGATTGGGATCCTTTAACTGACCTGGAGATACCGGGGGCTGCCACGATTGTTGAGTTGCCTGTCCCTTGGACAAGCTGGGCAACTCACCGCCTTGACTGGTTTCCAAACATGTCGCGATGGTATCTCAATAACAAACTTCAAGCTGAGAACGATTACCATGTTCCCGATAAGCCGAGTATGCTTGTCCTCAATCTGTGGAGTGATGGTGGCGAATGGTCTGGGAATATGACAATGGGTTCGACTGCGTTGATGGGGATCGAATGGATCGAAGTTGCTTACAACATCTCGGACATGGATGTTGAAATTTACGATTCGTTCAACCGAACTCGCCCTACCGTCCACTCTGGAATTTCTGGAAATAGCCATCCCAAACGGACTTTGGAAGACATGGCTGGAGATGGGTTAAAGCCACGCCGTGGGAAACTTGAATATGAGTACGATGGCTTCGATGGTGATGACGGAACGACTGAGAACGGTCAGCAATGCCTGGTCGGGTGTCGGATTGATGATGTGGAAACCGTCGGCGTGCCAGAGATCCTGTGGGATTATTATTATTGATCATGTTCGAGCGCGCTTGTTGGAAAGCGGATTACAGTTGTATTCATGGAACCCTTCACAGAATAATAACATAGTTACTTTCTTTTCTTGCTTTCTTTCCCTTATTTTATTTTTTTTATTTTCCTTCCCGGGATGCTCAGTATATTTTTGTCACTTTTTTTTTTTTTTGGCGTCATTTGGGTACTTGAGGATGCCCTAGGTCGGGAGTTTCGGATTTTAATAGTTCCTCTTTTAAAAGGAAAGGAATGGATAAATTCTACTTATTTATTTACTGTGCTCTGGTTCTTTAGATGCGGCTGGTTGAGACATACCTGGGTTCACTGCTAATAGCACAGTACATACAGAGAGACCGCCCATCGCCAATCATCATATAGTTATAATATGCATCGTTTGTATGACCATGACTTACACGACGGAGAGACAGAGCCACAATTGGACCTGGAACGCAAACAGGACTCATCTACTCTCCTCTCCCCATGTTCCAGTTGATGCAATACTCAGCGGTGGCTTATGCTTAGCCGTTGCTCGCGGATAGCTACCGAGAACGACTGTTGCGGCGAACGAGAACTACACCACCATCCCATACATATACCGTATATACATATTTATAAAACCAGGCAGATGGAAATTTTTACCGGAGGAGTTGGCGAACGGAATACTCCGTACAACTCCCACTTTTTATTTATTATCAATGTACTGTACATGTACATTGTACATAGAACAGACAGCTGGAAGGATAAGACTTGAGGTTTTCGCGTCAAATACTCCATAGGCACGACACGGTTGGGAGGTTTGTTTAGTCCTGGGATAAGTTATTGATTTTTCATTACGCGGGACAAACGTGTTGCTAATTGAATTTTTTGCCAGTTTGAAAGGTTCTTTTTCCTCTTCCATTTTCGTGCTTCCAATTATTTCGTTTTTCCCTTGACTCCAAGGCACCGCATCGGGGTTGTTATGGTAGCTTCTGCGGGATATTTAAAATAAATATATCCCAGGGCGCCGGATTTGAGAGATGGTTACATCATTGATTTTTATACAAGGTACGCGAATCTCGAATGTCATGACGGCGTTTAACGATCTCACATTGACTATTTGATCTATTTGCAGGATGGTTGATTCTTCATTATTCTCGGAGAAGCTAGCAAGCAGGGTTATATTAGTTACATGTGTGGCTACACTATTTTAGACAAATATTTGTCACGGATATGTATTGTCATTGGTGGGCTAGCAATCTCGCTAACGCCATTAACCTACTCTACTATGCGTACAAACCATTAAGCTAACTGCATATCAGTAGCGATCAGTCAAGAAAACTTCCCGAGTCAACGTCTCGTACTCTGTCTGGTGGCAATCGAACGGCAATAATGTTCCGCGAAGTGTGGCCCTGCACGCTGCGCAGCACAAATGACGCCAGCTCACTCGCAAGAAGTGTGTATAACGGGGGGGCGGGGGGGGTGTGGTCGGCTCTGACCTCTGTCCTGCCCTCCATTATCTATTCACATCTGTTCTGCTAAAGGATGTTCCTCCAAAGGACGGGACGAAAGAAGATGAAGCCAATGACTCTTGATCTTGATCCCTTTCCCATGACTCCCGTCAGAGCGGATAGAAAGCTCGCTTTACCCCAGACCGTTTCCGGCCCAGCCTGGTTGATCGTGCATGAACCGCTCGCTGCACGAAAGCCAGACTAGTGTGAAGGTGCATTTGCAAGTTTGTTTTCATACAAAAAATAAAATAAAATAAAAAATGCAAGAGATCTATGAGCTCAACAGTTCGGACTTATTATATTGACGCGCTTCAAAACTTCACGTCGCGTCTTGAGCTAGCTATTTATTTATATAGAATAATATAAATAAATAAATACATTCCCCAAAAGAGCTCCCAAACTCTGGAGTTTTACCTTCAAAACTCTTTTATTTTGCCAGTGTGGAATCCCGAAGTACATGTTGTTCAGCTACAGTTACAGCTACACCGACAACTATGTCGGCTGCGGATGAAAGAATTGATCCAGACGATAGTTCCTCTGTCTACTCGCGGACTCCATCTGTCGAGAAACCCGACGATAAGGAATCGCATTGCCCTCGGGTTTCTATAGTGTCTATGAATAAGGAAGATGGTGTAGACAAGACCCGCCCACCTACCCCGGGCGGCTTATGTTACGAGCCCCTCGTCAGCGAGCAAGGTGTGATTGACGACCCTGGTGAGGAGAAGGCTACCGACAACAGCGAAAAAGGAAAGGGAAAAAGGATATCCTGCTGCAGGAAGGAGGGAACATGTTGCAGGTTCAAAACGCCACCTCCTCGCCGTCTATCCTCGCCGATAACCGAATTTGAGAATGGGTTGGAGTCGTGTTGCTCAGGGCGGGCTACCGTCTGGCCGTCTTATTCAATAAAAGTGCCCCCTCCCTCCATCGCTGAGGAGAATCCGTGCTGCAGAGGAGGTGGAGACTGCGATTCTTTAGGTATATGAAAGCAATTGCTGCTGAAAACATTCTGTCCATGCAAGTAAGATCAAAATCCATGCTAACTTGAGAATGCAGACGAATGTCTTGTCGAGTACGCCACACGTCTATGTTCGATGGACGACCAGCATAGCGAAGACACCGCAAGCCTCCCGCTAGGAGAGAATTGTTGTGTGCGCGAAGAATATCGGGAGGAGAGTCTTACTCTGCCCAGAGAGTGCAGGAGGTACTCCGCGATGCTCCTTCCCGAAAACGCTGAGCTCCCGCCTCGACGTCTCGGCCACATTCTCAGCCGCCAACGTGCGCGGAAGCCATGTACGAGACACTTGAGAATGGCTTCAGAACATCTTTCAGATAAAGGACCTAGGGGGGAGGAGAGTGTTTTCTCAACCTTCTCTGGATCTGTTAAAGCTGGGGAGGCTTCCTTCGTTTCCCGCATCAGCAACATCGTCCACAGATGCCTCTACAGTGTACCCCGCCGTCTCGTGTTTCCTGACGACAAATCTTGCTGTAGAGTGAGCCGCGAACGCAAGCAAAGTCTTCTTCTTCAAAATGGCTGCAAATCCACCTTGATTTCCTCCAAACCTTCAGCGGACAAAGTCGATGCCGCGACGACGAATACTGCTAAGCCGACTCCCGAAATTGATATCGAGAAGGGCAATGTCGACAAAGTGTATGTTCTTTCACTCGGTGTGTTCGGGATGACATGTACGGGATGCGAATCCAAACTGCGGAATCTGTTGAATTCGTACACTGGTGTCAGCGAAGTGCGTACCAGCTTTATGTTGAACCGCGCAGACCTGGTATACGACTCGTCCATAGTTAGTGATCCAGCAGAGATCACCTCAAGAATCAAGAAAGTCACCGGCTTCACATGCACAATCCTTAGGACAGGGCTTGCCGCCACATATGTCTCCGGAGAGCGCGTCCACATCAGAAATCTCGATTTAAAGGGCCTAGACATCATCCAACAGATAGATGGGGTTAGCCATGTCGTACCCCTTCGCGATGGGACGTATGAAGTTTTCTATAACCCCCAGACTACTGGGATCAGGGATATGCTTGATGCGGCAAATGCCTCCACCAAAACATCCAGCAGAGGCCATGCGGAACTAGCTACCGACAGCTCCTCTGAAGGTATTGCTCACGCTATTGCAAACTCACACTGGTACTGGCTAGTTGGGCGCACTGTGGTGGCCGCAATGTTTACGATCCCAGTGCTCGTGTTTGCATGGGCACCATTTGCTAGATATGCCCCTTTCCCGAAACAAACCTCGTTCATATCCTCGGCCTTTGCACTTGCAACCGTCGTACAACTTCTCGCAATCCCGATATATATGCATGCATTTCGGTCGTTGATATACCGGAGGGAAATAGATATGGATGTTCTGGTTGTCTTGTCCATTACGAGCGCTTATATTTACTCTGTGGTATCATATGCGTTCGAGATGCGATTTTCGACAGACAAGACAGTGCTGGGTCACCCTATTTTCGAGACCAGCTCGTTGCTGATCACTTTGATTCTCTTAGGCAGACTGATGGCTGCATGGGTTAGGAGAAATGCTCAGAATGCTATCAAACTAGGCACATCACAACCAAAATCTGCCTGTCTTGTTAAAAAGGCGTCCCCCAATACCAATAAGAGTTTCCGTGCCAGCACCTTTTTGGACTCGGGCGACTTCCAACCCGATTCTGTCGATAGCTCACTCCTTCATTACGGAGATATCATTCAAGGGAAGGCCTCCGAAATTATTGTCACTGATGGTATCGTTGTTAGCGGCAGCGCGGAAATAGACGAGTCGCACATTACTGGAGAACATGAACCAGTTGTTCGTTCCAGGAAGGCATATGTCTATGCAGGATCGACTATCATCAATGGCCAGATAAATTACCGAGTAACGAGGCTCGTGTCAGAAAATACCCTCAGCATCGTCAGACGGCTCGTCTCTACGGCGGCATCATCAAGAACGAAGGCACTAGAGAGAGCAGATTTAGCTGCCTCATACCTGACCCCCATAATCCTCGCTGTTGCGTGTATTGCATTCCTCATTTGGGTTCTTGTCAACCGCTTCGTCAGGAATTGGGATGATGCAAAATCGTCAGTCAACGCTCTTACGCATGCCATTGCGATCCTAGCTATCAGCTGCCCTTGTGCGTTAGCACTGGCAGTCCCAATGGTTCTAACTGTTGCCAGCACGGTAGGAGCCAGAAAGGGCGTCCTATTCAAGACGGGAGCTGCTCTCGAAGTTGGGTGCAACATCAGCCATGTTGTTTTCGATAAAACAGGAACCTTGACATCGGGCGAGCTGGCTGTCCTTTGCGAAACACTTCTTTGCAAAGAATCAGGTAAAACCTGCCAGGAAATAAGCAGAGTGGCATTGATGATTACAAGGGGGAATCGCCATCCCGTCTCCCTGGCAATCACACAATATCTAGCTGGCAACGGCGCCCAAACAACCAGCACCCTTCCTCCCGAAGTAGACTCCAAGATAGTAATCGGCAAGGGCATCGAAATAACCACCGACAAAGGCACAACAATAAAAGGCGGCAGCCCCTCCTGGCTCGGCGTCGAATCTCACCCCAAAGTCAAAGACCTCCTCGAAGCATCCCTGACCACATTCTGCGTGGTACAAAACGACACCCTCCTCGCCGTCTTTGGCCTCACCAGCACCATTCGCCCCGAAGCCGTGGCCGTCCTCAAACGACTACATAGCATGAACATAACCACCCACCTACTCTCAGGCGATAACCCCCTCGCCGTCCGCGCCGTCGCCACAGTCCTAAACTTCGACACAGACAACGTCCGCAGCCTCTGCCAACCCGAAAGCAAAGCAGAATACATCCGCAAGCTGCAGATGGCTCCGATACCTACCCTCTCCCTCTCTGCCTCCACCACCCCCACCACCTCTCTCTTCCGCCTCCGATCCCTCCCTTCCCCCCCGAAAGAAAAGGTCCTCTTCATCGGTGACGGCACCAATGACGCCCCCGCCCTCTCCCAAGCCGACCTAGGAATCTGCATGACAAACGCAACCGACATCGCCGCCGACGCCGCCGACGTCGGCATCCTCTCCGGCTCCCTAGCCGGCCTGCTGACCTTCCTAGACCTCTCGCGGCAAGCGACACGGCGCATCCGGCTCAACATCGCGTGGGCGGTGGTGTACAATGTGTTTGCGGTGCTATTTGCGGGCGGTGCGTTTGAGGCGGTTGGGTTTCGGATTGAGCCGAGCTATGCGGGTCTAGGGGAAGTGGTTAGTCTATTGCCGGTTGTGGTGGTTAGTTTGAGTTTGGGGGTGGGGGTGGGGGTGTCATGGGCGTGGCCGTGGTCGTGGTCTGGTTTGAGGGCGGACACGTTGATATAGGATGGATGTGGGTGGATGGGGCGAAAGGGAGAAAGAGGGGGTTTGTCGTCACACGTCCCACTCCACCCCCTTTCTACTCTCCTGGTATTCACGCTATTCATTCTCTCTCTCTTTCCTTTTCTTTTTCCTTTGCTACCTGTGGATACGGGGTCTTCCATGTATGGGATCATGGATGGGTTGGTTAATTAATCTAATATTTCGGTTTTGCTGTACTGAAGGATGTTGGCCGCATTGCAAAGCTAGTTCACTTTGATACCTTACCTTAGCTCCCTTTATTATTAACTATATATTAATAATGTCACCAACGACAGTCGTTCTGCTCATCCTCCTATCATTCCTGTAGCGCTCGAATTATCTAACTGACATATTATGAACGGCGATAGTGCGCTGCAAGACTCTTCAGATGAATTCACGTATTGCTAAGAAGCGGAATCAGTAGGCAAAGAGAAGGTATAGAATGTCAATGGGGCCCAACCGCCGGCCCATACTCTTATAAAAGATGAAAGAATATAAATATAATGACAACAAAAAACGGGGTCGTCCAAACATGAAATCTATTTTTGAGAAACAAAAAATTAAACAAAACTTAACGCCCCCGCGAAAAACATTGGGTATCAAAACGAAAAAAAAAAAAAGAAAGAAAGAAAGAGAGAAAACAAAATAGCAGCTCTAGATACATACCCTTCCAAATTACAAAGTAAAAACGCCAGATAGGACGAGGAATGAAATAAACAGCACCATTTCCTGCCAACATGCAAAACGAGACAAAAAAAGAAAGAAAAAATACTAATAAAAACACACCGAATACACAAACTCCAAGGCATATAAGCACGGGAGTGCTTAAAGCCGGGCTCGAGTACCGGGCTTAACCAAAAGAAAAAAAACCAAAAAAAAAAAACCGAAAAGACAAAGAAAAGGTTACAAACCCAGAAGCACGCAGGAGGACGGAGAAAGCCCCGGATCTTGCGAGTCGGGCTCGTACCAAAAAAAAAAGAAAAAAAAAAACGCGATCCCTCGTCCAAAGAAAAAATAAAAGAAAAAAAGAAAAAACCACCCCCTCCTCTCCCCTCCCTGGCAAGATGCAATCTCCCCAGAAGAAAAAAACGAAGATGAACCCAGAAAGAACCTATGCTGTCATCACAGCATCGACCTAGCGGGAAACATCTCGTCCTTCTTCGGGTCGAAATCACCGAAGAAACCCCCATTCATCAGCTCGGCAACGATCCTTTTACGGATCTCGGGAATATCCCTCGCCCCATATCTCAGAGGCTTGCCCAACGATACCAACTTGGCAGTCGTCAGGAGGAATACCCCGCAGTCACTGCCGTTATTTTGCTGTGGGGAAATCGACGGGAGCACCCGCCACTCCTCTTCCACGAAGAGGTCGCCCAACTCACCTCGGAGCCATTCCTTGGCCGTGGCGATGTGGCCCAAGGAAGGTGACCCCAGGGAGTCGAAATGCTCGATCGTTCGAGCGGCCGGTCTTACGACCATGAGGGTCCAGTGCGAGCGGTCGTGGATGGGGACGAAAATCGTCTCCACCCCCAACAATTTCTCGCCCCCGATCTTGGCACGTGTCGCCCAACGCCTTACGCTCTCGTAACCTTTGTCCCGAAGGTTCGAGAAGAAGTATGTTGAAAAGGCGTGGTACTTGGGCTTGTCGTGCCGCCCAGAATTCCCTGCTTCCTGACGTGCATGGTCGACGATCAACTCGAGATACGCGTTGATTACTTCATCGTTGAGCCACTCGAGCTTCGTGTAACACGTGTTCAGGGCTTTCCGGGTGAGGGGTTCGCCGCGAGGCGTGGTCCCAACCTCACTTTTGTCGGAAAGAGCCATCGCACGGTCTACTTTAGCTACCCAGTTGGCTGTCAAGTGCTTGACGTAGGGGACTTCTGGAGATCGTAGAAGGGGTTGGTCGTACTGGACCGAGTGGTCTGCCGGTGTTTCCTTATCCGTTAGCTCTAGAGCTAGGCGACCCGATTCCTCTGCTGTGACAGACTCGAGTGGTTGAAATGGCGTGACACGAGAAAGAGGATCGTAGGCTCGCACTGAAGAAATTGGCCGTCCCATTGGAGATTCCGATTCAAGCCAGTGGACTTCTTTGGCTTCGCGTCGTGGTCGAGATGGGCTGGTCAGAAAACCTTCGTACTCGGGAGAGGAGGGGGACAGTCCCTCTTTGGGTGGCTCAGGCTCTTCAGCTTCAACAGATGCTTCAGGTTGACAAGTGATTTCTTCCGCTGGAGGGGGCAATTCTGTCGGCGGGGGTGAGGAAGGAGGAGTAGTAGTCGGGGGAAGTTGGGGACGAGGGGGCCAATTTTCTGGCTCGGGAATATCAATTCCCGACATCTCTTCAATAGGTCTACTCCTCAATTTCGCAAAAGATTCATGGTATGCCCGTAGAGCAGCTGCACTAGGTGGTATGGCATTTGGCCAAGCTCCTTTAATCAACTCGCCGCGTCTTGGAGCTCGCGGAAGGGCAGCTTTGTTCACATCCTCTTGGCTAAGTTGAGCCAGCTTTCGAGACGTTCTGGTTTTCGATTTGGCTTTGTCACTCAGCTTTTTCTTCTGTACCTTTGCGCCTTTCACAATACCATCCTTTGTGGTGGTGGTGGTGGTGGTGAGTAGTGTTCGGGTAGGAGCTTTTTCCTTAGGAAGACGATAATAGTCTATCATGCCTGAGGCTGGCATATCGCGAGGCGGGCGAGGAGGTGTGACATCTTCATACTCGTCAATTATGACTTGGGGGGATGAGGAGCCTTGTTTCTTCTGGCCCATCCCTAACTTCCGAGCTTTCAATTGGTGGCGCTCGGTAGACGACGCGCGACGAAGATTTCTGGTGTCTTGTTGTTGGCGATTAATTCTGCGCCGGACGAATTTAGAAGTCACTTTATCATAGATCGCCACTGCCCGTCTTTTTGCACTTCCCACGACTTCAACAGCTGCTTGAAGGAATTCTCGATAGGTGTGTCTGACTCTGTTGCCAACTGCTTCTATAGCGAAACGTGATGATCTTAGTATCGGGTAATAGGTGTCAGAAACTTCTTGCAATATATCTTGCAAGTATGAAAGCTGGGTACAACGAATTAGTATACGCTAGTCCCATTCATGGTTTGTTAGCACTCACTCGTTGAAGCTCATATGCATGTTCTGGAGATGTAGGAGGAATGGCATTGCCATCGGACAGTGGGACTACCATCCCGTGGCTTGAAGTTCGTCGGCATCCAGCCAATGCGCCCGACATTAGAGCTACCTGGTCTCGCATATAGCCGGCGTCGGCTTCGCTCAGGTGAAATATTTCAGTGGGTGGAATGGCGATCTGGCGGACAGAAACTGGAGTCGCTGGCCAAGTACCAGGCATGTGTTGAGGAGTCCGTTGGATTTGTGGGATGTCATCTTCAGTACGACCCTAATACAAGACAACAAAAAATCAGATTAGAATAAACACAGTTTAAAACATAGATGGTAAGGTTAGGGGTTTATTTTTTTTATTTTTTTTCTCGCGTACATGGACTGGAGATGCTTGGAGTAGGGAGCCTTCATAAGGAGGCGCGTCGACCATTGATGTGTCAATAGGTGACTCGGGTATAGCCTGGAGGAAGGATAAAACATAGTTAGCAACAAGCCAAGATACTAAAAATGAAGACGGGGATATATACAGTAACCTGTGCTCCTGCTGGTTGTTTGTGATTGTGCATCCCCCCCTGGCCGTCACGTGAAGCCCTATGCTCATCGCATGCGTAGCCATCAACAGCCTCGATTCGCCGTTTGCGTGAATTTGGGCTAGCCGCCGACTGAGGAGCCGATCGCGAGGGAGTATATGGATATGGGTTGTTGCCTCTTCGGGTAGTGAATTGGTTTCTAAGCTCAACCATCGGTCGTTGCATTGCAATATCTTCAGCCTGGTTTCGCATATACCAGGTTTTTGCTGGTTCCGCAACATTGCGGAAATATGCTTGGCGATTCGAGATTGGCGGTAATAGGTTGCCAGAACGATGTTTTTTAGATGTAAGTTGATCAATAAGACTCTTCCGTGAAACTGGTGGGGCACGGTAAACGTTGACAAGATGTGGTTGAGGCCCGCTTAGAAGGGGTTGAGGTAAAGTTTTTCTTCGAGGCTTCAAGAATTCTGGCTGGGGGTATATTTGAGGTCGCTCCGGAACAGGCTCCGGAACAAACGGAAGAGGATTTGGAGGGCAAATAGGGAGGTGTTGTGGGTAGGTATCTTCCTCCACATCATTGACAGGAAGTGTAGATTGACTGACACTAGGTTGATCTTGCTGGTGGCTAGTCTCGGGTGCGGGATGTGGAAGAAGATCTTCCTGGGGGGTTGGTTCCCAGTCCATCATATTAGTGGGCTCCGCGGCGGAAGCCTGCGCTGCTTGAAAGTTTTGTATTAAAACGTGTCGAAGAATCCGGGACATGGGGCAATCAGTTCGACGGCAGCTTAAAATTGAGAAGTGAAAAAATGGGAGTAGGGCAGTGTGAAGAGAGATATTGGGTCAAGAAAATGCTAGAGCGCGCTGAGGACCAATCAGATAGCTCAAGCAAGATAAAGAGACCTTAGCAGAAGGAAAAGAAAAAGAAAAAAGACTTCGTGTTGAGAGTACAGATGGAATAGGGATGGTGATGTTGATGGTGATGATGATGACCGTGTAGCAACACCAATGTTTATCAACGGTGAGGACGTGGTAGAAGTCCAAGCACGCGGCCTGATCAGAGTAGGACAAGTCTAACTTTCAACAAGCGGCCGCAGAAGAGATTTTGGCCAGCAGCACGAGGCTGTAGCGACGTGAGAAGCAATAGCCCCTTGAAAAGGAGGGACAAGTTCGACTCTTTGGTAGACTTAGGAGCAGTAGGGTTTGGCTTGGTCAGGGGTTGGCTATTTGCAGCGCAACGAAATCGTTCTGGAGATAATCTCGTAGGAGTGGTGGATGGAAAAGAGAAGTTCAACCGTAAGTGGCAGAGGAGAATGTAAAGAGGATGATGGTGATGAGGGATGAGGGATGTTGTTGTTGTTTATATATTTTGTGTTGTTGTTGTTGCTGTTGTTGTTGCTGTTGTTGTTGTGTTGATGGTAAACAACGACGGGGGCAGGAAAGAGCAGAAAGGGAAGCAGAAAAGAGCAGGTACGATCAGCTCGCTGTCCCGATTCGGACTCGTGATGTTGCCAGGCAGCTGCGGCTCAATTCACTGCGCAGTGTTGTTGTGTTGTTGTTGTGTTGCTGTGTTGTTGTGTTGAAGTGAATAGAGAGGTGAAGTGTGTATATAGGGGATATCAGATCTGCCAGATGCTCGACTGAACCTCAACACTGACAGGACTCCTAGCCAAAACACCTCGAGGATAGACGAACAAAAAGGTGAGGTGAGAGATATAACACACAGTTAGATATCAGAACGAAGTAGTAAGATGACCCAGGCAAGGGAGGTAGTAGTAGTAGTAGTAGTAGTAGTAGTAGTAGTGGCGGTCGTAGGGGGGGAGAAATGAAGATGAACAGCGGGATGTATACAGTAGTAACGGGGGGTACAGAGGCAAATAATCGAGGGCCGCGCTGAGATCCAACCACTTCCATGCAAGTTTCTTTACTCTGCAAACATGTAGAAACCAGCGCGTGGAATGCTTTCTTCCAAAGCAAACAGGTAGACGACGATTAGGTCCAAAAGCTGTTCGTTCGTCGTGGTAGATGTTCGTACATACATGTGCATGCATGCACTGGTGTAGTTGGCAGAGGAGATTGGATAAGAAGTAGGAAACAGAACGAAAAAGGCAAAGCCAACGGCTTGTCCCGAATAGATGGGTGGTTTGTTGTAGAAGAGTAGAGTTGGCTTGCACAGGGATCTGGGGAACAAAGAGGATAGATGATGGATGGATTGGGGGGGGAAGCTTGCGGAGAGAAGCTAGAGAGATATGGTACAAGCCGGATATAACAAGGATGTATAGGTAGTGTGTATGGAGCTTTAATCAACGACGCAGCGTAGTAGTAGCAATCGTAGAGGTGGTATAGCATATAGCTGTAGAAAAGATGATAGAAGAAAAGCGACAGGAAGAAGAGAAGAAGAAGAAGAAGAAGAAAAGGGAAAAACAATCTCCCTCAACACGCGCAAGCATGTTCATGTAGTTAAAACAGCAGGAGCAAAATAAAAATGAAAAATGAAAATGAAATAAATACAATAAAAAAAAAAAAAAAAGCAAACAAACAAAAATAAAAACAAAAATAAAAAAAAGGGAACCCCCCCCCTCCTTCCTTCCGCTTTTGATAGAACGGGAGGAGCCGTGGAGGAGAAAAGAAGATCCCGGAGTTTTCCCGCCGCCCCTAAATGTACTGTACAAGCACAAGTACTCCGTAACCATCCGGCGGAGATGGGGAAATGAGGTGGTGTTTGGCGGAAAGTTGAGCAAGCAACACGCGCGATGGGGCGGAATGGAACAACTTAACTTTTGTCTCTTGCGCCGGGCCACAAGCGCGTTTATATATGGCGCAGGAGAGGGCGGCAAACATGTGGCTGGGGGTCACGTGGAGTGGGCAATGTTGCCTGGTTGGGTTTAGTCTATGGCCGTTGACAGTGTGCCATGGTTTGGGAGTGCGCTATTCCTGATCAGGTGCGGGAGCTCATATAAATTAATTCTACAGAAGTTAAGTAGTACACAGGAAGTACTGAACTGCAAAGAAGAAATGAAAGAAAACAAACATAGCAATAAATTATGTTGTTCTATTTTTTTTTCACTTGTCTTTCTTGCTTCCAATGCATCTATTTGCGTGTATATGCGTCCCGGCGCTAGGAAGGTTGCTGAACAATGAATATATATATATATATTTGAGCAAGGGAGAAATCAAGAAGCCTAAAGAATACCAAAAATACCTATAAAAAAACCTTTCCAAGAAGAAAAAAAAAACAATTCTGAATAAAACTACTGTAAACACATGCTCATCAACTCATCAACAATAACATACTGTACAATAAAGATATATACCCCACCCCAGCTCTAGTCGCATCAGCCCTGCTGATATGAGTGTTTCTATATATATATATATATATGTGTGTGTGTGTGTGTGTGTGAGAATGTGTATGCCACAGAGAGGGAGAGAGCCAACCACTATGGAATATGAAAAAAAAAAAAAAAAAAAAAAACTCTACGGCCCTAATCCAATGAGCTGAAATATAATCGGGTTAACCTCAACAGACAACCAGCCGATTCCTACCAATTCATATATTATTAGCGAAAAAAAAAAAAAAAAAAAAAGGGGGCGCCACAAAGAAAATAAGGTCCAAAGGATGGTGAGGGGAGAGGGGATGAGAACATACCAAAATACACAACTAACTTCGTCACAACCTCCACATCGTACCGTACCCGCGGCGGCGTGATCTTCGAAAACATCTCCTTCTCCTCCTCAGCTCCAAGCTGATACTCAAGCGCATCCGCAGCCACATTCACATTCACATCCGCGTTCGCGCCAGTGCCGCTAGCACCGCTAGCACCGTCAGCACCGCCAGCACCATCCATATTCGGTGTGCTCTCCGCGCTAAACACAGGTGTCCCCGTCCCCATCATATGCTCGTACTCATCAAGTTTGCGCGGGCTCCGTACCACCGGGTTGTTTTCCCCGCCTCCGAATCTCTGGGAACCACCAGCAGCTGGGGAAGAGGCGGACGACGTGTCACGCATGTTTTGTTTGTCCTCAATGGTGGGTGGAAGTCTGCGTCCGGCGCTGACGCTGCGCGATTGGTTGGAGGAGGTACTTTCCCGTCGTCGCTTCTCCCGATAAGCGAGTGTTTCGTAGGCGTCTGCTTCAGATTGCGGGCCTATGGAGATTGCCCGTCGGCGCGGGTGGCGGATTGAGGTGAGGATGGAGGGGATTTCGGAGACGTTGGGGATTATGTCGTCGTCTTTTAGGTGGCCGGGGACTTGTTCGTATTCGCTGTGGGATTAATACGTTTTTAGCTGAGGTTCCTGGTATGGCTAGGTGGGTGTGCGAGGGGGGAGTGGGTAAGGGTGGTTGGCCTGTATGACATACGATGCAAGCGTGAAGAATCTTCTGGGAAGATTAAGGCCCAGTCGTTCTATGACACGGAATATCGGGGGCAGTATCCTATGGAGGGACGGTTTCATTATTTCCCTCCACAAGAAGACAATCACGACCCCAAGAATAATCCGCAGGATAGTCTTGATCCAGCCAACCTTTGCCAAATCATAAGGGACAGTCCCTGGGTAAGGGTCACCCCAAGCAAACGTGGTCTGGGCAAAATGCCAGTTCCCAAATTCCGCGCCCATCAACACTCCAGCGAAAGCAACACTATCATCGAAGCATGGACACGAATCGGCGGGTTCGGGGTGCATTCGAACCAATGCAAGAACAACCACAACCACCGCAAACACCGTATTAATCGAGCCTGAATAGATAATTTCATCATACGTCTCACCATATGAACATCGTAAGAAGCCCAACAAAGCGCCAAGGAAGCTGCCGATGATAACATCAAAGAACCCATGCATCCCGCAGTATAGCCTCCCAATTACAATGGATGTGCCAAATATGTATAGGACAATGCGGAAGATAGTATTCGTGACCGGACTGGCAGTAGAATCAGGCGAGTTTAAAAGATGAAGCGCGTAAACGACGACGGAGATTGCGTTGGTCGAGTGAGTAGAGGGGAATCCGTATTCTAACGCCGCAGAGCCAGACATGGTAATGCGATGGAGGGGTGGGGACAAGGGTCGAGGAAGACATAACATGTCCTTAAACCAGCCGCTGATGAAGACGCCCGACGCTAAGAGGTGTACTAATCTGCATAGATGTATCAGCTCCATCCTCAATTCTCCTCCGCATCTCGATACCCTGTTATACTCGGAGAAGGCGGGGGAGATAGAGGAAATCCAATCTGTCGCGCGACTCACCCTCGACCAACCTCTGTATAGCCGCACCAGAATAGGATAGGTAGCATTACCATGTAGAAGGTATGGGTACCCAAATTGGCGGTGATCGCAAACCAAGAATCAAGGGAAGGGGTGCGCATTCGTGCCTGGAACCAAGCGAGATAGGGCGTTTCCCACCGCACCAGGGGGAGAAGGGCTGTACGTAGCTTGTACCGCCATTTGGGGAGTTTCTGTTGATCTGCGCAAGTTCAAACTATTTTGTTAGCTCTGGGGTGTTTTTATTTATTTATTTATTTATATTCATATTTTTTTTTCTCAAGTATGGGAATGTGTTTCGTAAACATTGGCAGGCGCATTAACGGCAGTAACTCAACGACATGGAATGAATGAACATACAATGGTCCAAGCCTTTTAAGCCCGCATCGGGCTGGTCTGCTTTTCCTTTAGTCATGGGCAAATTTCCGTGTCAGACTGAGAGAACAATTGCGGCGGGGAAGAGTTGACAAGAGAGCCATATAGTTATGTTATAGAGCTTAGCACATCCAAAAACAGAGAATAAGCCAGGGGGTTATTACGGGACAACTCGCAGACAGGGACCCCAATGCATCTAAATGGTAGGCAAATAATAGAATCCAATAGTGTGTAGCAGGATTGAGGCAATAATGAATAGCTGTGGAGGAGAAGTTCTTCGTATGGAAAGTTGAGGCTGTCAAAGCTGCCAGCCCTCGGCTGTTGGAGCTTAGTCAGGGGCGGACCATGGACAACAAATAAGTCGCGGCTATTTTTACAACAAACAAAAAAATGAATGCGGAAGAGCAGCCCCTGCAGAGATCTATTTGTATTGTTTTATCTATTTTTCTGTTGTAGTACTCTCCGTACGCTGTTGAGAAATGCATTGTTATTTCATCTGTACATGTAGGTAACTAGTTTCAAAGACGTCTCAAATTGACGGGAGCTGTTTTTCCATAAGGATTCTCAAATGTATACGCAGTAAGAAAGAATCATTACGCTGTACATCTCGTGCTCTGAGGCGGAAACGTCTGAGGCTAGACCACCAGGACTATCTTTTCCTCTAAATAATAGTTAATTATCCCCGATAGCGCTCCATCGAGCACCACAATACGCAGTACTCTGTAATAAGGGACAAGCTTGGATGCTTTTCAGCCCGCCTCCAATTGTTCACCCAGGATGACGCAAGGAACTATTGCCATCTAGTTGTTTCGGATCCGCCCATGTGGAGAGGGCGACAGGGCAAAAACCAAGGCCAAACAGGGGGTGACAAGACGTCTAGAGCGCCTGAATTCCTTGAAGCAGCCAGCTTGAGCCCGCCTGAGCCTGAGCCAGGGCCCAGGACAGAGTGGGAACAGTGCCCACCAGTGGACATCCAGGAACATCGAGGAACATCCAGCGATATGATATGTATAAATATCCCAGGAGCGGTGTTTAGCTGGAAGACAAGTGGCGGCTGCGGAGAGCGCGTTGCCATGGTAGCCAGCAGGTGTAAACATTGGCCGCAGCCATCGTACCCGCACCACACCCACACCACCCATCTATCGCATCTCACTGCTGCTCCGGCCAACTCAAAAATTAAAATTAAAATTAAAAGAAAAAGAGAAAAAGAGAAAAAGAGAAAAAGAATAACTATTGCTCCTCCACCAGCTTCCAGCTCTAACGACTCTTCAGTTGCCTGCCCCCCTGTTCTTGACTCCCCCTCCTCCTGCCCCTTGTCCCTCCTCGCTTCTCCTACTCCCCTCCCTCATCTTCCTCATCTTCCTCATCTTCCTCATCTTCCTCATCTTCCTCATCTTCCTCATCTTCCTCATCTTCCTCGCCTGTTTCTTTCTACACCACCCACAACGATACGCATCATACATACATACATATCCTGTGCAGAAATATCTATTTTCTTCTCTTCTCTTCTCTCTTCCTCTCCAAAGTTTTCCACTCACCCCTGCATACCCTTCCACGACATCTGCTACAACTATATACAACATAAAACGACTAGATAACAGCCAAACCGGAGTCCTTATCAGCCATTTTGTTGAGCCAAAGTTCTTGCCCCTGTTGATATCCAAAGGCTTTGAACCCAAACCATGGCAACCCGTGGGTACGAAGAGCACCCGCAGTATGGCGCCGGCCGTGTTCGCCGCCATTCCTCTGTTGTCGATGAAAAGGCCCTTCCCGCACCACTCACTCCCCGTCGAAAACACGCCAGAAGCCAGAGCACTCGAGTGAGCAATGGCACAGTCAGCACAAATATGAGCATGGCCTCGAGTCGAATGTCCCAGGCAACAAATATCACCCAACCCCCCGCATACTCGAAAAAGTTTGTTGTTGTTGGAGATGGTGGCTGCGGGAAGACTTGTTTGTTGATTAGTTATTCTCAGGGTTATTTCCCAGAGGTATGTTATATTTATTTATTGTGCCTAGTACAATTGATATTATCAATTTTATTCACTAACATGCTACTCTCGTAGAAATATGTTCCCACTGTTTTCGAAAATTATATCACTCAGACCATGCACGTACCAACCGGCAAGACAGTCGAGCTTGCCCTATGGGATACAGCCGGTCAGGAGGAATACGACAGACTGCGTCCACTTTCATATCCTGAAACAGATCTCCTCTTCGTATGCTTTGCAATTGATTGCCCTGTATCACTCGAGAACGTGATGGATAAGGTAAGAGTCCTTGTAACTTGTACTCTAACCACGGAAAATCAATCTAATCATATCGATCTATATATAGTGGTATCCCGAAGTCCTCCATTTCTGCCCCACAACACCCCTAATTCTTGTCGGCCTCAAATCTGACCTGCGCGACAAACGCACATGTATCGAGCTTCTTAAAACCCAGGGGTTAACTCCTGTTACCCCCGAACAAGGCCAAACAGTAGCTCAACGAATGGGCGCCACATATGTGGAGTGTAGCAGCAAAGAGATGCGCGGTGTTGACGAGGTCTTTGAACTTGCCGTTAACACCGCTGTTGGGATTGAAGAGCAGGGCCACGACTCATCTAATGGGGGCGGAGGAGGTCGCAAGAGAGCTAAAAAACGGACGTGCAAGTTGTTGTAAACATCACCCCCCCCCCGGTTCCATTTTATTTCACCCGGGGGGAATGCGAATGAATTCTGCCCCCTGCCCCCTAATCTCATGACTCACCCTTTCCAACCTCCGCTCCCCATATCACCTATCGGATGATCAATATATTTCCCCTTCTTCCCCCCACCCATCTACAGACGATATACTCACGACACTTGTTGGGATGGACCAACCTCCTCTGAACACTCGGACCTTACTTACCACCACCTACCCACCAAACAAAAGAACCCTCACGAGGACGACGAAAATATGAACACAACGTTCCAGTTCCCCGCTGACGAAATGCCCCCCTTTTTGCAATGTATGAATGGCACTACACGGATGCTTTTCATGTCTCGGTATAAATGTTGTTTTGTCCTTTTACCCTTTTCCTTCTTGGCCCCGGCTCTGGCTCCGGCATTGATTCTTTCTGTCATTTTGATGACCTGCTGCTTGTGTCCTGTCCCTGACCACCCGCCCACCGGTGACAGGGGGAATTTTCATTCTACGGCGATAACAAAGGTCACCGTGACCTTGTTGATTATACAAACATTACCTCCATTTTCATGGGCGTTTTTCTTTTTCCCTTATTCCTTTATGCTTTCCATTTTCCTATTTTTTTTCACAGAGTACGATATGGCGCAAATATGTCTTTTTTGTCTTTCACGTCTGTTGTTGTCTATTGGCCAGTTTTAATGTTTCTCGGCTTTTTTTTTTAGCCTTTATTACCATAGTATGTTTTTAACTCCAATTTTGAATTTTTCACACCTCTCCTTAATCATTCGCCCTTTTTTTATAACTATATTTTGAGGTTCCTTTGTTTTTTGTTTTATTCTTTTTACAAATCAACTCTGAGTGTGTGAACCTTTTCCTCCCCAATGAGCATTTTGAAAGTGAATTGAGATGATGATGAAATACATTCCAAGGCATGACAACAAAAATGCATATAGAAAGTGTTTGTCTTTTTTTTCTTTTTTTTTTTTTTAACCCAACATATTTCCTCTCTTCTAAGTTGATCAGTTTTCCATATATTCCCTTTTTTCGGGCTGTTTTTTCTTTTTATTTGAGATATGAATTGTACTGTACATGCTTTTTTTTTTTGAGAGAGTGGGTTGGGGAATGGAGAGGGTATGGTTTAGGTTAGGTGTGTGCATGCATGTATGTAAAGTACAGTACACAGTACAATGTCAAGAGATTGATGAGTGAGTTAGTGAAGTGGAAAGAGTGAGAAATTGAGAGAATGTGAGGAGTAGTAGAGGAAGTGAATGTAAGGAGATTGTTGAAGGAAATGAAATATGAGTTTCGTGATAAATAGATGAAAAGAGAATGTAGTGATTCTATGTATGCATGTTATGAACAGCTGAACATCTACTGAAAAATAACATAAAATCAACCCTCTAGTGGTTTATACATCCCATATGTGTATTTCTATCTATTTATCAAAAAAAAAAAAAAAAAAAAAAAAAAAAAAAAAAAAGACCAAAAAAGACCAAAAAAGACCAAAAAAGACCAAAAATCCTATCATGCCATATGGATCATACCAAACTGTCGCCCCTTCAGCTTCTATTCGTGCACACACCTACAAACACATCTATCTATCTATATTATGTATCATCACAACTTATCTCCATCGCCTCCTCATGGTCAACCTATTATTCTCGACCGGGACCCGGATATGGGCCGCTCCATCCTCGTCCTCGTCCTCGTCCTCGTCAGTGTCCACGACCTCTCTCACCATCCTCATGATCATGGTCGTCATGTTGCGCACCTTCACCATGACCCTCATTCTCATTCTCATTCTCATTCTCATTGTCGTTGTCGATGTCGTTATTGTTATTGTTATTACCAAGCCCCATCACCGTCTCGAATTGCGACCATAGCGCCTCTACGGAGGAAAATTCGTTGCCGACCTGTTTTTATTTTTATTTTTAGGGTTCTCTTGCATTGTATAAATGGATACGTGGGTTGTCGATATATATATATATATATATTAAAGAAACTTTGGGGGTTTGAGGGTAGGATAGTCAACTTACGGTGATGACGCTTTCCAGATTCCGGTTCAGCCGGTTGATGTTTTGGAGGACTTGTTCGAGGCTCTGGTTGTATGTTTCCTTTGTTAGAGTTGGTAGGCTCATGGTTTATAAGGGAAGCGTGCCGATATTATATTATATAGACATAACTGGAAGATTGGGTTGTATTTTTGGAGTGAGTGAATGGCTTCCCTCTTCTCCCCATACGGACGATGATGGTTATGGAGATGATGGAGAAGGTTGTGAGCAGAAGAGACTGCTGCTGCTCCCTTCCTCTCCCTATAGAAGGCAAATGGCATTTGACGGAGGGTGGAACACTATCATCTCAACTGGTTTCGCGATGAAGATGAATGTGACAGGGATAGTGTTAGGGATAACGCCATTCCATATGTAAAACAAAACATATGAAGTTTGAGCATGGAGCATGAAGAAATATACTCAGAGCAAAGTTCAATTCAATAAAGGAGCAAAAGCAGAAAGCAGCAAAGGGACATGGAAATAACAAAACTGCCATTCGTCACGGCATGGAAACGCGATAAGATAAAAAACAACCAAACCACACACGCGCTGGGTGAGGGGAAAGGAAAAAAAAAACATCGGGGAAGGGGAGGAGATTCAGTAGTTTTATATATGTAACAATGAAAATAACAGTTAAAAGCGGACACAAAAAGTAAAGACAAATAGGAATCCTCACCAATGCAATCTCCCTAACCAATTCCTCCCGCTGCGTCTCAAAGTACGTGGGCGCATTCGCTGACGACTGTGGCCGCGGTGGTTGTTGACCGGCAGCAGCAGCACCAGCAGCAGCAGCAGACGATGACATCGTTCAACAAGGCGCGTCCTCAGCGTACGGGAACAGTGGAGTTTTGGTCCTTCGTCATTGGACAGGGGAGGGACGGATGGATGAATGAATGAATGTGTTTGAATGAGTGAGTGGGTGAGTGGGTGAGTGAGTGTGGGTAGAGTTTTGGCTTTTTGGCTTTTTGGCTGTGGTTGTGGTTGTATTTATGTATTTATGTTCTTGATTTGAATTGATGATGGGAAAAAATGTTGTTTGTTGGAGCAAAATCGGATTTGTTCCTTATATGGACCGACCGCCACGCCACCCTTTCAGCCACGGTGATGATGTTTGTAGAAAACATACACGATTAATCCTGTACTGAGCAAATGGTATAGTAGTGTATTCGGAAATGTCACATATGTTGCAGATTTTTGATGTGCTGTTGAGGAAAATATTTGATATGCCATGATGCTTTCTGGCTTTCTGGACTGCGAAGTTGTCAAGAACCTATCTATATCTATCTATCTATAACTCTATTCTTTATGTATGCATATATAACAAGATAATTCGAAGAACAAAGCAAAAAGAGCCGGAATAATCAACCTCCTTCGGGGCCAGATAACCCCAAGCCATGTAAAATCTATCCAGCACAAACCAGAAATAATAACCAAATCAATGAACCCTTTTAACCAACTATATTCCAAGGTAATCCTTTATCCGATTAAACCACGAACGACCCGCACCAAACGGGTATATATACACCCCGCAATCCCCGTCCACGCAATTGAGATTGCACCGTCCATAGACCTGGCAATAGCATTGCTGTGGATCGGGGCAGTGCCTTGCCGGCTGCCCAAACAAAACTGGAGTTATGTAATATACACATATTAGCAAGAGGAAGAAGGACAGAGAACAAGAGAGGGCGGGGAAGGGGGCGGATCATTTACCATGCCACATATACTCCATAACCCTCCCACTAATCTGATCCGACAGCTGCGTGTCAAGCAACCACTGCCGCAATTCTTCATATCTCTGCAGCGGATTTTCTCGAATGGCGCGGGCCGTAACACCAAACTGCGCACAGCAACCCACCGCAACTTCTCCCGGTAGGCTTGTCGCGCCGGGGAAGAGGGTGGCAGCGTTCTGCAGGATGCCCGCGATCGTTGCTGCTTCGCTGGTGTTTACTACTGTCGGGACTGCGGTCAGATCGAGTCCCGTGGTGCAGCCCGGGTACGGGTGGCAGCGCATGTTTACGTAGCCTTCGCGTACGAGGTGTTGGAGGTTGAAGCGCTCGAGCATGCGCTTACCATCTGGGGAGTCTTGGTTAGAAGGATTTCCGGGTTGGTTCTTTTTTTCGGCGTGGGGGATTTCTCGAACGCACCGTACTTCTCATCGTCGTTGTGCCATTGGTTCTGGTCCGCGTGGAGGAAGAGAACGGCAGTATCATTTGGGTGGTCATCGTAATGATCAATCATGTATCTATGAATAAATTAATTAATTATTTAAAATGAACAAGAGAGGGAAAAAAAAAAAAAAGGTTTGCTGTGGTATTCACTCTGTACGAACGTCAAATAAACCATAGCCTCCCTCCCCTTATTCCTGGGGATACGCAGTTGGGTAGGCTCGTCGTCCGCAATATAGATATGCATATCCCATTGAGGGAATGCTTTGGGCAGCCATTTGGTGTTTGAGCTCCGCAGGCCAGCAACCACAACGGCGGCTTGTGGATCATGTCCATGGCCATGTGGTAACGGCTTTGCGTCATCTCTATCATTCCGGAGGTAATAGAAAACGAATAGCACGAAGAGAAGGGTGCTAGCGAGGAGACGAATCCGGCGGCGGTAAAGGCTCGAGGAGGAGGAAGTCAGGACCCGGGGACGGAGGTGGGACAACATGAGTTTGCTGTCGTTCTTGAGTCAAAGAGCTGCCAAAAGAAACGGGCGGCGGCGATGTTCCCTCCATGAATCGCCATCATCCCGGAGTCGTAAACATGACAATAATATATTATAGTATGATATATATAAATATGCCGGGGGCTGTGGGAATTGATATCAATCAATCCTTGCGATATGATCTGCAATTCTCCGCGCCCGGGTTGTCTCGGGCCAAGACATGCCCAGGCTTGGAATCCGAAGCCAGAGTCTTTGGTCCAGATATTTAGGCTGCCGTAGCGTAGTCTCGGGGATATTATTCGTTTCGTTGCTGTTTTGGATTTATTCGCGGTGCGGTGCTTCGGCCTGCATGGGATGGAATTGTAGGGATATGCGGATTGAGAACGATATCTAGCCTTCATTCATTGAAATAATAATGAGAGAATTGCACCGAGTCCGATGCGATATACATTACTTTACGCAGTATATTCTCATCCCCTCCGGGCTTTCTGAGCACAAGATGTCTCACATTTGATGCTGACAGCTACCCCTGCTTATGTGCGAGCTGGATGTAACTAAATAACAATAACCTCTCCTCCTGGTATTCATCTTCTAAAGAATAGGAGCCGTTCCTCTGCTGAATATCTGAAACACTTGAATAAGAAACTAATGGAGATTAATATAAATATATGTAAGGGCCTTTTTTCAATTATTGAAGTTCTAGCGACTTTACTCAACCTGTGATGCCCCTGGTAACTAGCTATTTAGCTAACTAGGTAATATTCCTCCGAAACCAGTTGATCTGTGATGACAGGGTGTGGCTGCTGGAAATATAACCGTCAACCAATCATGTCCGCAAGGCAAAGAGAAGAAAGCGTAGAACTCAAACGACTGCTCACCTTTTGACCGCAGGGACAATACTGCTGCTGCTGCTGCTGCTGCTCTTGTGGTTATGTATCAGAACTACTAGTAAATAAGCGAGAGAGGCTGCTTGTAAGGTTTGTCGATATACTGCGTAGGATAGCTGTTTGCACAAGGCTTCAAAAATCGGATGACAAGATAACTACTTCGAGATTCTTAGTTCGACTCAAAGCAAATGAGCCAGCTCTTTCTTTTATCATATTCAGTCAGGGCTGCGACGAATTTATCTGGACTCTGCCTCTCATCCTATCAGAAACCCTTGGTTTTGGATACAAGTTCTGTGCATTTCCCTGCTGCAAATAGCGTTCAAAGAGAAAAACTCATATATAAGGGCAACTATACTTCTTGTACTCTTTATTTATTCGAAACTACTGTGCAAGAGAGAATTAAAAATAAATACTACTAGTTATAATGAGAAATAAATTCTGTCATACAAACATCAAAGTGCATGAAGAAAAAACAATCTTTTCGACCTTTTTATATTTAGCTAAATACTCTGGAAACTTAAATAACTAACTTAGTTAAATCTTTAGCTCCACGAAACCAATTGCACCGCGCAGAGATCAACCAACCCGCTGAGCGATACAAACCCCCAAATTCCACCAGGGAATCAGCCAAAGTTGATTTAAAATGTACTCTCTTGTACTCTCTGCGGAGCTATCAGGGCAAGTATTCCCCTTTCTAACCTGTTGTCTCCTTTTTATCACTCTAACATCCTGTCGGAGCTTATCCCCCCCCCCGCCTGTACCTACCCCGCCCCGCCACACCTGTCCTGGTTTGGACAACATCAGCATTTAATACTAAATACTCGCATGATTTTACCCATATTAAAATACATTCTACGGACATTCATAAAATCCAACAGTGGTGGCTCTTGATACTAATAAAACTACTGTACAACGCAGGGTCACGAATCTCCGGCCCAAGGACACGGAACAGAACCCTTACTTCTACACGTTTAAAGTGCAATGCACCTCCTGCCGGGAAGTCCACCCTAACTGGGTGAGCTTTAATAGATTTGTGAGTGATGAACATCTTTATTTATATATATATATATATATAGGCTCATTCAAATTACTGGGCCATGCGCGCGTCGTCATATTATTTGAATGACCACTCCCGTATTTTTCTTCTACCTTCTTCTACCTGAAAGCTGACTTGTTGCTCTTAGGAGAAACTTGAGGTCCCCGGCAGTCGGGGTGAGGCAAATTTCGTATGGAAATGTAGACTCTGTGGGGTGAGTTTGGCAGGCATATTTTTTTTTTTTTTTTTTTTTTTTTTTTTTTTTTTTTTTTGCTGAATGCCTTTTGTCCCCCTGATGCGATTTTGATTCTTGAATGCTTGCTCGCCTGCTTGCATGGTTGGACTCTTTATCCAGAGTTTTATCTACGACGAGAGCTCCACTACTTCCCTTTTTTTCTTCTTCTTTTTTTCATTACTTTTTCCTTTTGAGGGGGGAGACTAGACTAGCATCATCCTGTTTATGCTAGATTTGGGCACGCTGAAAAAAAGAAAAAAAAAAGGTTTAATGCTGATTGATATTCTTATGAATGGAAATGGAAATTAAAAAAAGAGGACACATTCCGCCTCGATCCCCAACGGACCAATCGCATATGATGAATCGAAAAGCGAGGGGCAAAAAATCATCGAGTTCGATTGTCGAGGGCTGGAGTTTACGGAGTTTAAGGCTGATGTGAGTTTTACGCTGCTGGTGAATATATATATAATAATGATGTGCACTTCCCTCGTCCTTTGAGTGTTGTTAACGGTTGTTACGTTCATGGATAACTAGGGAGAGTGGGAAGCGAAGGGAGCAGAATCATCGACGGCATTTTCAAGTGTCGATCTTAGCGATGGGGAGTGGTATGATTATGATGAGAAGGCAGGTGAGGAGGTAAGTATCAAAGACGTGAGCTGGGAGATTCGCAGAGCATGAGGCGGTGTGTATGATATATTGGGTGGAAAAAAATGCGGGAATCTGGAAGGTCTACGAGTCCTTGGGAGGAGGGGGAAAACATGATTTCAGTGATGGGCAGGACGGTGGACTAGAAGAGGGCTGAATTCTTCTGTATGCCATTAATTGATGTATGCTGTAAAGATTAATGGAATAAATAATATATAATGTTTGTATTATTGATTCCTCCTCTTTGTCTCGCCGAGAAAGTGATTATGATTGGCCAATGCTTTTCACCGCCTAGCAGCCCGGCAGATCGATCGCAGCCGCCCTGGGAGATTTCATGAGAGCTTCAACAGTAACCAACCATCAGTGCTTTATCCCGACGAATTGGATTTGGCACGGAGAGCAAAACCTCTTGCTACCTACTACTCGCTTCTATACCGTGCCGGATCTATTTACGTGTCGCTAATTCACCACCACGAGACTCTTACCCTCATATCCCACCTCTCCGATACTCGCAGATGATATTGCACACACACCCCCCTTCCTATTCACAATGAGTGTAAGTGTAACGCGCGACCAGGCGAAACCAGCCAGCATTTCCTTCTTACAGACTCTCCTACAAGAAAAGAAAAATTCTACAATGTTATATAGCTAGCTATTCTAACACATATCCACGTCTTTTAGTTCGTACCTTTAAACCCGCGGCCTATGCTGCAATCTCTGTACGTCTCCCTCCCCTCCTACCTACCAAACGGCCTACCCTACCTACCCTACCTCTCTCCCCTCTCCTCTCCCAATATTTAAAAACAAATCCCCACCCGACAACACCTACCACTTCTTTCCATGCCTAGTGTGCTTACCGAATTTTCTTTTTTTTTCTTTTTTCCGTTTTGCTATAGTGTCAACGAGGATATCATCGTGCGCCTGAAATGGGGCCAGACAGAGTACAAGGGCCAGCTCGTCAGCGTTGATTCATATATGAATATCCAGTTGTCGAATACGGAGGAATTCATTGACGGGAAGAGCACGGGTAGTTTGGGGCAGGTTTTGATACGGTGAGTTTTTTTTTTTTTTTTTTTTTTTTTTTTTTTTTTTTTTTTTTTTTTTTTTTTTTTTTTTTTTGCCCCCAAAGAGATTTTTGAGGTTAAAATCATTGTGCGCCTGAAAAGGGGCCCGACAGAGTACAAGGGCCAGCTTGTCAGCGTTGATTTAAATATGAAAATCCCGTTGTTGAATTCGGGGGAATTCATTGGCGGGAAGGGCCCGGGTAGTTTGGGGCAGGTTTTGATACGGGGAGGTTTTTTTTTTTTTTTTTTTTTTTTTTTTTTTTTTTTTTTTTTTTTTTTTTTTTTTTTTTTTTTTTTTCTCAAAGTGATGTTTGAGGCTATGACGGTGTGGAAGGGGTTCTATGCTTTTCCGTACTTCTCTTTTATATATTTTATATATAGATACGAAACTGAACTGAACTGTGCGCGCTAACGCTCAACACGTCTCACCCCTTGTCTAGGTGTAATAATGTCCTCTGGATATCGGCCGCGAAAGGCGTGGAGATGAAAGACGTCCAGATGAGCGAGGGATAAACGACACCTGTACAAGAAGAAAAAAAATATATATATATTTACAAAAACAGCAAAGAAAAGATGAGATTACCGAAAAGGTTTCCAACGAACGATCAGACAAAATCTGGGCGACATTCTGGCGCGTTTGCGTTGTTTCGTTTTTTGCTCTTGATTTTTCATTTTTTTTTTACTTTTTTTTTTTTCTTTGATTGTTGATTGTTGTTACGCTCACGAGGGATAAACGAACTCGAAAATATTTAAATCGCTTGGACCTTTGCTTTCAGTTTTTACCTACGTTTATTTTTATATATTTTCTAGTTGGAGCCGGGAGGAAGGGAGAAATGGGCCTTAAATGGTTATGGATTTCATATGTTGATTCCATTTATGCTGAGGCATGGTTGAGGCCGCGACACTGCCGCCTGTTTCATGGGGGAAAGGGGAGGGAAAGAGGTTGGCTCTGGCAGCGAGGTTCCGTATGATGATAGTCAACAGTTACGATTTTAGATAGAGGCTAAATAAAGCGAATCAAGACGTCTCTTGACAGCCTGCGTGCTTGCGTGTGTGCGTGCGTGCGTGCGTGCTATAGTATAGTAGTGTATAGTTATATATTCACCAAGTGTCAACAAGTAAAAGTAGTCGGAAGGTAAGAAGAAGGATTTGCCAACTGGTGTTCCGTGTCTCCAAGTCCATGCGCGTTGCGGAGGTAATCCAAGTGTCGTTCGTTGTGTCTATAAAAAATTACTCTGTTTCAAGGGTCCCTCTGTTAAGGACAGGGTTGGACGGGATATTTTGAAGGATTCTTGTTTTTGATAGTTACTTTCAACCTCTCCGGCTAATACATAATGGCTTAATAATACGTACAATAATGCACTTACTTCTCTCCTTGAGGAGGATGGGAGGATTGAGGATTGAAGAGGAGGAAGAGAAGATACATGTATGTAATGTACATATACATGTACATGTACAATATTTAATACGTATTACGCACTTCCTGATAAGCTGTTTGGGCTTGTTTCATTCAGACTACGAGACAACATTCACCAACCAACCCACGGCGGGGGCAGCGGAGAAGAAGAAGAGGATTTCGGCATGGACTGCATGAAATATTCAATAAATATACACCATCCAACGCTCCGGATAGGTGGCCGGCCGGTGTTGGCCAAGTCCAGTGCTGTTTAGTTAGTTGTTCCCATTTGCTTCTCCGTATGTATGTACATGTACACTGTACATACATTACATAGGGATGTAAATATAATTTACTATCACTCTCCTCCCGGTTACTCGTTGGTTGGGCGCGGGTTGTCCCTCCCGCTCCGTGTGAACCATGAACACAACAAAAGATATGATTCAGCACACCTCTTCTTCATCTGGAAGCTTGTTCGATACAAGGTTTTTTGACTAGTGAGGCCGCATGATCAAGGTCACCAAGTTAGCAGGCGTGTTAAGTTGTGGCCCGGGGGGGGGGGGGAGGGGTGGTGGTGGACTTAAATAACTACGCATAGTAAATAAAGATCAGAGTCTTAGCTGTCTGCTCTCTCCCAGCGTCGAGCGAGGCCTGATAGTTTCTACAGAGCCATGATCAAGATATATGTAAATATTTCCTCGTTAACTAGTTACCACTGACAATGATCAGCGTTGTCATGTAACTAACCAATGCAATAGTTAATAAGTTAATAAATCCATGATTCATCGAAGCGCCAAAACGTGGGCTTTGATCCCTCCCCTCCCCCGCAAACACCACCACCACTAGCACCATTAGCACCATCCCGCAACCTATCTAGAGCACGAGACACAGAAAAATTGATTCTCCGCCGCTGAGGAAGGACGAAATTACTTGGGCCACTACTCATATGTACTACTACTACTACTACTGCGTAATGTAGTTCAATCCTTCCCTTTGGTAAACTGGGCCATCCAATCGGGGGGGGGGGGGGGGAGAAGAGGGCTTTTCCCGGCCGGCAGGCGAAATCAACACAACCTTATATCCCGCGCCTCCCGAGTCCGAAACATTTCTGTCGCCTTTTTGGCCATTCCGGGACTAAATAGGTAGAGTAGAGTAGGCAATCAGAACAACGAGCACATTCTCGTGTGTGTTGTGTGTTGTGTGTTGTGTGTTGTGTGTGGGGAGGCGGGGAGGGGGAGGTGGGTGATTGTACAGATTGGCGCAGCGTAACAATTGTTTCTTGGAAGTCTAAAAAACATGGCTTGTTCTATGTCTTTTCTTTTTTTTTTCCCGTGATGGTGGTTCGAGCAAGGGACTAACTAACTTACTAAAATAAATATAATAATAAGTTTTCCCAGGTCTGAAGCTAGCACCGGGCTTCAACAGGAGGGGGGAGGGGAATAATAATAATAATAACTCATGCAGGAAATATCCAGGAATCCCCCGTATTGGCCAGGTTGGTCCGAGTCTTTTCGCCTCTTGTTGCTTTTCTTTTTTTGACTCTTCTTCCGTCTTTCTTTTCTTCTGATGGGAGTTTGGGGAAGAGTGCAAGAACCCGTTCGGAAAGGTGGTTTCATTTTTACATTATTTACAACAACAACAACCTTGTTCCCCCACATTATCATTATTACCTATCTCTCTTTGTATTTCTCCTCTGTTCGCCTTTTGGTATTATTATTTCCTATTCCTGCTACTTTCCAACTCTCGCTTAATTTAAATCCCGTTGCTTGCTTGTGCCCCCCTCCTCCCCCCCCGGCGCTGCAGGGTTTGGACCTTCTATCTAGTTACATGTGTTTTCCATTGATCCAAAAAGACTAACTACTTCCCTCACTCACGTTAATACCCGCACAGTGGAATTTATCCCTACAAAGACAAAAGACAAAGCAAAGGGGAGAGAGACGGGAAGAACCAGTATCAACGACGAGGGAATGTCCTGGTGGTTGAGCTTTACATAATAGATATATCGTTACATACCCTCCTCCTCCTCCTCCTCCTCCCCTATCTCGCCGTATCGTATAGCATCATCGCAAACCACAAAATATCGTTGATCGAATTAAACCAATAAACCAACACGTTCACGAGAAAACGAAACACACAGCGGAGGAAAAAAATATATTACTCATCGTCGTCGTCGCTCCTGTTAAAAACTCGTTACGTGCGTGCAAAAGGGGTCACGTTGAGCAGCGGAGCGGAGCGGGGTGAGCTGCAGACCCCAAAGATATCAAGCAGCGGGATATTTGCAACCAGTGTTCGCTCTCTCCGATTCACTTACTCTCTTCAACCATACTGTACTATCGACACATACATACATATATCCATACAATATCTCGCTGCACAAGTATTACAAACCACCGAACCAAAGCCAAAAAAAGCCAGACCTGAAAACCCGCCAAAAGAAAAAGAAAAAAGAAAGAAAGAAAGAAAGAAAGAAAGAAAAAGAAAAAGAAAACCCCAAGATGCCATCCCAACCCTCAAGATTCACCGAGCTCCTCGGCTCAGAACGGCTCAAACGACACACCTTCTCCAGCGCTGACGTGCGACTGGAAGATATCCTCGCCGCGGAAGCTGCCCAAGCCACTACCACTACCACTACCACTGCTGCCGCTGCTGCTGCTGCCTTGCAAAGGTCCACCACGGTCAGCAGATCGCGCTCTACCGCGTCAACATTTTCGACGTCTTCGACATCGTCGGCATCCTCTTCCTCGTCATCGGGTTCGCGGAGGAAGTTGGCGGCGCAGACGAAGTTGGCTTTTAGGTGGATTCCTTTTCCCGTGGGGGGTCGATAGGGGGAGCGGGGAGTGGGAATGGACTGGGGAATGGACTGGGGAATGGAGGGAAGGGGGGGGAGGGGGGAGGGGGAAGGATTTCACTGTCGACAGAGAGGGAGACCGCGCATGAGCGGCGGGTTTGCTCATTTTTAAAAACACATGCTTCACGACTGCATTTGGAGAAAAATTCCCTTCCGTTCTGGGTTTTGCATTGTTTGGTTATTTTATCGAGTTGGGAAAATGGGTGGTTATCTGTTTTCCATCTATATGACTGGATGTTTTTGTGTGTTCCGGATGGAGAGAGAGAGGGGGCGTGGCATGAGCTCTGGTGGTTTTATATCGATGCAACACATTTCCCCCCCTAGTTTCTTATTTTTTTCTTATTTTTAAATTTTCTGGTGCTCATTGCTAGTTACCTACGCAGATAGCTGGGGTATCGGTGTTGGCTGGACCTGGAGTTCACGATTTCTCCTCCCGATTTTTCCTTACTTATTTACTGCTTTGGCCACCATTGTTTATTTTTCTTGGTTATAGTTATTATTGTGTTGTAATATCCCTCTCTTCATTATTCCCCCCTTTTTTTTTCGTGGATAACGATTTGACTTTGGCTCCATCTAACTACTACCCCCCTGATTTTTATCTCTAACGTTATTACTTTTAAACGACATGACCTCACGACTGTCTTTACCCTGCCCTGACGACTGAATGCCCCCCCTTTTTTCGATTATCTTTGCTCCCCAAACTTTATCATGCTATATATACCCCGCGCGGTCCTTTCTCTTTTCCTTTCTCTCTCTCTCTCTTTTTTTTTTTTTTTTTTTTTTTTTTTTTTTTTGTGATCTCTATTTGTCTATTTGGAGCTTTCGCTGTTTCTTTTTCTTTCTTTTTTCGGCGGGCTGGAGGATGGATTGTTTACTTAGTTTTTCTTCTTCGTTATCCTCCCTAGTTTTGTGTAGTGTTTCATTTCCATTTCCATTTCCATTTCCTGTGCTCCTTCTGGGTGGCAGGATGGGGTGGGGAGGGATATCTGGATTATTTCCATTCAGCAAGAGAGAGAGATATAATAATAACCAACCACCAAGCATACATGCTAAATGCTATTTTATACCAACTTCTTTTTTTTACCAACAAAGCCTGTGCGGGTACGGGTACGGAGAGAGTACTTCGTTTTAACTATATATAACTACGGGACCCCCCTGGAATCCCGAGAGGCATGGTTGGCTGGCTGGAGGAAGTAGCAGGGCATGGCGGCGCATCTTAAATCTACGTTATGTATGTATATATGTACATGTACATGATCGACCTCGATCGGGTCAAACGGGGTTATTTTTTTATTTTTTTATCTATTTTATTAGTTCGTATAATCTCTGAAACTCAACGGAGCCAAATAAATACGATGTATGCACTGCCTTCGGCGCAGAGGAGGTTGGAGTTTAGTTTTCAGATGGTATATTCGATGCTAGAATACGTGGAGGTGGGCTTGGGTTCAAATCGTTGGGGGTTGGTAGATGGGCAATTTTAAGTGAGGGTGTTAGTTGTTAGGTGGAAGAAGATTATTTGGGATTGGAGATAGATATTGCATGGGCTCTATTTTATTTTATTTATTTATTTATTTTTCATTCGGTGAGAGTATTTCAATTTCTTTGGGTTAGCTGAGTGATTATGATTAGGCCCGATTTGGCGATGTAAGAAGAAGAAGAAGAAGAAGAAGCCAAAAAGAAGATAGTTAAAGGTATGTAATGTACATGTACATACGAATGCATATAACCAACCATAGGCTCGTTGGGAATATAAAGTATGCGCAGCACATTTGCACCGATATATATATAAAGGCCAGGTATCTATCAATTAACCTAAAGAAAGCCAATCAACTACCAATAGAATGATGCACGATATTACAATTTTGCGTGAGAATGTCCATCTCCAAGCGCCTTGCTTGCAAACGCCCCAAAATACTCATTCAGCGCATCTACCGTGCCGTTCCCCTCGACGAGCTGCAGGGTGCATGCGATATGCCCATCTGGCCTGAGAACAACTACGCCGCCTCTCTCCGTATCGAAGCCAAGTTTCGTGTGGGCCGCTGCTCTTGCGTTCAGTGCCTTAATGTCAGGGACGTTATCGACGTAGATATGATGGCGATACGCCTTTAGCAACTTGGGCAGGTGGTCAATTGCACCCGAGCCCTCGGTGTTTGAGTAAGTCAGGCAGAATGTAAAAAGGTGGGAGTGCGGATTATGTCGTTCAAAATGGGAGACAGTATCGATATCCCTTCGTTGGTAGCTGGAGAGGAATGAGCGCTTTTTCTCCAGGTTTGATGCGAAGTCGTTCACTGCTTGCCTCGTCTTGTCTGGGTTTCCGGCGAAGATATGGATGCGGAAGGAGCCGTTGGCGGGCACTGCTTGCTCCAGCGCAACCTTGTTGGAGTCACTTAGTCGGGTAACGGTGCATGAGGGGAACACTCGACCGGGGACCAATTTTACCCCTGGGGGGTTGAATAGAGGGGACTTGGCGGGGTGATCGGGTCCCCAATTGAAGATATTGGGTTGGTAAACTACGCCGTACCCGCTGGTAAATTCGCAAGCGGATTTGAACATGTCTACAAATTCGTTGATATTGCTTGTTGCGTCATCGTCGTCATCGTTGTTGTTGTTGTTGTTGCTGGCTGCTCCCACTTCAGCAGCGGATGGGGGTCTTGAAGAGAACAAGGCCGCATATTTGGCGTCAAAGTTGAGGAGAGTTTCGGCAATTAGTTTACGCTCTGATTCATATGTGTTCAAAATCGAGGGTTTGGCGAAGCCTTGTTCTACCATGTGAACTTTCCAGGCGAAGTTTAATGCGTCGTGAAATGCGGTATTCATACCCTGACCCGCTTTGGGCTGAAAAGGAGGTTAGTTGCGACCTACGGACATAGGTGTGGTTTGGTACCAGCGGATGCAAATCACTCACGCTATGTGTATGACAAGCATCGCCGCCTATAAATATGCGATGGTCCAATGTATACCTCTCAGCAATTCCCTGCCCAATAGGGTACACAGAGTACCACTCCACCCTGTCCCATTCTAAATGGTAAGGCTGGAAAATCCTTTTGGCGGCTTGCTGGACCTCCGAAACCGTTGCCGTTTTCCGCGGGCTCCAGTCTGCATCAGTCGAGGACGAAATTTGAACGTATAACCGCACCATATTGTTTTCTCGTGGTATGACCATTACAGAGCCGCTATCCGAATGAATGGTGCACTTTGTCTAAAATTCTCACGTCAGCACCCACACTTTTCTGCTTCCTATTGGATTAGAATGGTCATACCAGGATATCAGGGAAGTTTGTCCGTACTACTCCGTCCATCACACCCCAAACATGAGAAATTGGGTCCTTGTGAATAATTTTTATTCCCAATTGCTCTCTAATGAAGCTTTTGGCGCCTTCCCCACTGAATAGATATTTTGCTTTCGATACCTGTTCGACATTTGTATCGAGGTCCTTGAGTGTGACTTCCACGGGGTACGCTTTATCCTCCCCATCATTTTTAAATCCAACAATGGTCCAGGGTCGGTCGATAGAGCCGCCATGCTTTGTCAGCTCCTCTGTGAAAGCCCTTTCGATATGCCCTTGGTGTAATAACGTGGTGAAGGGGTATCTAGTATCGATGAATGAAGGGCAGCTAGGCCAACTTCCGGTCCTATGTATGCCTCTTCCATCCGGTAAGGGGTCCCAGAAAGCAACGTCATAAACCCTCGCGGGATCGTGTGCCATGATCTTGCGTTTTATACCCAGATTTCGTAGCAGCTCTAATGAACGAGGCTGAATACCGTCAGCCCGGCCGGTTTTGGTGGGTAGTGGGCGGTTATCGATGTGTTTGATTTCATACCCCCATTTGGAGAAGCATAGGGAGGCAAGAAGCCCGACAGGCCCAGCGCCAATGATGACGACATCGTATTTGTCTGCTGATTGAGGCATCCTACTCTCGTGACGATTATGAGGTACTGGAAGGATACGACAGGAATTGTTATAATGGGGGATTCGCGTAGAGAACCCATGGGCATTTTTATCTCCGCTCCAGGAGAAGGCGTATTTAAAATTAGACAATCGACCACGCCGCATAGCTGCGGAAGCACAGGCTGCTTATATACTAAACACTGTCCATCCAGGATCAATCATGGGTATCGTTTTAATATTGACGAAGACCATAGCTCCAGCTAACCGGCGGCGGCGGCGGCGCTGATCCCTGAAACGAAGCATCTTGTTGGGCCTTTTTTCAGGCGTGTGGTGTGTCTGATGCGGGGGAGCACTTAGCCAGCGGCCATGGTCTTAGCAGTGTGGGGGATAGCATCGCTGTGCGGGCTGCAGACCAGACCAGGAACTCGCTGTTCGGTTGTGTTGCAGAGTCCTATCCTAGTTGGCGGCCGGAGCTGGTAGTCGGCAGTGTAAGGGTCACGTGGTGGTGAGGTCATCCATGGATGTTAGTCAGCGTTGAACTTCTTTGACAACCTCTAGCTATAACGCAAAGATGCCGGTAATAGGACACCAGGAATATCATGACAGATTGCAGAGAATCCGCTTGTATCTGGGAATGCTGATTCATTGGATGCAAATAACAGCCCCCGAATATAGTTAATACTCCAGCTCCATCTTGGAAGAAGAGACTTTTCACCCTCCTTTCTCGGTCTGCATCCGAGTCAAACTCACATAGCCGCTGGAATAGATATTGGGTATATACCCTGTTGAATGTCATATCACCCTGTGGAGTGATATCCGAATTGCGCCATTATTGTATTCGGATGATTTGGAGATATCAAGCTACGCCTTTCTATTTTCAGCACGGACAGAGTGATGGCAGCCTTCAAAGCCTGCATCTCGGTTTTTGTTCTTCCCAAAAATGGAACTTTCGACTGGCAGCCATAGAATATACTATGCTAGCGTGTGGAATTGTTCTGTGTATTGCCCCTGGAATACCAATCAAGGTGATTGGTAGATGGTTGGAATATTTTTGATTCCTGTCTTTCGAATTCTGCCCAAATTGCTCATGTTTATATAATAATTGCTATTATATCACTTGAGCTGGCGGATTATAGATATTTCTGAATATAGATCCCAATTTTGAATATTCACACAATGGGATATGTCGACAAAGCAAATATTCTTTTCAAATTGAATTAGCTGAAAAGTTCCAATACGTTCATTCACCAAAACTATGAAGACCTTTATTGAAGCCCATTGTTGTATTCAATCTGGTCGATGGTGGATTCATATACGCCAACAATGGGTCAGGCCCTGAATCTAGCATTTGCGGAGTGCTCTGAGGAGTTGGGTGAAAGGACTGTCAATCCTTGGTAATACCGTTGATACCGTTGATTTGAATAGGAGCTTTTGGTTGATTTCCATGTTATACCAGCATTTTTATACAACTCATACTATAAAGAACTGTTTGAATCAGGATCAAGCTTATCTCTGTTTTCTGCGGTGGCAAACCCCTTGTTACATGCAGAGACTGTCAACCTTCAATATCCAGGTGCGTAATTTTTTCGGGATTTGTTTATTGCTTGGAGTATTGTGGGCTTGAAGCTCACCAGTTGCAGCTTGCTATCGTGCGCCGTGGCAACCGAACAACCCTCGTGGTTGTTGACGTTGACACACGTTTCCGCCGTTCCAGGGACCCGTAAGCTCCAGCAAACTACTCTATCCAGCATGGAGAGTCAATTCAGCGGAAGGGGTTATTCTGAATACGAAAATGTTCCTATTGAGGGTATTCGGGGCCTTGAGATCGACCACAACAGAGCCCATCACCTGCACGGAGCAACAGATACGCTCTCCACACCACAGCTTACTGCCCGGAACCCTTACTTCCAGTCTGGTGCATCAAGTGCATCCGTTTACTCTCAATCTTCATCTGGCTCTCCAACCAAAGACACCTTTCGCCTACTAACGCGTGAAATCTTGAACAATCCACTGTTAAAGTCAGTAGAAAATACAGGAAAACCTGTTTTGACGCTTGAACCGGAAAAGTTTAACCCAATCTGCTCTATGGAGGTGCCGATCGTATACGACAAGTAAGTTGATATCACCATATTCGTCGCTTGGGCGGAAGGGAAACTAACATATTATTTAGCCACTCTTCATATAATAGTGCGGGCGATTCCAACCCTTCTGGAGAAGGACGCGAAATAATGTGGCCGTTTGAGCCAGAGACATCTGAAGCCACGCCAGGAATTCCGCCAAAGGCATTTTCATACCCCGTTGATACAAATCAATACAACAGACGCCTCCCTATTTCCAAGTCAGAGGGGAGCAATGTCAAGTCTCTTGATGGCAATACGAGCTATGACGACATGCCATGTAGAGGAGATCATTATTGCCCCGACTGGAATCATTCAGCAAATGTGTTTCCCGGACGCCAGAAACAGCGATCTGGGTCCCCGGATAGAGGGCGTGGCAGAGGGAGGTCTTTGTCTCCCGTGAAGGTCCTTGAGGACCTTGACGAAAATTCACCACTCGAGTTTCTGCCAAGTCCTATGAAGAGGGCTCGATCACCGCATAAAAAACTGTTTGGAGAAAACGGTTGGTTGGGTCGTAGCCCTTCTTTGAAGGAAAGCTCTTCTGAAAAGAACAAAAGGCCTGGTTTTAAGTCGCTTGGTGAAAAGATCAAACAGCGGGTTGAGGATATCGTAAGTTCATAATGTTCTCGAATTACTCGGAATTATTTCCCCAGTACTGTGAGTATCTTTTTTAATCTGACTATTCGGTTTGCAGACAGGGGATGCTAAGAAATCCAAGGAAAGGTTTCAATCGACGTTCCCCATTTCCCTGGACCCTCCAACCCAGGCAAAATTATACTCTGAGGTAGAGCTTATGATATGCGTGACAGCCAACAAGTTCCTCCTCGACCAGCACAAGGAGGGTCGCATATCGGTGGATTCAGTTACCAAAGTTACCAATTTCTGGGCTTCAAAGAATCGTCCGCAGGTCGTACAGTTTCAATTCGACCAGCTCACCCAGCGTGATCTCGTCATCTACAACCTACGGACGTTCAAATTTCATGGCGAATGTGCACAGAATGTGGTTGCTCTCAATGCGACCTTGCGCAATTGGAAAGCGATCGCCAAGGAGATGAGTGTTCGTACCTTCTGCACTCCAGATAGCGTCATTAGAAAACATATGCATGATACACACAAGATCTTGGAGATGCTCGGGGCGCCGCTTGTCACATTCCTCGCATTTCAGGAACTTCAAGTCAACACGCTTTCGCTGATGAAACGGGAGCAAGAGAAGAAGATGCAAGGAAAGGGGCCGCATGGGGTGACGAGGGAGTATCACCCTCCCTCCCTATCTCAGCGTGAAAACGAAGACAGAGGAAGGGTTCATGGAGAACACCGAGAGTGAGGGCATCTAAAAGAAAAAGTAAACAACGAGCATTGCTTCATCCGAATGTATATTCGTTCTGCTTCTGTCTGCGGGTGTATATCTTGCACGGAGTTGGCAGGGCTTCGTTGATGTGTTTGCTGGTTTTAAGCGCCTAAATACTTCTTTCCTGTTGTTTCTGGCGATCTGTATGAACATGATTATTTTTGTTTTCTCGTTTTCAAAGTGTTTGCGACGAGTAAAGTAATAATTAATAATTTTTTAAAGAATATATACTGATTCCTCCGTAACTAGTTGTTTTTTGACGACTTATCTCAGCAAGCTCAGACGCTTCTCCAGATATTCATTGCTGTTTTAACACTGGATTGATGATTATGTCATGAGCTAACCTCAAATAAGCAATAAGCTAACCCAAATAGTAAAATCAGGTCATGTGAGTGATAATATCTTGCAAAGTGTCTGAGAAGAAACAGTTTCTGGTTGTTAGCAACACAGGAACAATTTACTCAGTATTCTGAGTATGAAAGAGAATTCTAACTCAACTTCATAGATTCATCATTTCTGTATCATCTTAGAACCTTAGAATAACAATGTTCTCACAATGTATCTGATTTTTATATTCATATCTCAAGTTCTTAGAATAGAAGTATCATCTCAAAGTTGATCAGTGTGTTTTTGAACACAGGAATTTTAATCCAATTTCTCATACAAAAAAAAGCTCTTAGAAATTCTGAGATCAAAAAATATGATCATTTTCAAGAGTATACATCTATCTTAAATATAGATTTTTTTGAAATATTAAAGAAATATTTCTATTCTTCTTCTCTTTAGCTATAAGCTAAGGTGATTTTCAAATCTCAAAGATATTGTTGAAGCTACTACACAAGCTCTAATTCACATGACTCACACACATATATTTAGCTTTCACTAGCTACTAGTTAGATAATAATAACAATCAATCACATTTAATCTCTCTCACAGATTATAAAGCTCTTGCACTTCTATGAAGTGTTATAATCATATAATAATCATACAATAAGCTTTTCAAATAGCTGCTTTTTTCATTCAAATATCTCATATCAAATGCCTGTCAATACAAGATTGATTAACTGCAAAGAGACTTCAGAGAATCAAACTACTGCATCTGAATTCTTTTCAATCTCAATAACTGTGAGAAAATCATCACATAATAACAATAATCAAGATAATAATAATATGGCTGATGAAGCTGCTATCTTGAGACAATGTATTACTCAGATGAATGAAGAACTATATCAGATAAGAGCTTCTAGCAATTCTACTGCTACAGCTACTATTAATGATGACAATGATCTAAGCTCTGATCTTACTGCTTATCTTCAGAATCAAGAGAATATCTCTGCACTAAGCAGAGTTCTTCAAGAATTTCATGAATATATTAAATATCTTTAAAAACCAGGTCTTCTCAAATCAATATCTGATTATCTCATTTGAAAGAAAGAGATTCTGCTTATTATTAAGTAATCTTATACAGAAGATATTCTCACTAACAAGCTCTTAAAGAATGTCTCTAAGAATATGAAATAATTCTAAGAGGAACACAACTTCTAACTATATAATTTTGTATAATCTTCTGTTTCTATTGAAGTCAAATCTCTTTTTACTATATCTCAAGATTCTCTAAGTTCTGCTGCTCTATGAAACATCATAGCAGCATTCTTTTCAGAATAGATGAAAATCTGCAGAGTCTGCCTGTTCAAGAAATTCAATGATATCAGTGCAACTGCTATCTATGATGACTTCAATCACTTATTCATAGAACATCTGCTTACAATCTGCATTAAGTATATTCATCTTGAATATACTAATATTCTCAACTTCATATTCTTCAACAAGCTTCTTAACAGTCTTATCAAGAAGTGGTCAATCTTTATCAGAGATCACATGAACTATGCAGCAAAGAATGATAATATCACATCACTAGAAGATAATTTTCTTGATCTCTGCAGGGATATACTACTCTGCCTGTCATTGAATGACAAAAATGTCAGAAATGATACAAAGAATAACAAAGATGTCATCAAGAATGTGAAGAATAATAAGAACATCAAGAAGAAATGCACTGCCTGTAAGATGAAAGATCATGATGAATCAAGCTGCTGATTTGAACACTCAGAGAAATGACCTGCAGATTGAAAGAATAGAAAGAAGGTCAATGATGATAATGCTGCTACACCTGTATGCTACAATACTGAGCAAGTCTTCTAATGATGCTCATGATGACCGCCAATATCGACGCCAAAACGATGGAAATACCGATAACGATGCCAGGCCCCAGTGCCTATATGATGCCAGGCCCCAGTGCCTATATGATGCCAGGCCCCAGTGCCTACGATGCCAGGCCCCAGTGCCTATATGATGCCAGGCCCCAGTGCCTACGATGCCAGGCCCCAGTGCCTATATGATGCCAGGCCCCAGTGCCTACGATGCCAGGCCCCAGTGCCTATATGATGCCAGGCCACAGTGCCTACGATGCCAGGCCCCAGTGCCTATATGATGCCGGGCCACCGATTGCCCATATGATGACCTATGCCGATGACCTATGCCGATGACCTATGCCGATGACCTATGCCTATGCCTATGACGATGAAAACCACAAAAATAATAAGAATGAGATCCCGCGGCGTTAGAACAACTGGGGGTAATACCAATACTGAAAGGACAGATTTGGGCGTTCTTCTTGCATGTTTTTTATGTTTTTTCATGTATGGAGCTAGTCATTATGAGGAAACTAGACTCTACTTTTTGTAATTAATTTTTATTGCAGATTTGAATGATTTGGGTGCTTTTGACTGCGTGGGTTAACTGGCCTGTGTAGCATGGAGGGGTGTTGGAGCTACTACACAAGCCCTAACCCACGTGACCCACACACATATATTTAGCTTTCACTAGCTACTAGTTAGATAACAACAACAACCAACCACGTTCAACCTCTCTCACAGATATGTGGGTATATAGTAATAGAAAATCAAAGTTGAAGAATCTGAAAAATCCTTGTAAATCTCAGGAATCTTCATTGAAGATGGAACCGTTTCTTCTCAGACCCTCTGGCGAGGATTGCTCTGAGCACATGACTTGTATCAAAAGTAGGTTAGTGTCATGCCGGATTAGTTAATAATAATGCTGCAACCTGTTCAAACCGAGCCAGAGGGTCTGAGCCCGCTGAGATAATTGATGACGCCAGAAATTTGAACATCCATGTGACAAGAATGGACAGATGACGTTAACGTCAGTTGAGCTACTGACAGCATCATACTGGGCATACAGCTTTCAATGGGACAACGCTGGACAATGGCTTTGCTCAATTTAATAAAGAGAAAGCTCTAGCGGCTATTCCCGTTTCTCTACAGCTATCTCGATGCTTTTCATGCGGCTATGAAGGAATGCGCCTATCCTGCACCTTCGGCTAGCCCCAACAACTTCGAAGGTTCGAGGCAGCCGTATAACTACTCCATAGTTGAACTAGCATTCATCTACGGACTCAACAGACTAATAACTTGAAATTTCCAGTCATGATATGACCCAGCTTATTCTATATAAACCCTCGTCCCTATTTATATCGCGAAGTAATCTCCCGCAGATATTTGAAGCTCTATTCACCGCCGAAGTATGTCGAGCTTGCTCCACACCTATGGGCCAACATGCCTACTATATGATCCCGAGGACAATCCAGCAACGAAATCGGATTTCAGCTCGTCTACAGTTCCTCCCAAAGTTCGCGCCCAGTTTTTCTACTTGTCGTCATTCCCAATAGATGATCCTTTAACTCCTCTGCCAGCGCCTTCTGCAAGCTCGAGCACCTCTGTTGCCAGCTTCCCTCCACGGCCCTTTTCGGTTTTGGATAACATTGCGCTGGAAGAAGCATGGCACGGACTTAGGAACACAGAGGAAGACTCGGAAGCTGAAGACACTCATAAAAGCGGGACCGAAGAGAACAAGGCTATCAGAAACTGGAAGCAGAGAGTTGACAGACTCATCATTGAAGCCTTAGCTGCAGCTCGCGAATATAGGCATGATTCGCCGGATATAGATCTGACACCGATTAACGAACGCCACGATTCTGCTTCAATATTTTCTCTCGCTGAACAGCATGTGGCGGAATATGGAAGCTCTGATGATGAAGCGGAAAAAAGGAGGCTTGTGGTTTCAACTCTGAGAAACGTAATCGAGCAAATTAGCCGGCACGAAGAAAGCGACTGGAGGAATGAATTGCGACCTATAATTATGGCAATATTCAACGCTGCATCCAACGAAATCCCGAACCAAGATCGGGACACTCCTAATAGGGTTACTGATAATCTTTCGCGTCAAGTCAATGAACAACCTAAGCCTACTGGTGTCTCGATCCCGATTCGAACACCTTCGAAAAAATCTGCTTGCGACGTAGATGCATCTAGTAAATCGGGGGGACAATTTTCTACTCCTGATCAAAACTACCATACTCCAAACTCTTTGAAACGGCACAGCCCCCCAGGGGACCGTAAGTCAAAAACTTCGAAACGGAATAGCACATCATCCCCAACTGGTGATGACGTTTATGGATCTTACCCTTCACAGACACACAGGTCGATTCCTTCAACTAGTTTACACGCAGGCGGCACAAATATCTCTGGGTCTCCGTTCATCAGGGCTCCGGCCAGGAGTCCGCGATCAGCTCCTTCACCAAGGTCGCCTGCTACCCCAAGTAGTATGTCGCATCCGCTAGGTGGAATGGTGACAGGTGACCAAGGGAGCGATGGCCGTTCATCTAGCTCTAGGGTAGATCCTTCTGGTAGCCCTTCAAGGGTCCCAGTGAAACGGTTATCTCCATCTCAACCAGAAGTGACCCCGATAGAAAGCAAACGGGAACCTGATGCGGTTATACCGGTTGGAATTTCAAGACTACATTCAGTGGAACTTCCCAACTTAGAGGCAAGTTGCTTTGATTTCTCATTTTGTTCGCGTGATTGGGGCAATTGATCGGAAGCATTTCTAACTCAAAACACAACCTCTAGATGAAACCCATATATTGGAGCCCTATTCATGATATATCTTCTGTTATTCGAGCCACGTGGTTTTATAAGAACACTATGTTACCTGTTGAGCCGGAACTTGCAAACCAACTAGAAGCCGGCTATATGTACATGCGCCCCTGGACCGAAACCTGGCAGGATGAACTTAACAGCTGCATAGAAAATGGAGCAGAGGCAGAAATGAAAATTGTGCATCGAATCTGGCCTCTGGAAGAAGAAGTAAAAGAGCAAAGTACGGTGGATTCAGGGCGGGAGTTGAAGTCGCCTAAACGTTTGTCGATTCCGAGGCCGACTGAGCCAGAGCGACCGTCGATATTTTATGAGAATCAAGCTGCAGGCTCTATGACGCCACCCGATGCTCCTAGGCCATACAAATCTTCAAGTGTGATATATGTTGATTCCAAGGAGGCGCAAATTCTTAGGCCGAATCTACTACCCTCCGCTGCACGGGGACGACGTCCGCTCAGTGCAATTCGGAAAGGAAGACAAATAGGAATTCCTATTGTTCGAGGATTCAATGCTCAGGCTTGGGATAAGCTACACCCGGTTAAAATTCCGGCGACCAGCGGCAGGAGAATTGTGAAAATGCACCAAACTGCTGAAAGAGAGTCTTTTGGCCGACGCCCTATCTGCTACGCCTGCCAAATTGAGGATAAAAGACCAACGGTTTCCGACCTAGTATTGGTTGTACATGGTATCGGCCAAAAACTATCCGAGCGAGTTGAAAGTTATCATTTCACACATGCCATTAATGCGTTCCGGAGACAAGTCAATATTGAGCTTAACAGCGACGCTGTTTGGCCTCATATGCGCCCTGAATTAGAAAGCATTATGGTGTTACCAGTCAACTGGCGGTCGACACTCTCCCTAGAAGATGCTGATGCTGAAGCTTCACTCGAAAACCCGGATACGAACAAGTTCAGCCTTAAAGACATTACACCTGAAACCATGCCAGCCATAAGAAGTTTGATTAGCGATGTTATGCTCGACATCCCTTATTACCTATCTCACCACAAGCAGAAAATGGTTCAGGCGGTAGTCAAAGAAGCGAACCGGATATATCGCCTCTGGTGTCAAAATAATCCAGATTTTCGAAAAGCTGGTGGTAAAGTGCACCTGATTGCGCACTCTTTGGGCAGTGTCATGGCAATGGATATTCTTAGCCAGCAGCCCACCCATGTTCCCTATATTGATTTTGAACTCACCAAAATCAGCCAGACAATATTTGAATTTGATACCTGCAATGTCTTTTTCTGCGGAAGCCCAGCGGGTTTCTTCTTGTTACTGAATAAATGTCTGTATCATTCCTTTTTCATTCAGGAGACGATGAGAATCAGAGAACTAACTTCCATATAGCAACGCTGCTCCCGCGACAAAATCGGGCTAAACCCGGAACGCATGGAGAAGACATGGAGCGAGGAGTTGCCGGGGAAGCAGGTACTTATGGCTGTCTAGCAGTTGATAATATTTATAACATCATGCACGATACCGACCGTAAGCTCAATTACCTCTCATATCCAAGTTCTATCCAATTCCAGTTAAAAAAATATAAAATAATAATAAACTCATCAATATTGATATCTATTCTTCTTCTTAGCAATCACCTACCGCCTCAATGCAGCCGTGGACAGCGATCTCGCCAACTCCCTCAAACCAGCCTCAGTCCCGAGTTCATCCACCTCATTCTTCCAAGCTGTCAGCAGCGTGTTCCGCTGGGGCTCCTCCAAGGCGAACCAGAGCACCGCAGCAGACCTATCCACATCCCTCTCGCAGCAGAACCAACGCCCCGCCAGCATCGCAAAACTACCTTCCAACATTGAGATGGAGACGCACGACTTCTCGCGCGAGGAACTCGCGGAGAAGCGCATGGCGCTGCTGAACGATAACGGGCAGATTGATTTTTACATCAGCGGCGGCGGTGGGCCGTTGAGTATTCAGTATTTGAATATGCTGACTGCGCATAGTAGTTATTGGGTTTTGCAGGATTTTGTGAGGTTTTTGGTTGTGGAAATTGGTAGAAAGCGTGGGAGGGACGGGACTTTATTGGCGTTAAGGGCGGAGAAGAAGAAGGGATGGAAAAGGGCAAAGGCGTAGTGAGGATGAGGGGTTACTTTTTGGTTGTTTTGGGGTGTATGGTTGGATTCTTCTCTCTCAGGTATAGTTGTTCAGGTTTCATTGTGTTTTTCATTGTTACATATTTGGAGCTTTCGATTTGGTGTTTACTCCTTGTGAATATCTACGGGTTCTTTTAGATGGTTCATGAGGCATACATTCCCGAAGTTAACTATTTCTGCCTATTTGACCGTGGAGGCAATGATACCTCCCTACGGTGAACACCCTAAATACGCATGAAGTTACATAGAAGTAAAATTCACAACGATTTTTGTCATTCTCAATAGAAATTATAAAACCACATTCCAAAATAATAAACATATGAATCGAATCAACCAAATCATCAAATTGTCCATCTTTCACATAATAATTCATCATTTTTAGTTTTTAAATTTCACTCAGGAACTACCATTCCCATCAGCAATGCCTGCACCTTCTTTCCTTTTTCCACGACACCCTTCCCCGGCTCAAGGACCAACAAAGCATTCGCACCTGCTAGGCTACCCACGCGCGAACTCCGCTGCCCCGCCCCAGCACCCGGTCCACCCAGCCCGGTACTCGTCGCAAGAAGTTTACCATCTATTTTCGAGGCTGTTACGATCGCACGATGGTACTCCGTACGTTTAGGATCGAGCGGGATGTCCTGCGTCAGCGTTACTGTGGCGAGTGGGAGGCCGAGACGAGGCTGGAAGCCCTGCTGCTGCTGGCTGCTCATACCCAAACCAGTCACTTTGTGCAGGGCGGGCAGAACGAAGAGGTTCAGCGTCACTAGTGCGGAAGCTGGGTTTCCGGGTAGGGAGAAGATGAGTTTCGTTTCGCGCTCCTGCTGGGCGGCGGGGTCTGTGGATGATACTGCGGGTTTGAATGGGACTGTTGCGAAGGTGGTGGGTTTTCCTGGCTTCATGGAAACCCGGCCGAAGTGGATGGTGCCGCCGAGTTGGCGTTCGATGGTAGGTTTTAGTAGATCCAATTCGCCCATGGAAACGCCGCCAGTCGTTATTATTATGTCAACACTCGGTGAGTCGGGGGTGCCGCGGAGAGCATCGCGCAGGCACTGTTCGAGATGCCCTGTTGGTGTGTCCTTTGCAATTCCGAGGTCGACTGATGGGAAACCCCAGGCTGAAAGACATGAGAGCAATGACGGGCGGTTTGAGTCGCGAATCTGACCACCTTGGAGTGAATCAGGACCATCGTGGTTAACGAGTTCATCGCCTGTGCTGAGGACTCCGATGCGGGGCTTTTTGTATACTTTGACCATTCGCGTTCCGGTCGACGCGAGAAGACCGATTTCCCCGCCTACAGCTGTAATTAGGTCTCCCTTTTGAAGTATTTTAGATCCCAGGGAGACGTCGCTGCCAGGCTCGCGCACGTTTTCTCCCGGTTTTATTGCCCCAGTTAGGATTTCCACGACAGCCTCTTCCTTCCCATCAGGGGTTGTAGATACAAGGACTGTATCTTCCACCATTACGACCGCATTGGCGTTCTCGGGAAGCGGAGCCCCAGTGGTTATCCGCGCAATTTCCCCTCGCTTCAACGGTGGCGGCATAGAAGCTGCTTGTGCATGTGAGACTGATGCTACCGAGAATTTTCCTTTTGTGTTTCCAGTGGCATCCGCTGTAGGAGTGGAGGCGATAACTGCGTAGCCATCCACGATGCTTGCTCTATATGCCGGGACCGCTTCGCGTGCATAGATGTTTTCCGCGATCACGGATCCTACAAGAGATGCATCTACACGAGTTTCGATGATGGTTGGCTCTGGAGTTTGTTCAACGATGATTTTGAGAGCTTCTTCCACCGAAAGCATAGGATAAGGAGATTCACGGTAACGTCTCGTTGGTCCTGAAATAGGGTCATTTGATTGTGGTCGGTCAGCGGGCGATGTATGAGCTCTGGGTATAATGTGGCCATGTGAATGACCATGTCCGTGCCCTTGATGGCAGCCATGGTGATTGTGATGGTGATGGTGATGATGGGGATGAGATTTTTCCTCGACAGAGCCAGCAGCTGTCGTGCTGATGCCCGCTTCTTTCTCCAACCTCTGTACACCACCAGCATGAATTGCTCTCGAATCAGCTCCAGCAGCCTGGATGCAGGCATGCGGGAAAAGTTTGATGACGGCTTGAAGATTCTCTTTCGCTCCTTTTGGAGAACCTGGTAGGGTTATGATTAATGATTTACCCCGCACACCAGCTACGGGCCTGGACATCATAGCAACTGCGATGAACAAATCAGAACAGCTTCAAATACTTGATAGAAATATTTCTGAAGGGGGATGCCATACAAGGAGTTACAGCCAAAGAAGTAGCAAGCATGCCGTGCCTAGAGAAAGTTAGGCTCATATGCCAGAAACCGAAGCGAATAAGGGGCATTAGGACCTACACAAGTCCAGGGGCATGTCGATGGATTAGCGGCGATACGGCCTAACAGTAGTTTGTTAGTGATGCACAATTGAAAGAGTCTTCAAGACCGCCCCATAGGCAAGCTTCAATTGATAGACATCGGCCGGGGTGTAGATATATATGCTCTTAGGGGAGTAACGTAACCCACCTCTGGAGTATTGTCCTTAACTGCAAACCCCGTCCCTCCCGTTGTAATTACGAGATTAAAATAGTCTTCCGCATCTGTCCAGGAGAGTATCTGCCGTTGGATCTCCAGAACGTTATCCGGGACAATTACAATTGCGGGATCACTCCATCTGCCCCCTCCTTCAGCGGCGAATGTTTGGGTGAGAGCGCTGGCTACCTTCTCCGTTGAAGGATCCCGAGAGGCAGTATCAGAAATTACCAGGATAGCAGCCTTTAATTTTGAGTCAGCCATAGCGAAGGTCGAGGATCCTCACCTGTGAGGTTCGTGTTTGCACTAGGAATGGTTGGAGAATGGGATCTCTTAATATCTTCAGGTATAAATAAGTTGGATGTGCTCCGTTGGTCAGAGGCCGTAAATATTTAACCAGTTATTAAAAACGGTTATTTAAATAAGGTCATTTTTTCGGCAAGAGAGGGGCAAAGTTTAGCTCAACATCAAACCCTTTCGATGCCGCTGCCTGCAACAATGCTCTATACATGCTCCGTACAGGATACAACAACAATGAACAAAAGGCTCTAAATTGGTAGAGTCCGGAACTTAAATCTGTAGTCTGTGGCAAGTACACGCGATTCTAATTCATTCCGCTCTTGGGTCGGTAACACGGAAGCCATCACGATCACCCTCGAGATTTCCCGGCTACAATGTATGATGTATCTAGAGGAAGCTGGGAGAGTATCTTTCCCTCTATGATCTACGTAGAAGATGTATTTGTACAAGGCAGCCTTCTGCCATATCTTTCCCCGCTGTGAATTTATGCTGGCTGAGTAAAACCAGGCATGGAGCTGCGTCAGATACGACGGCATTAGGCATTTATCAAGTGTTCAGCTTATGGTATTTATGAGGTTCCATGTTATAATGTTAATAAGAGTGAGTGGCAAACCGTCCACACTGTGAAATAAATTGACATATGACGGGAAGATCACAAGAGATATATAATTCCCCGATGCAGCAACAAATACTATACATGATATCGCAAAACAACAGACCGGGCGGACAGTGATTCAAACCCCCTTCCTGGTTCACAATCTTCCCCTCCTTCTCATGTTTGCCGTATTAAAAAACAAGTTATGACTCCATGTCTATTCCATTCGTAAATATCACATGGTTAATGGTAATCTAAATCGCCCCAGATCGATTTCATCATTGGTTGAAGAGAAATGGAAAATCGTAAATAAGTAAAGGGTTATCAAAAAAAGCGGCGCCAGTTATTTTGTACTGCAGGAGAGGATCCTGGCGCCACGAGACTCTCCCACCTCATCCCCGTTGTGTGGAAGGGAATGGGTTTCCGCGTTTCGAGGTTATCCAAATGAATTCCATTGTAATTCTCTCGACTGTTTCACAACGTTCAAGCAAAATCGTTTGCCTTTCCGGATATCAGTAGGCCAACAATCAGACCGAAGAGACCGAGGACGGAGCTAAAAATCTCAATCACGAGGATTTTCACGAATCTTTAATTTGCACGAAAACACATCAGCATGAGCTATTTAGCACGAGAAATAGACGTGGTGGATCAAGATCCAGACAATGTGAGGTGATGGTTACTAACAGGGAAGAATCCGCCGCATCAGCCAATGCAGCACTGCTTCCGTTGATTCCGACAGCAATACCGCAGATGAGATTGCATACACCGACCGTCAAACCACCCCAGAATAACGCGTAACCCGTGTACAGGTTGCTTCCGGAATGCAGGTTTTCGGTGGGGACGTAGGCGATCTTCGACGAAAAGACAATAGACATGATAACGCCGTAGATGGCGACGACTTCGCAGAAGATGATGGAGATTAGATTTTTTGTTCGTATTCTTGGGGCCTTGACTGCACCGCCTATGATCGAGGAGCCGGTGATGAATATTCCCCTGTTATCAAAGACGACGAAGAGATGGTGAATTAGAGGAGTAGGTCCGTCAAAGTTTGATGCATATATACACATATATTATGAGTATTTATGGAGGAGCGGGGAAGATAGCGTACCATGCAGCTCCGACGACTGATAAACCGATACATAGGCCTATGCCTATTGTCGCAAAGGTATATGGAGACACTGACTCGAGAAACAGGCCAACCTGTTTGGTTCACAACGTTTGTCAGCGGGTACTATGTTCGTTTATTGCATGCGGGACGGAAGGGGTAGAGGGTTGTGGTAAATCGAAGGCATACGTTGAAGGCTTCACCCTCGCCATTGAAGAGCATATCTATACGCATTTTCCAAGGTCAGCTCCGAAGGACGAAAATAATCAGAACACTCTTGCAACAACATGTCTGCACGCACAAAGTCCAACAACTGTGAGGAAAGCGGTAGCACCGCCAACCGGGTACAGGAGACCCATGGTCGTCTCTTGCACCTCCGGCGACGTGATTCCTCTTCAGGGTGTAATGTGGCAGATTGGAGGGTATTGATGTGTTGGAGAAGTAGTTGAAGGGCTGAGAATGCTTGCTAGCACCCGCAGCAGCAAAAGAGGTAGGTATACGGCGGTGTGAGGAGGTGGACGCGGAGGGATGATAGGTATCGAAGCACCTCTGGCCCAGCTGTTGCAGGTTCGAGGGACGGATGTTTTCCCTGTGATGTTGGCCAGTGACGATGGCTGCGGCTAACCCGCAACCTTCCCTGACACAGTTAACCGCGCGGAACTAGCCATTTTTACCGCCTCCGCTAAATAAGCTTGCCCCCAACTCAACCGAACCAGACAGATTGACACCCAGAGGATATAACCCTCACCTTGGATACTCTGAAACACAAAGGACACTGCTCTGGCCCCTTTCTTTGAATTCGTCTGTTTTGCAACGACTGCTACGGCTTTTAGTACAGATTACCGAGGCACAGAACATAGCAACTCCCGACTCTCCTCGACCTCGAAATCTATCTGCCCTTTATCCACCCACCCAACAACCCCATCTCCGCTTCCGAGCATCAAACCACGAATTAACCTATACCCCCTCTAATTCAGCATAATACACAGTCTTCGCCATGGCTTCGCAATCAGCAACAGAGGCGTACTCGAACCCTCTTAAGAAATTCAAGTACGTCCGCCGCGTTCACCCAGCGCGCCGTCTCAAGCACTCATCCCTGTTGATTAAGAGAAACCCCACGCTGACTGGATCCTTTTAGATTAGTTTTTCTTGGAGAACAGAGTGGTGGGTGAAACCTGCTGTCACTTTGCGCATTGCCGGTTTGCACTTGACTAACGTCTGATGCCATATTGGATTTAACGTGCGCAGTTGGAAAGACCTCCCTAATCACCAGATTCATGTACGATTCCTTCGATAACATGTATCAAGCTACAATTGGCATCGACTTTCTATCAAAAGTAGGACCCGGCCCCTCTTCCCAAATTTGACTGCCATGGATTATCTACCGCCTGTCGGTTGCCGCTTCGTGTCGGGAACCAACCGCGACTAACCAACATCCTCCTGCTTCCACTAGACAATGTACCTTGAAGACCGAACAGTCCGTCTCCAGTTATGGGATACCGCCGGCCAAGAACGATTCCGCTCCCTAATCCCATCCTATATCCGCGACTCGAGCGTAGCAGTCGTTGTCTACGATATCTCAAATGCCAAGTCATTCCAAAACACACGCAAATGGGTCGACGACGTGCGCGGGGAGCGGGGCAATGATGTGATCATCGTTCTCGTGGGGAACAAGACGGATTTGAACGATAAACGAGAAGTAACGACAGCGCAAGGGGAGGAGGAGGCTAAGAAGCATGGACTTATGTTCATCGAGACCAGCGCTAAGGTTGGGCATAACGTCAAGCAGCTGTTTCGGAGGATAGCTCAGGCTCTCCCGGGCATGGATGATGAGGCGGGGAGAGGCGCTAACCAAAGTACGCTCTTAATTTCTTTTGCGCTTTTATTGTCATTTATAATGGCGAATCCATCTACTTGGGGGCGTTGCTAACTTAATATTTTTCACAGTGATTGATGTTAATATCAACCCTACACAACCCGTGAGCAACGATGGATGTGCATGCTAGGGAGAAATTACTGAATGGTTCAATGTTAAGGATATCCACGCTTTGTTCAGTTCTATTGCATCTATTTGCTTGGTTTATTCTCGTTGTAATTGTTCTCCCCGCCGCATTCTCTTGTTTGTATAATGAGGGTTTCCTTTCCTTTCCTTTCCTTTCCTTTTCTTTTTCTTTCTTTCTTTCTTTCTTTCTTTTTTATTATTTATTTATTTTATTTTATTTTTTCTGTCTGTTCGCTCAAACTTCCCCCCTCTTCCTCTCCTGCCAGAGATATCGTAGGCCAAAGTTCTTTTTGTCCTATCATATTTTTATGCAGTTCCCATCCATGTTGACTCGAGTTAAATTCCCCGCGGGCGCCCGCCATTATTGACTATGGATCTAACTCTCTTTTATTTTGGGGATTCTCTCTCTCTCTCTTTTTTATTTTTCCTTGCTTATTATTACCATTACTGCGCATTGCTCCATGGAGTTGTTTTTTTGTTGCTCATCTGAATTGCTTTCACATCCCCCCTTGCGTCTATTATTATAATTATTTGGCATTATTTATCCCCTATACCTCTTCGAACATGCGCTTGTATGCTGTGTATAGTTGTTATTTATCCAGCTCCTATTCATAAAAGGGTTGGACAACCCGAGGATGTTATAGATTTGTTCTTCACAACAGAGACAATGAGTTTTATATTAACTCTTCACTTGTGGAAACATGTAGATGCGGATATGCTAGGGGTTTGCTGATAAATGTTGTTCATATCATCAATCAAGGGTGCAGAGGATATTATTTATCACAAGAAGCTCTTGAGGAGAAAAGCGCTGGTGTTGATAATACTATACATAGAAAACTGCCTTTGACAGTAACCTCTGTGTCCATTCCCGTATTATAGTTATCAGATCTGTAGATATATATAAATGGAGTGGTTCGGCCTTAACTACCAGTAAAAAACTATTGGTGATCGAGCTCTTTTGCCCCAGTGCCCTACAATAATATCTAATTATTAGTATTGTCCAGCTGACTGTCCGCTGTAATACTATCAACTAGCAAGAGAGCTTTCTTCCCCCGCCATTCCCAACTATTGATTTCATCAGGGGCTGACAGGCCGGAGAGTTCCAGGATCTTGTATCCAGCTGGCTGACGCTTGGTGGTTGGCGCCGGCGCTAATCGTAACTAAGCCAAGCAAAGGGCGGACGGACCCCAGCGGAGAAAGAAAGCAACAAAGACAAAGATCGAGCAACAACCAACAACTCACTCTCACTCACTGCATGAAGATACATCTTCTGCCAAGTATAAAAAAAGACAAAAAAAATACACAACAGCACTCACAAACCAACTGCCAGTCTCCTCCAACTTTAGTCATCGCCTATCTTCACTTTCGTTACCCGACTCCATTGCTCTCTCTATTGGCAATTCGCTCTCTTGGACGCTGGAGAACCAGCTTGTTGCTCGTATCGCGACCACCAACAGGGCTTCCGTCGCCGCCCGCTGCGTTCACACACCAGCAGGATGGGCATCTCATTACGATTCCTCCGCATTCCGCGGCCACAGGTGCGTTGGCTCTTTGTTTCCTGTGCTTCTTGATATATAGCAAAGATACTATTGCGCCTCGTTCACAGAGTAACTATCTTTACTGTTCCGCTTGGCTAACTTTTGCGCGGGTCTGTTGGGTGTTTCGAACTACTAGTCCTTTCTCTATGTGATGAGCCTAGAAACCGGCGCTACTCTCATCACGCTCTCCCTTCTCCTGAACAAAATTAGTGGGGTCTATGGCCTACTTGCTCTCTTGACCGGTTACCATCTCTCCCCCTTGCAGCTGTCGATGTACATATACTCGATTCTAGGCCTGGCGTTGACCGCCATCCTGGCGCCGCATGTCCGACTACAATCCCCTTTCCAATGTCTTGCGCTGGCTTGGTTCTATCTGATCGACAGCGTCATTAATGCGGCATACACAGCTGCCTTTGCGGTGACATGGTTCCTCGTTATTGCCCAACAACAGAGCGATACACCGGCAAAGTCAGGCCCCGGAAGTTCCATGATGGCGGACACTGCCGGCTTCACCCGTCCAAAATTCAACGTCACTTCCGTGGTCGTGGACGCTGGTACTAGAGATGGTGTGGTAGCCAGCGCTCAGGCCGCCTCCGCCCCCGCCGGAGCTGGCCATGCAGATTCATCCGCGACCCTTGGAAGAGGTGTCCTACAGCCGGAAAGCTTGCAGAGCATCGCCATTATATGCACACTGTGGACTATCCGCGTGTACTTTGTGTTTATCATGATGGCTTTTGCGCGCCAATGCATACTGCAATTTTCCTTCCACGCCCGGACGTCAGTCGATTCCCGTCGCCGACCCTCCGTCCCAGCACACAGCCGCAACTCCTCCGTACTCAGCAATATCGATAGCGACCCGAACCCGTTCAACATCCGAGCACCAGAGGGACAAGGGTGGAAGGGCAAACTGGGTAGGATCATGGTTTCCGTGGGCCGTAGCTACTGGCTTGAAGATGATGATCATAGCTGGATGAATGGGATGAATAGGAAATTCCGAAAGAGCGTTGACCCAAGCAATAATAATCCGGGGAGTGGAATTTCTGAACGGGAAAGGCGTCGACGATCCGGCACTGGACCACCAGTCCCCTCCCACGCCACTGTGCAGGCTGCGATCATGCTGCAACAGCAACAGCAGCAGCAGCAGCAGCAACAACATCAAATACACAGTAACAGCCACAGCCGGAACCAATCACTAGCGGGCCAATCGGTGAAAATGCACGACATGTCGGAAGGACGGTAGAGATTGGCAAGATGAGGAGGGTATAATAACATAGCCACCTGCTTCTCATCTACGCAGGATACCGCCAGTGGACACTCAAGATCGCCGTTTATCTATGAGAGGGCGAAACAGCATAAGAACGATAAGATATATCACTTGCGGGACCTTTCGCAGGCCTCCCACCGATTTATGACCACGACTCGTTCCCCTCTCCCCCCTTCCCCCCGCGTTTGTTTATTTAACAAAATACACTACCCCCCAACCTCCCCATCGATCAACTCCTCCGATAGAAAAGATAAAACAATATCCTTCCTTTGTTTGTGTGCACCGAACAGGCAGAACGACATATTCCCATTTAAGCGCGACGAACGAAAACCTGGGCGAAATTGCGATAGATTGGTTCGCATGTACGGATTTGTCTCTTTCTTATCATGCATATAAGCCTGAGCATATATTTTTTATACATATACATACACACGTTACTACAACTACAACGAGGCCAACAACCTCCCAATGATAATAAACGAAGGGAACGGAGAATGTGAGGGCGGTATTTTTTGTATTCAATTTCCCTTTTCACCTTATTTCTTCTCTTCCCTTCCAATATCTCCCCTTACGTTTCTTTCTTTTCCACTTCTGCTTCTTTTCCATTCCCTATATGCTTTTCTGATTTACATATTGGATGTGGGACATGACAAGGGGTTGTTCGGCTGGGGTTTCCTTTTGACCTTTTTCTTTTTCTTTTTCTTTCTCTTTTCCTTTTTTCCTTTTTTCCTTTTTTCTTGTTTTCTCTTTCTCACCCTACCATTTCTGCTCTTATTGTCCCCCTGTTATAAATGTGCTGTTGAGGAAATCGGGTGTACATGTGTGCCTGTCATTGTACGGGAACGGCCGTCGTAGGAGGAGTTTCTCCATGTTTTTCTTTCGCTTTCTCATGCTTCGGCTCCGGTGATTTCCCTTCTGTGGATATGCCTTGTTATTTTTCCTCCTTCTCTCTGCCCCGCTCTCCGCGTCCGCGAACGAAGACAGTTGCTGTGATATAGTGTGTTTTAGTTGTTTGGAGAATCTGGCATTGCGGTTAACCTTAACCTATCATTTTTTTTTTCTTTTTTTGGCAATTTCGTCTTGCTTGCCTTTTATTTTTGCGTTGGTCCTGCTCCAGGTGGGTATGCATGATACAGCTGTCTTTTTCCTGTCTAATTTGCCTTGACTCTTTTCGGAATATATACCTGTTCATATATTTTACTCACTTGCTGATCGTGCTTTGTATTGGTGTTTTTCCTTTCCTTTCCTTTCCTTTTTTTTTTTTTTTTCCACCACGGCCATCTACCGTAGCATTGTGTTCATATCATGGCGTGACATTTTCCTCTAATCTGGAGAAGTGGGAAATACGGTATGTGTTTTTTGTATTGTTGTCTTCAGCTTCGTATAAGAAGAGGCGAAGAGAAGCGCTGACAGACAGTTTTTGAATATATTTTGTTTGGCTTTTGTGTCACACATAAACAACGGACTATCCTATCTATCGCGATCTCGTCAGTGCTGTGGGAAATGGTGTCAGCTCGGTCCGGCTCCGCAGTGCCTTGGCGAGCCTCGGCAGCAGCAGCAGTGTGTACCAGGTACTTGGAGTGCCGTGCTGAAGATGCAGAATTTACATGGAGGTTGTTTGTACCTGGTACCTCCTCCCATATCGGTGTGCCTGTTTGGTATGTTTGCACTGATGTCGTGATCGCAGACCAATCAACTCCTCGCAGTTGCAACAAGGGAAGTGTCCAACGATGCTGACCAATTGCTGAATTGGCAAGCAAATAATTCGTGATGGCATGGATAAGTAACTGCTCTTTTCTTTTCTTCTTCTTCTTCTTCTTCTTCTTCTTCTTCTTCTTTACTTCTCATTCTCATTATTATTTATCATTTCTGTTCATTCGTTCAAGAGGAGAAGTTTGGGATTGGATTGACTGCGGTTGAGGGTATGCTTGCGCTCTGATATAGAGCTCTTCTGATCTATACTATCCAACCAGCCCGCAGCGCTGTCGATTTTGTTACAATGAGGTCGGTGTCAACTGCGGGAGAGGCTGGTATGTTAACCCGTATCACCTTGCAAGAATTGATTATATTGTTGAACATGGATATCATTTTTAATACGATGATGCTAATATATCTTGTTTCTCTTGCGCAGTCGCAAGAGTCGCCTATCTCTCGAGTGACATTGTCCTCTCTGTCCAGCCATCCCTTCAGACTGACTCGTTATTCTCAAAGCACCTGAGCCAACTCTCCGCCGGTAGTGTACGGGGAGTAGTGTCGCAAAGGGTCCCGGAGGTATGAAAATTCATTATTAAATTTGTTTCTATCACCATTGTTATGTTGACATGGCTCTAATAAAATACAGATCCGCGCCCTCCGCGTGAATGAGGATCCGCTGTTATCGGCTTTCCAGCCTTTGAAGTCGGGCCACCGTGTCGCTATCACAGCGACTTCTTCTATCCTCCTCCCATCTATACCGTATCTATATAAACTAGCAAATTACCCCCTCGTCATCCATGTTTCCCTAGACCCAGCTCCTTTCCCCGATTACTCCGTAATCAGCTCTATCCGCCAATGTGGCTTTTCTTTCTTGCATTCGGAAACGCTGCAAGAGGCTCAGGATATTGCCTTGACGGCACATTCGCTGGCAGCCAAGTCAGGAAAGGGGGTGATCCATTTCTTCGATGCAACCAACTCGCGCGATGATAATCCAATTGCGGCAGAGGATCCGGAGCTCGTGAAGAAGATTCTAGATTTAGAAGATGTGCAACATGCCCAGGTACCTTCTAATGCTCCACATACGCTGTATGCAAACTCCGGCCGTGTTCCCACCATTGTGGAGGAAGATTTGGGCGAACGGAGCGAGGGCCAAGCTGGCAGCCTGTCTGCCTCCCAGCTTTCGCTTCCGTCGAAGGTGTCTTCCCATGAGAATTACTCCATCTCGTCCCGAAGTGACAGCGGCTCTGATGTTCCAGCAAGTTCCTCAGCCACCACGGTGGAACCTTTAACTCTCCGACCCGTGGACGCTTTGGATATCTTCCAAATCACTAGCAAAATATGGGATGCGATATCACAGCTATCCGGGCGTCAATAT